CACGCATCCACCCATTCCACATTAAGCGCCCCTGAACAAATTTGTAAGATCTGAGAAAGTACATTTATATGTAAAACTGATGACCGGACAAGCGCCCATCCCCACTCCCGCATTTTTTTTTTTTAGATTACCTGCAAAGTTTCAGTGGGCGCTTGCCCGGTATTTTACGGTAATCATATTCCGAAAATCATTAGGGTGGAGTATTGTTCCTAAAGAATGGAAAATAGCTAGAATTATGCCTATTCTTAAATCAGTCGACAAAAAAAAATGTTGCAAACTATAGGCCCATTTTCATAACGAATCTGTGTTGTAAACTGTTAGAACATATAACTTCTAGGCGCATTTTCGATTACGTTGAAAAGGTCTTAGCGGCAAGTCAGCATGGATTTAGAAGAGGCCTTTCTACAGTAACCTAGTTAATAGAAATAACGCATGATCTAGGTCAGGTAATAAATAGCAGAAGTCAGGCAGATGTTTTATTCCTGGATCTTAATAAAGCCTTCGATAAAGTTCCTCACAACAAGCGTCTTCTAAAACTGAATACCATACTTAACTTAAATAAGTTAGTGAAATGGTTAACCTCATACCTAGAAGGAAGAGAACAGTACGTTTATTTTATATTCCCGTTGACTCCGGCGTGTCACAAGGCTCCGTCTTGGGGCCCTTGCTTTTCGTATTATATAACCCCGATATCACTAAAAACGTTGATGTCAACGGTAGACTATTCGCAGACGATTGCGTTTTTAACAAATACGTTAAGTTCTAACAAGGCCAAATAGTTTTGAATAATTGCTTAGAGAGGATATTGTCTTGGTGTCCGGAATGGCAAATGAAGCTGCGATACATCAAAAACTGTTTCAATGTCCATTACTCGTAAAAAGTGTCCCCTGGAATTTTCCTATTGAATTGATGATAAGCCTATTCAACGCGTCGGAGGGTACAAGTACTTGGGGTTATATTTTAGTAATAAACCCTTATGGGACAAGCACATTGATTACATTACACTGAAAGCGACCCAGCGACTTTGGGCCTTGAAACGTCTCTTGAGGCACTCTTCCCCCAACACAAAACTTAAAGTTTATAAAACGATATAAAGGCCAATTTTAGGATACTCAAATGCTGTCTGGGACCCGTTCATTAAAAGTAATATTCATATGCTAGAAGGTGTACAAAGGAAAGCAATACGGTTTGTGTACAACAAATATGAAACGCGAAGCTCCCCTTCAGAAATGTTGCAACAAGCTAACCTGCTAACATTAAGCGAAAGAGCGCGGATAGATAGATTAAAGATGCGATTTTTAATGATTCAGGGTAAATTAAACATCGACATTCAAGCAGAGTAAACATCGACATTCAAGCAGATAGATCAAAGATACATTTTTAATGATTCAGGGTAAATTAAACATCGACAACTTCAAGCAGATTAAACACCAGATCATCTCATGCACGTTCAATACTGGAGTATCAAGTACGATTGGACACATTCAAATACTCCTTTTTCCCTAGGACTATTGTTGAATGGAACAAACTGCACGCTGAAGTTGCCAATTCAGACTCTACTGACTATTTTATCGATAAAGCCACTGTCTTGTCGGCGAGTTGCGAGTGATGGCTTCGCGCGCGGAGAAAAAGATGAGTCATTCGAATGTGTACCTATCAGGCTCTCTTCAAAACGAGTTATAATAATATCATTCGGAATCTGCGCGTATTGTAAGGCTTTCATTGGTCCACACAATGTAGTCTGCGAGAAAAAAAGAGTCCACATGTTTTTCTATTGCCTTGAGATGAATAAGCGGTTTTGTAATATACGGCTTGGTATATGTGGGAACTAACACATTTTAAACAGCATAAGATCAAAAACGACTCTTTTTCAAAAATGACTTCAGTGCCCCTTTAACGATCGAAATTTTTGCGTGCCCTTGAATTTCGCGAATTTTTCAATTCGCGAAATTCACGAAAATTAAGGGCTCGCGAAAATTAAAGGGATGGTGAACCGAAATTTGGATTTCAGAAAACAATGCAGGAGCGGTAGGCGGGGCGCTACAATCTTTACAACACCACTCGCAAGGCGATATCTTGAATTGGCAGCCGTATTTTTTTTTAAAGAAGTCGAGATTAAACGAGGCCGAAGATGCGCGTGACGTAAACATATCTCGTTTCCTCCTCTCTTCGCTTCGCACCCTCAAGGCGGTGAGGCACAGAAGACGCGAGGCCGTTCCCTCTCCTTCTCGACTAAACAAGACGTCAACGTACCTGTCAAATGCGCCTCTTTTTTTAGGAAAATACGGTCATCCGTTCGAGATATCGCTGTATCAGTGATGTTTTGGTGTTCGTAGCATCCCGTTGCACGCTTCTGCCGCCGTGTTTTGTGGAATCCAGATTTCGGTTCAGCTAGGGAGCCTTCATGTGCGCTTTGCTAGGGTGATGCCACCCTTTGTAATACCACTCGCCGACAAACCAGCAGCCATTTTGGTTCTCAGTGATAATCCGTGGGGCTTATAACCCCCCCGGAAGCAAGCACCTTATCTCACAAGTTCGGAGCAGCGTTGTGGAACCCACGGAGGGAGGATTAGCATTTTCCCCCTCAAGTGGGAGGGCCGATGGTCACAAAGGCCACTTTCCAGCGCACGGGGAAACAATGAGAGGAACAAAATGGCGGTGGAAGAGGGTGTGGGAAAGGGACACAGGCAGTTGGCATCACTCTATGCGAAGCGCACATGAAGGCACCCTAGGTTCAGCATCTTTGAAAGGGTTTCACAGTACTTTCTCTCTCTGTGTCTTACTTGGCTCTTCGGGCTCGCAAATAAAACATTATGCATTGCTACGTTCCTAACCCCGGCGACGCCGTGCTCCAACTACGCCACACCTTCAGGGAGGGTCCGCAACACCATCGCTCGACCAAGACCCTCTCGAAATCCCGGAACCCGGAACCGAGGCTTTTGAACATCTGCCGAAGTAGCCAACGTCATAGCCTCCTCTATACTGACAAAGCTTGGCAGATCGCCATGAGGCGCGGCCGCCGAGAGTGAAAAGGTAGAGCGGCAGACAACCGATGAGAGGAGAGTCATGTAACGGGCGCCCCGCTGCGGCGAGACGCCGAAACACACTTCTCCCGAGCGATGAAATGTCCGCTCGTGCTCCTCGCGTGACCTCGCCGCTGCAAAAGCAGTGCGCTCACTACCAGCTTCCCCGACAAATGCTCTGTGCTACTAGATCCTCGCGCTCCAAATCTGCGACCGGGCACTCTATATGACCCTGTCGTCGAACTGCCAGGCTTTGTGAGTTCAGAGGAGGCTATGCCAACGTCAATGGGTCTTCGTCTTCCTCTTTCTGTAACATCGAGAGAAGCTGCTGCTGCGAAGACATAAACCTTTGGGCCAATGTTGGAGATCATTTTCATCGATGCCGACAGTAATTTCCAATCAGACCACGATACGGCCGGTGACGCAATATCGTCACGTCATCGAGGCTATATAAGGGGGACCCGCGGGCGGACACGCGCGGCAGAGACAGAATGGGGCTCGACACCGAACGCTACGATCCCCCCCCCCCCCCCCTCAAATCATGTCTAATTAAAACATAATTTTAGAGCGGAAACACCGTCTCCAGCCTGTCCGTTCCCCAGCCTCCGAATGACGCACAAGTATGCAGTAAAACAGCAAAAAGGATCGGTCGAAAAGTTTTAATGTGAACTTACATTCCCCATCCCCGAACAAACTGGGAAAGGAGCTATTGCTTCTTCAATTCTGCGGAAAGGCCCGCTCAAGACTCCAAAATGAAATAAATGTGAAAAAAAAAAAAAAAAAAAAAAACGAAAATCGTTTTAAGTTTGGAACATGCGAAAATCGATTATCTCTGTTGAAAAACGAGGGTATTTACTGCGCGCAAACTTTAAATGTAGTCTCGTTAACAGAATATTCGCGATCCCCGTACCGCAAAATACGCTCACGTGTTTTTTATCTATTTTTATTTTTAACTTTTGCGTGTTTGTCGGGGTTTCTTATGTGTTTTTTGCGTCGGTTACAGCCGTTTTGCCTGTTTCAGGTGATGCGATTTTGTTTGCTTACGAATTTTAGTTGCGACGACGCTTAAAGGGGGAAAAAAAGAAAGACGTTTACGAATCTGTGTAATGCGAGATTAGAGCGCAGCTCTTGAGGAGGAGGAGAGGAGGGTATGTCCCTCCTCCTCCTTCGTACAATTTATATTGGTGTTGAGGCTACGGGACGTCAGTTTCCCCGCAAAATCTACCGGAGAAGCTGAATTTGTTCATGGGTGACGTGACACGAAGTCATGTGACACCATTTTCCCCGCTAAATTTTGCGGGGAACTGAATTGGTGTTGAGGTCACGTGGCGTCAATTTTCCCGTTAAATCTAGCGGAGAAACTGAATTTGCTCATGGGTGATGTGACAGGAAGTCATGCCACGTCGTTTTCCCCGTTAAATTCAGCGGGAAGACTGAATTGGTGTTGAGGTCACGTGGTGTCAATTTCCCAGCTAAATATAGCGGGGAAGCTGTGGGAGGAGGAGGGGGAGGAGGGGAGAGTATGGAGGAGGAGGAGGGGCGTACCCTCCCCTCCGTAGCCTCCTCCTCCTCAAGAGTTGCGCTCTAATTTCGCATTACAGAGATTTGTAAATGTCTAATTTTTTTCTAACATTCTGAAAATCTCTTTTCATGTGCGTTAGACTTGTTGCGCCCTGATATGTCCGTTCTTGGGTCATATGTAGGCAAAGCGCAAGTTCGTCTGCTCCCATCACAGGGGTTGCGATGATGTCAGAACGCCGAGCTCTTATTGCCTGATAAAAATATATAGTGGTCTTTCCCTTATTCTTTCAATTAAAGCCAATGAGAGCTCGGCGTCGATGTGACGTCACCGCAACTCCCGCGCAAAAAGCAGACGACTTGCGCCTGAATTGGTGTTGAGTCGGCGATTCAGGCGCCTGCGGCGCCTGAATCGCCGACTAATATGGGAGGCGGAACAATTACAATGGTTCAAACACAATGCATTTTAAGCAGTTCACGCAGTTCTACCGATAGCGTGGAGAGGACCAAGCTGGGCCAAGTTCGTCATGCAAGGAGCGCAAGGAAGCCGATGAACTTCCAAGTCAAAACTCCGCGCAACTGCAACATCTGCATCGTCAGCGACATTTCAAAATGGCGCTGCGCAGTAGTTTTTGTTGTCGTGTCCGGGGTTTCCGGCCTTTCCGGCTGTGAAAAGGTTTTTCTTTTTTATCGCATCCTTTTTCAACGAAAAGCTCCTACCATTCCACTTAATCTAGTCCACGCAATCAACTCGACATGCTGCCGCGCGTGGCACCAGTTCTTCTTTCCCTGAAGCCCCACCATAGCGGCGGCGACTACCGACTCAGTCCCCGGGTGCCCCGGGTTTGCCAGCCCTCTGAGTGCTGACAAGTCGTCCAGCATGTGGCGATTCGCGTCGCTCGTCCTGTGCTGCTTCGCGGTCACGTCCGGCGCCTTCGCTCCCGACTACGCCGCCTACCACAACCTGTCAAGCGCGTACCGGCGCGTCGGCGCGCTGGCCGACGCCTTTCCCGGTTTCGTACGCGTGGACCATTCGTTCAAGTCGAGGAACGGACTTTCTCAGCTGCTGGTGCGGCTGTCCAACTTCTCTGACAGCAGCCACGCCGCAGGGCCACACGTCCAGTCGTTCAAGGTATGAGTCGGAACCTTGTTGTTCACACCGCAAAAATAAACCGTGCATTGACGAAAGCGCGTAGCTCCATCACAAATGTAGCTCCAGCGATTTGGGATGAGGTGTCAAAACTTTTATAACTTGGGGTTACCGGATTAAATTGTTCGAAGAGAAAAAGTGAGCTTACCAACGAGAAAAAGCCGTCGGGCAGCAGAGTTGTAATAGTCAAAGTTACGCAAGATTCAGAATTCTAAACACACACTGACCTATTCAATATAAATGTTCTGTCAGGGCTGTTAGAGTCCCATTGTAATCCTAGATTGTTCACCCTGTTTTATGTGCTATCTCTCATTCTCATTTTTCGGTTTTTCTTATTCGCTTCAACTGTTTCATCTCTGTCCCAGTCCCCACCCCCTCTAACCCATCTCCGAAATAAAATTCAAAGACATAATTCTATGTTGTTGCAGAGTCTTCTAGGTGTAATGGCAAACTTCTCCGACAATAATTGTGGACGGCCATGGCCACCATATATAACGAAAGTTCAGTCAGTAGGTATAGCTGTGGTCACACCAGCAGCAGATCCACCACCGGGGCCGCTTATTCTCCTTACGGTTACGGTGCGCAACTAGGGTTACTAACTCTTGAATGAAGGAAGTCGGGAAAGGGGGAGACGAGAGTAACTTTACGCTAACGTTGCATTGAACTGCCATAAAATTATGATGATGATAACAAACTTTTTCCGTCCGGAGGTCTGCGGCATCATCAGCGTTACTGCAGGACACTCAAGTGCCCAGAAGTGCCATGAAATAACATGTCCAAACTGGCTTGCCATGGCTTGGATGCAGAGGCAACTAATAGCTAAAGCTCCCTACAGTCAGCCTGCCTCACTGACGTCGTTCTTTCTCGAGCTTCCTGATCCGTCCAAAGTTTGTGTATACCGCGCGCAAGTCTCAAAATATTTAACTGGGCCCTAATTTCACCTATCCGGGACATAATGCTGTCCCCACTAGGACAATTCAGGACTCGAAACTCTGTATGAAAGCTAGAGACAGTCCCACAAAATCCGGGACAGTTGGGAACCCTAAGTGCAACTAAAGTTTAAGCCGAAAATCCGATTATTTGCTTCCGCAAATAAACCAAGGAACGGCAGTATTCGTCGCCTGAAAAGAACACGAGAGAACCGACCTAACAAAAAGTCCTGCAGGCCCAGTTAAGGCCCATCACACTTGTGGGACACAGCGTGCGCCGCCACTTCTCCATCGCGGAGAGTTACAGCCCCCGACTCCAGCGACGTTAAAACAGAGTCACCGGTATGGGTTTGACATTTGTTCCCATGGCTACTGCTAGGGGTGATCTGCGGCTTGTGGTTGGCCAAAGGATGCGTCTTTAGACATGCCGAACTTAGTTCTGCCAATGGTGTTCCCTCATTTGGGTTCCGGCTGTCACGATGAATGACTGAACTCTCTTCGCATATGGCCTTAATGTACTTCAGCTGCGTGTCGCCCTGATGTACATAGCACAACACTGTTAGCTCGCGCAAATGATCGCTGCATTTTTCTGTCATACTCTTAAGCCCCATTACACTGCTCATGCATCATACAAAACATTACAGAATTATATGCGGACACACCTCAGGCATTATTCAAAGCACATTTGCTTCTCATATATGTATTCTTCGAACATGTATGCAGGCAGTTTTTGTATAACCAATATGACAGGACCATTGTACAAGAAAGAAACTAGTCTCGGGCAGTATCTACAGACTGTTTTTTGTACGATATATTTGCAGCGTAAGCACGGCTTCAGGGTCAAATGGATGTCATCAAAAATATCAGTCTGGTGCAAAGTGTGCGAGGTACTAACCTAACCGGTAGTATTCGGATGTCACGTTCACACTAATGTCACATTCAATTGGGGCGCACGCAGCACCGAGAAAGTGCTGCCCCCAAGGCCGCGCCACCGCGCGGGTGCAGCGTATGACGCACTATTAAGTGAACACGAAGCATTCCGCCGTGCAACGCGTTTGGCGCGGTCACTTCAAGGGCAAAACATAAACGGCTGGACCACTGAACAAAATCCGCCGCGAGTGGGGCGGCGGCGCGAGCCATCTAGCGAGAGTCTCCCGAGCCGCCATGTTTACCGAGACGAGGAAGACGAAGCGAGGGAAAGAAGGGGCCGAAGGAGCCGGAGAGCGGTAGCTCAAGGCCGCGCCGGCCCGCAGTGCGCGAAGCTGCACGGTCTCCTTTCGACGGTGCAGCTGGTGCAGCAACGCGCCGGTGTCGTGCGTCGCACCAAGTCCCAAATGAACGTGGTGCAGCCGCACCGACACGACCATGTGAACGCGACGCGTCCGTCGGTGCAGTGCGGTGCGGTGTGGTGCGCCCCAATTGAATGTGACATAACATTGTCGTATAGTGTGCCACAGCATTACGATTTGGGGTTGGTGAAAAGCAGACAGATTTTCCTTTCCCTTTTTTCTTTTTTTTTTCCTCCAAGGTAAAAGCGTTGCTATCTTATGGAGAGAGCGCTCGTGAGCTTCTACCCGTGGAGAGCATCCTCCACTTCCTGCGACGCGTCTTGCGAGGTCTGGGGGCCCCGAAAGACAGCGCCGAAGAGGCGTTCAGCCGGGTGCTTTTCTCCAAGGTCGACCTCTACATAGTCGTCCTGCTGAACCCAGACGGGCGGAACCATGTTGAGCGCACCGGCGACCACTGTTGGAAAGGCACCGGCACGGGGGCCAACCTCGGCACGGCGTTTGGACTGGACGTCGAACATTCTCTCAGAGGTGATCGCAAGTCACTCCAACTTGTTTGAGGGATCCTATGCTTTGTTTCACTTTACGACCGACCACAGCCGATGCTACAAGCTATCGGAGCCAATCCAAGGCCGTGCAAGTGTTATGCCGCCATGGAGTTGTGGGTGGAGAGCGTATCACGTGCTACGTTGGCAGAGCCAGATTGGTTGAGATGGCTCTTAGCATCCACTGTGGTCAGGCATAAGGTGAAACGTAGTATAGCAACAAATCTACACATTTTCTAGAGAAAAAAAAAAGTACTGCATTTTCGTCTTGTAGGAAGCTCAGTGCACTTTCCATATTTTTCCCCCTGAATCTTCGAACAAATGGCTATCCCCAATAAACGGCTTGCAGAAACCCCGACAGAAACTGGAATGACATTCTCTCTGCTGCGACGGGTTTAGTTCTGGAAACCTGTGCCAGGCAGAGTCCTGTGACACGGTAGATAGGGCCTGGCCGGCCTCTTACCTCGTTTGTATCCCTGTTAAGTGTAACAAAACATGTTTCTTTTGATTGAACGTGTGGGCCAGCTTGGCTCGCAACCTAAAGGTCGGTGACCAGCAGCGCCTCGCACTACTTTATATAGGAAGGGCGATCAACGTGCCCCCTGGCATCTGCCCAGGCACGCGGCGGTGACTGGTGGCTGCAACAGTCTTTGTGTACTGACAGAAATGGGACAAAACATCTGGGGTGTCTGCATTATGCTAAGCCGGAGTGGATGAGTGGATGCATTGAATCGTGAAGTCTTCCAGGTTTTGGAACATTTTTGCGAAGCAGTAATGTAAAGTGCTCACCGACGTGCACCAGATGGGATACCTGAAAAATTGCTGTGATCAGATGTTGTTCGGATCGAAAACAAATCTTTTGAAGTTTTTTTTCTTCTTCGTTGCGGCATACAAAATGCAACACAGTTCATAGAAACAAGCTGTCACCAACTTTCATTGTGTTTCTTGGGCGACTGGAAGGCTGCAACAAAAAACATGTACTCGTGTAGAACACCAAACCTAGGCTGTGAATGTTGTGTTCGACATTGGCCTGTAGGAGGGAAGTACAAAGGAGTCCATGTGACAGATTTCTGCTTTATCTCGCAGCCTGCAGTTGCATCCCCTGTTAGAGCGTTTAACTTAATGCCCTATTTTACAGTGCTGCCCCAGTTGATTCAGTCTTGACGAGCATGCTGCACGCTGTATACAAATCAGAAAGACAAAACAAAGACGGATGCTACATTCCTTTAACTTTAACAACATTAAGGTTTGTTTCCATCTGCTGTCCTCTTTGTACCCTATAGGGAAAGGAGGAGGAGTGGGAAAAGTCGAAGCAAAGCTACGAAGGTTGAGTGAGGGAGGCGGGGAACAAGGCGATTTGATTGCAGGAGAGACTTCTTCGCTAACTGTTTGTGGAAGAAAAGCCAACCATTATTGGATGGCATGGCTATGTTCTTCAAAGTAATTGCCGTTTGGTGCACCTCAATATCTCCCGTCCAACTTGGCATTAATTAAGTTTTTTCTTTCGTTACTCTTTTCCAGAGCCAGAGTGTAACATTCTGCTCAACCTGACAAAAACCCAAGCATTCGACGCCTTCATATCTTTTCACTCGGGGCGTCGGGAAATCCATCTACCCCTAACAGGTATTTATGTAGCTGCCCACATCTTTCTTTAGCGACAAAAACATGAAGATTGTTTTCCGCCACTGTAATGTGGCAAATCAGCGATAGTGCAGCTTATATGAACGAAGCTGCAAAGCATGCGGAGAGCCAATCGTACCTACTTCTCTCTGTTTCACCATAACTGGGCAAACGGTGAAAGCTACGGCTCCAATGAGCTCATCACAGCATTGTTGAGGGGTGTGATATTGCACCAGCAAAGTGAACATTGGAGCTGCATTGTCACATGCCTCGCTCCAAAAATGGCTTTGGCTGGCAGGGTCAAAGTCTTTTTTGTTTGCCAGTTTATGCTTAAACGGAGTATACACAATTAAAAAAGGAGCCTAGCCAATCGCAAGGCAGAGATGACATTTTTGGACGAAGCTGGTGTTCGTGCAGATGCACTTAGCGCAACATTTCGCATGCTCGGGGTCCAGCATCATGCGAGTCGGGCTAAATATTGGGAATAGGTGTTGGTCGATTGCATGCTTTTGCCTGCTCATGCATTTGGTAGACCTAAGCCCACATTCTTGGTTTGTTGGCAGGTAGTTTTGTTAAAAATAAGGTTGAGTAGAAGCTTCACACACAAATCCTTTTTTTTTTTCGCCCATAGGAGGTCACATTTCACAATGGCAACCGAGAAAAGCAAGCCATTTATTTTCTTATCACAAAAAAGAAACAACTGTGCATCCTCGAATGCTCAGATTGTGCCCGAATGTCATGCCGGAAATTGGGATTTAATTTGATATTTGATATTTATTCTAGCTCAGGAGAGCCTCGGCGCCGCAGAAAGGCAAGTCGCCGATACCAGAAAGCCCTGCGGCATTGCATGTAATGACGATTCAGTGGTATTTTACGCCGTTGACCATTTTTAAATAGAGCTGGTGGGCGAGGGTGGCAGATAAGATGGCAAAGTTTCAGGACTGAGCACTAGTGGGATTGTACAAACGGGATTGAGTACCTGGCCACCGAACAGCTCCTTGAACGCTTTCTTCCTCTGTCCTTGGGCGGTGCAGGCTTTCGGTCCAAGAAGGCGGGGTCAAGCCCGGCCAACATGGAGGCTATGGCCGTGCTTGCCGGGGCCATGGCGGAGTCAGTGCAGCCCCATCTGGCACGGGATGAACGAACCAATCGCGCGGCTAGATTTTCCGTCGAGGGAACCGCCTTCAACTTCATGGCCGCCGTCAGAAAGGTGACACAGAACGCTGCCCCATTCGCTGTCAAATAGGTCGTGGCTGCAGGTCAGAGCTGTAAAGCATAGACTCTCAAACTCTTCGAACTCAAGGAATTTCTTTCGATTGACAGCCAAGAAACACTTCCTAGCCTCAGCATTGATACAGGAAAGCAGTGCAGAAGCCTGCAGGCCTCCTAAGCGATAATTCTTATACTAGGGAGTGAATGCCTACTAGGTATACTGACCGAGATCTTCTAACGTAGTACTTAAACAGGAAACGCACCTTATTTAGGGCAGAGATGGTCAAAGAAATTCGGGGGCTTGAGGAACCATTGACGGAGCTTTGGGGAACCCTTGAGCACCTAGGAACTCAGTTTGAGAACCCATACTGTAGACTAGAGGAATCAATTCAGAAGTATATCGAAGAGACTACCTATACGAGGGTAGACTGAAAAGTTTCCGGAATCGTGCCGCTAGGGGGCTTTTTTTTCCAAACTATTTTTATGTCGCTGTGTTGGCAACCCTTTCGTATGAAATGGCCACAAATGTGAGATTGATATTTAAGGAAGTCTGGCTTTGACAAGCATTCTAGTCGAGCAACCATGAACATTTTCAATGATGGGTAAAAATAAAATCCGAGCAGTCATCAAATTTTTTAATTTATACGAAAAAGCTACGAAGGAAATCATATCCAGGTTAAATGCTGCTCTTGGGGACTCATCACCTTCGTTTCCCACCCCGAGTTTTTGGGTTTCCGAATTCAAGCAGGGTTGCATGGACAGAAGTGATGAACCACATTCAGGACGTCCAAAAACAGCTACCACGCAAGAAATTGCAGATAAACTTCATTACATGGTTTTGGAAGACCGCCGCATAAAAGTGTGTGAAATTGAGGAAGCGGTGGGCATCTCTTCTGAACAAGTTGTTCATATTTTACACAATCAATTAGGGTTGAAGAAACTTTCTGCAAGATGGGTGCCGCATGTTGTATCGTTAGTTTCGGTTTCTGTTTTTATTTCGTTTAGTAGTCTGTTGACATAGTGACGTAAGTGGCGCTAGTGTTCCTTTCTGTATAATTGTATTGTCATGCTCATAAAACCAGTTGACGATCAAGTCATGGCTCGGTGACTTCCTCCTCTTCCGGCCTTTGGCCGCGACACTACAATGGCGACGAGAATACCGAGTTTTTGTCGGTAGGCACTACCTCGCCAGTAGGTAATGGTTTTGAATGATTCAGACGTTTCTTCTGGCTTCCGGAGCATCTGAATTTCCGCCTGATAATCGCAAAACCCTCCTGCTGCATAGCTTGGGAATTGAAGGGCAACATATTTTCTTCGCGCTACCGCCTGCAGTTTCCAAGCTCATTCCGTCGGCTGCCGCTGCTAGAAGTTCAGATGCCGAAAAAAAGTCCCCCCCGACGAGGCCATTGCTGCGTTAACACAGCACTTCTCCGCTACAAACAATGTCGTTGTTGAGCATCACTGCTTATCTCGCTGTCCCCAGCCACCAGGCGAGTCCGTTCAAGAATACGTTACCGTTTTATGCAAGCTCGCTGCGCACTGCTCTTTTGTCGCCCTCAATGACTTTCTCCATGACCAGTTTATTGAAAGCATCACTTCCCAGCACGTTCATGAGTACCTTCTTCTAGAAGGTTCGTCACTTACGTTTTCCCGGGCCGTGTTTCTGGCACAGCAGCTGGAGCAAGCCGCTCGGCACGTGCAATTACTTGTTCCGGGGCACGTTTAGCTTGTGACTTCATGAAACGTTCGCCAGTCAAGGGGTTCAACGCGTCTTCGCTCGTCTCCATGTCGGCTACCTCCCCTGCAAGTAAGCTCCGACCAACAGTTGTACTATAACTCAGCTCGGTAGCCTGCCTCTCATCCCGCCTGCCACTCACGCGATGACCGCTGCCCCTCCACCTCTCCTGAAGGCTTCCATGGCACGGACAACGCACCACCACACTGTTTTCGCTGTGGTCCCCGTCAGCACTGTGCCTTGTCATTCTGCTGCCCAGCACATGGCCAGCAATGTTTTCACTGCGGTCACCATGGGCACTTCTGCTTTGTGTGCAACAAGCGACTGCATTGCTCTACTTTCGCTGTTCATAAAGTTGACTGCCTGGACTCGTCTGATGATGACAAAGTCTTGAAGGGCAACTCTGCTTCATTTTTGTTTTTGAAACAACAATGCAGTCCTCTTCAGTATCACCTAGGAAGACCGCACGTCAAATATTATGACCTAGTTCGGTCCAAATGTTTCTTAAACGGTCCAGCAAACTTTGCAACGTGCCAAGTTACCAAAATGGGCGGACTCTAGCAGGCAAATTGAGGTGCAATCAACAGTGCGGTCAAGGCTATGGCATTGGCGTAGCGAACATTGAGCTGAATGACATCATCATTGCACCTTTTTGTTTGTTTTTACTTCCCCGGGCAAGCGTGACAGGTGACGTCAGCAACGTGTCCTCTCGGCGCTCATTGGTGTCCACGTGATTGGCGTGACGCGCCTGTGCAGTGCGCTTGTTCGGAGACGTCCTGCCGTTGCCGCCGTCTTTTGCGTCACAGCTGCCGTTGTCGTCTCGCCATCTGTGATTATTGTCTCTCAGAGTTTTGTTCACACTACGTGCACAGACTGATGCTGCAGTCGTGCAGATGCCGTTGAATGTCGTAGACACCAAAACGTGGTGAAGAGTGTGGTGCAGACGACGCTTGCGCCTGGCACACGCCTGCTCCAATGGTGGCTTGCCAACCTGCCCCAATCTCGCCCATTGTTGTGTAGAGGATCACGTGACATCCCGTACCACGTGATGGCCACGTTTTTGGCGGCCTGAGGCCAATGTTGCCAGACGGATTCAAAGTTTTGGTTTAGATTTCTGCTCGTGTTAAAAGTAAGATTTAACAATATATATCCCATTTTTCACGAAGAAAATGACGTGTCTTTAATTAGTGCTTTTTAATGTGAAATCGCTTATTATCCCCTAATTTTCGGAATTGAGCGGTACTGCCCTTTAAGTGTTCTTTCTGTCGTCGGCTCTACTTGCCCCGGAATTTCCCTTGACGTTTGCGTCGCTGGCAAGTCCTTTACGTTCCTTATCAATTCAGGATCATCTGTTTTCATCCTGGAAGCCAACAACTTCCAGCAGTATTTTGCTGCCGAGTCACTGCTTCCTGCACCTGAATTGAAGCTACTCGATTTAAACAGCCCATTCTCGTACATGGCTGTTTCTTTGCGGAAGCCGGGCACAAGGGACGTACTGCTTATCTTCTGTTCTACTTCGTGTCGCAAGGCACATTCCTTCTCAGCATCGACGCAATCAAGGCTTTGAACCTTCACCTTGAAGGGTCGTCTCTGCTTTGCTTCGAGACTTCAACCATGCCAGCGACAGTCAACACCAGGCAGCTCTCCTTCCCACGCCAAGCTCCTCTGCACAACCGTCTTCCGAAGACTTTGTCCGGCGAGTTCTGCTCCCTTTTCGACCCTTGGACGGGTCGAAACGTGGCAAGACTACGTCTGATGGACGTAGTCTTGCCAAAGACTATGTTCATCAGATCAAGATCCGACTCGCAGTGCCTTTTGTGGCTGCAAAGCTGCGACATATCCCACTGACACTTTGACCTCAAGTTTCAGAAGAACTCCGTCAGTTGGAAGAGCTGGACGTCATTGAATGCATCAATGCCTCCGAATAGGTGTCTCCATTGTCGTTGTTAAAAAGAAGGACAGCGGAATTACGCTCTGCATTGACCTCTGTGAACCTAACAAAGCAGTTGTCATGGACAACTTTCGTCAACAGTCTCGTCGGTGCCACCCACTTCTCTAAGTTGGATCTCGCATCCGCCTCTCACCACGTGTTGCTGCATCCCAACAGCCGAGACTTGACTGCTATCGTATGATGAACTATTCCGGATCAGGCCGGTGTGCTTCGGCTTGAGGTCGGCCCCTGCAGCCTTCCAGCAATCGATGTCTCAGATTCTTCGAGGATGCGTCGGCATTCTGTTCTACATTGACACTATCATTGTGTTTGGTGAAACCAACGAGGAGCACCTGGCGAACCTGGCCGCTGTTCTCCGCCTTATCAAGGCAGCTGGACTTCGGCTGAATGAGAATTGTACCTTCTGCATTCATGAATTGTCCTTCCTGCTACACAAGGTCACCGTGCAAGGCATCTCGCCACTATCCGAGAAAGTGGACTCCATTGTGAACATCCGTGCGCCCACTCACGTGGCCAGTCTCCAATCGTCTCTCGGCCTAGACAAGCACTATGCCAAGTTCGTTCCTAACCTTGCTGACGCCGTGGAACCAATGCAAGCTCCGCTTCGGAAAAATCAGCCTATCATCTGGAGCGACACTGGTGACACAAGTATCCGCAAGGCTCTTGTTGTCTTCCAGCAATGTACTTAAAGGACACATGCAAAGGAAAAAAACATTTTTCTTAGACAGCTTAGATGGAAAAAGGATGTCATAAAACGATTTTACAACGAAGAAAAACAATTTTTAGACCTATATTTACGGCACTATACGAATTTGTAGTTGGCGCTCGCGGGAGCCGCCGCTGGTCACGTGGTAGGCCCGCGCGCCGCCGCACGCTGAGCGTTGTGCGAACGCCGCTTCAACGCGTTTCTCCACACCGCTGTCGCCGCCGCCGCACAAGTTCGCCTGCTTCGGGGCGCCGCCGCTGTCGTCTGACCAGCGCACAGGTCTATCACGTCTGCTTGCGCTTTTTCAGGAATTTCCTTTGGGCTCTAAAAGTTACTTATTCATCTTAGTTTTTTGTTATACTTCAAACAAAGATGAATAAGTTACTTTTAGAGGCCATACGAAGCTTCCGAAAGAGCGCAAGCACCACGTGATAAATATGGGCCCGTCAAGGGCCACTTTTCCGCGGCGTCCGCCGGCGCCAACTACAAATTTGTATAGCGCCGTAAGTATAGTTCTAAAAATTTTTTTTCTTGGTTTTAAAATTGTTTTATGATATCCTTTTTCCATCTAAGCTGTTTAAAAAAAATGTTTTCTTCCTTTGCATGTGTCCTTTAAGACGTTTGACCCAACCCTTCACATGATCATCTCCACAGACGCTTCTGACTGTGGCTTGGCGCCATTCTTCAGCAGCAAGATAGTCATGAACTGCACACGTTTGCTTTTCCGTCTCACACACTCTCTCCTGCGGAACGGAAGCACTCTGTCGGTGAACGCAAAGTGCTCGCATGTCTGTGGGCCTCCAAGCACTGGCACACATACCTCTGGGGACGTCGGTTCACTCTACGCACTGATCACCAAGCATTGGTCTCTCTCCTGTCATTGCAAGGCTCTGGAAAACGTCCTCTTCGTATTACCAGGTGGTCTGAATGTCTTCTTCATTACAACTACACCGTGGAGTATCACAAGGGATCAGAGAACCAAGTGGCAGATGCTCTTTCCCACCTTGCAGTTTCTGCCTCCGAGGAAGACATGTCCGTTGATGAAGAGGTTGTGTCACTCGTTGCACCACTGTGCCTTACCAAGGAGAAGTTTGAGAGATCTCTTCAAGAAGACACTACCTTGAACCAAGTCAGGGCCTACGTTGGATCATCCTGGCCTCCTCACAAATTCATTCCGTGTGAACTGCAGTCGTTCTTCGCCGTGTGTGAAGAACAGTCGTTAGTTGACAATTTGCTTCTGTGGGATGAATGGCTCGTCGTTCCTTCATCTCTTGCCCCGCAGGTCATCACCACTGCACACGAAGCCCACCCCAGAATAGTTTGCACCAAAGTGAGACTGCAAGAATGCTTTTGGTGCCCTGCATGGACAAACAGGTGGAATATGTCATCCACAACTGCAGCGTCTGCCAGGCTGTAGATAAGAGTGCCAAAGCTGCCGCTACGCCGCAATTGGTTCTCCTTCCAGAGCGACTATGGCGGAAAGTAGCAGTTGACATCGTCGGTCCCATGGAAAGAGCCCTGCATGACTGTAGATTCACCATCACGCTAATGCACTACTTTTCCAATTGGCCAGAGGTACAGTTTTGCGTTGAGGTGTAGACACGCACAGTGAAAAACTTTTTACTTTCTGTCTTTTCTTGTGAAGGTTACCCTGACGACATCATCCGTGGCAATGGGCCTCAATTTACTTCTTGAGAATTCACCCAGTTCTTGAAGGAGCGCGCCATTCGCCTCTCGCGCTCCTTCGTATACTACCCCAGGCGAATGGACTTGTTGAGTGGTTCAACCACGTCTTCAAGAACTCCATTCAGACAGCACTCCTGGAACACCGACCACTTCAGTAAGCAGTCACCGAATACCTTGGCATCTACCTGTGCACTCCACATGCCACCGTGGGAGTCGCTCCGTCTTTGTTGCTACACGGAAGGCTGCCTCGCACACGCCTAGATGTCGTTGGCCAACTTTCGCCAACCTTGCTCAAGGACCCAGCCACAGAGCTTCGTCGGCTGCGTCAGCCGGTTAAGCGTAATCTAGAAAACACTCATGAATCGCCTCTAGCTTCGGCTGAGTCACCCCCTGCTCCTCTGGCTGACCCAGCTGTTCGTGGCCCGAGCCTGTCTCCTGGGCTGCAACAAGATCCGGCTCGACGTGTCCAACCGCCAAGAACAAGATGGCCTCCGGAACGTTACAGTGACTATGTTTAAGAACTCTCAAGATTTCTGCTCTTTCTATAATGGACTGATACTTGTTGTGACAGGGTGTTGTTATATCTTACTTATCGTTGACGACTGCTTGCAATCTTCTGTCGATGTCACGAGCACGTGTTGCACTGTATTACATAGCACCTTGCAGTATTAATCCACTAACATACTAACTACCTGCAAGTTTTCAAGGTGGGGAATATGTTGTATCGTTAGCTTCGGTTTCTGTTTTCATTTCGTTGTGTAGTCTGCTAACCTTGAGACGTAAGTGGTGCTAGTGTTTATTTGTATATAATTGTATTGTCATGCTTATAAAACCAGTTGACGTTCAAGTCATGGCTCGGTGACTTCCTCCTTCTCCGGCCTTCGGCCACGACACTACACTGCATTTGCTTGATCCAGAGCAAAAACGCATTCCAGCCTGGATGTCAGCTTGCAAGTGTTTCAGACAAATCCAACGGATCTCAAGTGGCGATTTGTAATATGGACGAGACCTGGGTCCACCATTCCACGCCAGAAACAAAAGTAAATCAAAACAATGGATTGTGCCCAGTCAATCCGCTTCGAAGTAGGCAAAGATCATTCAATCTGGCTGGCAAAATGATGGCATCGGTTTTTTGAGATGCCATAGGATTTTTGCGTAATGATTACCTTGGAAAGGGAAAAATCGTTACTGGCCAATACTACGTATCACTTCTGGACAAGCTGAAACAAGTAATTCAAGAAAAATGCCCGGGAATGGTCAGGAAACAAGTGTTCCACCAGACAATGCACCCGCCCATTCAAGTGCAGTCGCTGGGAAAAAACTGACAGAACTGAAGTTCAAAATCCTTCCGCATCCACGGCATTCACCTGATTGGACTCCCTCGGACTTCCACCTTTTCCCGAAGCTCAAAACCTTCCTGGCAGGAAAGAGACTTTTGTCGAATGAAGAGGCGATGGAGGCTGTGAAGAGTTATTTTGGGGACCTCGAAGAACATCACTTCCGGGAGGGAATCGAAAAGGTGGAGAAACTCTGGACCAAGTGTGTCGAGCTTTGGGAGGGGGGGTGGGGGCTATGTCGAAAAATGAAATATAACTTGAATCATTCCGCAAACCTTTCAATCTATCCTCGTATAGTTGCAATTTCTATCTCAAAGACTTTCCAAGTTACAGTGAAGTTGCATTAACTGTAACTTAGTCACATTTTTAGAGTAGCTTGGGGTTTAGTTTGATCATAGTTCCTTTGTATTTATTTATTTATTTTGCTTTTTATTTGTTCGCTTCCCCCCCCTTTTCCCGAGATTTCGTGGTTACACGCAAGCCAGGTGGCGCTGCGTGTAACCACAAGTGATGACGTTTAGGGGAGGGGGGAATGGTTTAAGCTTTGTCTTCTGGGTGGTATTGATCTGAGACTCTTAAGCTTGAAGCTGTTTCTCTCTCCCTCTTTCCCATAAAGCCGCCTCGGTGGCTCCGAGGCAATAGTGCTGGCCTACGGATCCCCAGGTGGCGGGTTCGAATCCCGACCGAGGTGCCCGCAATATGACGGAGGCTTATTGCAGAGAAGGCGCCGTGTAACCAAGCTTTCGGTTGCACGTCAAAAGATCCCCAGGTTGTCGAAATTAATCCTCAGTCCTCCGCTGGGGCGTGCCAGATGCCCGTCGTAAGTTTGGCACGTAAAACCCCCAAATTTGACTTTTGATTTTTTTTCTCCCTCTTTCTCCCTCCATCTTGCAGATTCCGTTCTCTCTCGCCGTTCATCTCTGGGGAGATGGCCGTGACCTTGGACCAGACTGCTTCGCTCACTTCAACCCGTCTAGCGGCTCGCTGCAGGTATGCTCTTGAAGCACTCATTGAGTAGCGAGATCTCATTGTTGCCATTGCCAGTGTCATTTGGTGCTCGTATCAATTGCCTGTGCTGAGGCTGAGAGTTGTGATGCCTGTTTTCCCTCTCCGTACTGAACGTGCAGTTTCTGCGGTTTCCACTGTTTTTGGTCTCGCCATAGAGGGACACTGACAAAACATCTATCCTTGCTACATTTCTGAAGAAAAAAAACGAACAAAAAAAACTCAGAATTGCCCAGCAATTCAGAAACAGTATTTGCCACTCAAAATCTGGCTCTCTTTGTGCGGGAAAGCAATCAGTCGGAACTCACCTCGCTCCCTCCTCCTTAGTCATGTGCGATGATGAAGCAGAACACGAAATACTCTGGATGTAATAAGCCATTTAGAGCGTAACATCATTGGCAAAAATAACAGATTGCCTGAAACGTAGGTTTTTTTGTCGATCGGCACACCGAAAATGGGTTGATTGAAGGAAGTCTTGGACGCATGGTCCCGGGGAGTGTGACAACCCTGGTGACTCCGGACCACTTCCGGAGTCTCTGATGTCAAAGTCCTCCGCCTTGACTTTCTGGATTTGACCCGACTTGGGAGGTTTTTTCTCTGCAAAATTTTTACAGTGCAGTGGGAATATTTTTTGCTGGTTTCTTGACAGCATAATATAGTGCATTGTGTGAAAAGAACTTATAATTTTTTTGCAAAACTAGACTTAATGCAAAAAGGGGCATGTGACTGGTCACGTTTCATTCACTACACTCATTCAGATTAGCCGGTGACAATACACACAAAGACAATGAATGCCTTGATGTTGTACAAGTGGCACCGCTTTATTGACTGCCTTTGGCTCGTAGCTCCAATTGCACTTCTTCGACGTAAAGTGAAACTGAGTGCATGGCTTCTTACGTTTTGTAATTTGCCCGGAAATTCTGAGGCAAAGATTAGGCAGCAAATCAGCCAACACAAAATAAAAGAAGTTTCATAAAAATCCTTGAAATTGCTGCAAGTATTTTTTTTTTATTATTGTTTGTTTCTGGCTGCAAATCAACAGCCTAGCTGATAGTTAGTGGCTAACAAAATATGTGTGCTCTTTGGAATTTCTCTTTTTATTGCAGAAAACGCTGGAGGGCCTTCATCCCTTGTACCAAAAGATGTTCCTTCTCTTGATTGCTTGGAAGGCAAAGCAGATGTCGCTAGCATTCAACAGTGAGGTTGGTGCTTGCCACTCTATGCCTAAAGACACGGCCTTTTGTCGTATCTTTCAAATGATGATGCATGCTCATACCTTAGTTACTCGTGCTTTATATAAGCTTTCTTCGAACGATACTGCATGCACTCCACATCTGTCACAGCCATTTTGCTTTGTTAGTGTATGAGCCATGTGCTGAAATTGGATTCTGAGGAATCCAAAGATTCCACAGGTCTTCTCCAGGTTCCTCAACAGATCCCTTTTGTAAGTCTGACTTCTGTTTCAAGCTGTAGAATCTCTGTGCGATGGCGGATACAAAACCACTTCCAAAGTTGAAACCCTAGAAATGCTACAATACTTTGTCAGGCACACAGGCAAACAGACGAAAAGCATAAGGTCACGGTGCACCCTGTGGGCTTGATTAGATTGGCCGACAGAAACACATACGTGGAAAAACAACAAACGCCATGACATTGCACTTTTGGCACTGCTTGATTGGCCCCATCGGCTCGTAATGTTTGTCAACCTTCAATGTTTGGTGAAACGAAGTATAATTCCATTTCATCATCATCTTGCGTAGTTCTAGACTTGCGGGTTCCGTGGTCCTGGTTGTTCCGCCATTGCTGTGGTTCCGATTTTCTAACAATTTGCATGTGACTTACAAACGGGGTATATTACCCCAAGAGTTCCGCAGGTAACCCTTAGTTATTGTATATAATTCCCAGTTTACAATCCCCAGTGTTGCACAAATTTCTCTCTAAGGTTCCACCCCCAAGGGTTCTACAGATCCCCTCCCGAGTTCCCCAGATTACCCCTACTAATCCTGTATGTAACCCCAGGGATCCAGCAGACTACCCATGTTTCCGAGGTTACTCTCGGGGGGTGCCCCGCATGTAGAACCTCATTGGCACATTCTCAGTTTAGTTGTTTTCCCAGCTGACACAACTGCCAGTCTCATCGAACTTTCACAGGGGTGCGTCGATTTCACGATTGTTGCATTTGGTTTCTTGGTTCTAGAGTTTTCCACCTTGCACAGCCGATGCGATGTCTTGGGCCGCGACTGCTCTTTTCCTGTTCCTCGTCTCTCTTCCTTTTTCACCTGTTTATTTCTGTGGTCTGGGCTTCTTGTCACTTGCTCAAGCGAGCATGTCCTTAGAGCACACTCCATTCACTGCTCAGCCGACAGGGTCGTGGAAGCTACGCGCTCATTGAACTAGTCGCACGTCATTCTGTTTTGCAACGTGGTCACGCTCCTGGCCATAGCTACTTCCAGGGAGCGGGGCAAGTAATGAAGGAAAGCATTTCATCGCTCCAGCAAGCAGTTAGCTCCCACCACTCTGTTATCTTAAGGGTGAACTGAGCGTAGGCATTAAGGGATTCAGACTTTTGCAATTACCCATTAATCTCGCTGCTTTGTTTTCTAATGTGGGTGCACACATGCTTTTGTAATGCCGGGGGGGGGGGTCTTGGTTGTGCTAGTTTTATTTTGTGTAGTGTTCAAAATTGGTAATTGCACACCCCACCGAGCCACCAGCGCACGTGTGAAGCTTCACTGCTTTGCAGCAGCACATGCATCAAGCTCCACCGCTCTGCACCGGAGTGCTAGGAGCAGCGGCTTACACGGGGGAGAATTCGCCTTACCTGGATGGCTCAGAAATTTCGCTCAGTCTTACGGGTCGACATTCTTTCATTACGATTATAGATGGACCTCTGGTTTTAAAGAATAGAGGTCAGATTCACGAAAAAATTGTGCACCAGAAATGTGTGTACTAGAAAGCCTAAAAAGAAATTCATGTTCACGAAATGAAATTAATGCAAGTTTTGCGATTGTTACTATGGAATCCTGCGACAGCTCCAAGAGGTGTCTTACGCACGTTTTTGCGATCAAATCAACATGGCCGACAGCGTCGCTTTGCGATCAAATCAACATGGCCGACAGCGTCGCAATGGACATATATTTTTCTACGGGCTCTTCACGCACGTCCCGACTTCAAGCAGCAAGAAAAACGAAAGAAGTACTTGAAACTGGTCACGAAGGAGAAGCTGGATCCACAGACATCTGGTAAAAGCTACAATGACAACGATCTCACCAACCAAGCTACCACCAAGGGCTAGCTCGGCAGACTATAGGCCTAGCAATGCACTCTGACCTTCTCTGATGCAGCGTTGCTCCGACAGTCCCTAGTTAAGACTGTCTGCCCACGATTGGCTGGCTTGCTGAATGGAACATGCCTGTGCAACCCTTGAGAACCCTTTTCATATGAATAGTTTGATCACTGGCCTGAATTTTCGATTAAGAGATCAGTCTCTTCCCCTTGTCATCCTCTTGTTTTCCGAGGCAGCGGTGACGAACGCTCTTGTCGGAGAGAGACACTCTCATCGATTCTGTCTCCTTGTTTTGTGTGATATACTGCTCAGATAAAAGCTGTATGGATTACCTTCCCAACATATGGTATCTACACTTTGTCATTAGCATGTCATTTTTATTCCAACACGACTGTACGTCACTGTCGAGCTATAACAGTTTGTGGGAGCTACGCATTGCTGGTCCAACCTTCCTCTGCCGAATGTCACGTCAGCATCGAGTTTACACCATAAAATACTGGTCCCGAAGCGCTTACCAAGACGCAGTTCAGCAGCACGAATCCAGCGCTTTGATCTAACACACTCATCCATTTCGAGTAGAGATGCCACTAACGTTTTGCGAACCTGAGGTTCAAAGATTGAACCAAGGGGTTTGAAAGGTTCGCAAAGTTTCGAAACATCAAACTTATTACAAAAGAAATTCACCAATTTTCGAACTTTTGAATTTTTGGTGCTGAGAAATTATATTTTTTTCGAACTTTCCATTTTTCGCGCTACAGAATTCAACATTTTCGAACTTACCACGCTAAGAAATTTTATGTTTCTCATACTTCCAAACCTGTTAAGTTCAAAAGTTTAACGAACTTCGAACTTCTGAACAAAAGTTTGACAAAGTTCGAACTAAGTTCACCCTCCATAGGTTCAAGGCAACAAATATAAATAATACAAGATGTTAACGTGAGAACTGGAGTTGAAATTGCACTAGAGTCTAAAGGCCCGTTCACACTCTTGCGACCGAGTACGACTGAGAGAGACGAGATCTCTTACAACTTCTTAAATGTTTCTAGAATGAGGGAACACACTGACATTGTGGCGCCATCTATGCGGTGACCCTAGAACTGCATTTCACAAAAGCGAAGGTTTTGCGGGATTTCCGACGTCAAATGTGCGTAATACCCATAGAAAGGCTCGTTTATAACATTGACAAAAGTTTTTCGAGCCAAAAAAGAAAGGATATTGCGCGAGAAATAAAAAAAAAAATATGTCGGACCGCCGAGTTTACACTGTTTCCCAATAGATGGCGCCAGTGTGTTCTCTGGTTTAAGAAGTTTTAAGGAACCCAGGTTTAAGAGGTCGCAAGCAGTCGCAAGAGTGTGAACGGGCCTTTACTGAGCTGATCGTGCCACAAATGACTCGTTTGTAAAGTGCTGAACTTTGGGGTGGCCTCGAACTCGCACCTTTTTCTTTCAACTTCCGCACAGAGCCCCTCTTGAACACAACTTCGTAGGTTGCCCCAAGGTAACCTGTGGGCCAACAAATCCATAATCTGCAGGCTTGAAATTCAACCAAAGCGCTTTGCTGTGAGCGTCCTTAATTTTTTCATAGCATTACCGTAGAATACCGTGCATCCACCAATTCCCCACTAAGCGCCTATACCAAAAATTGTAAGATCTGAGAAAATATGCACAGCACATTGATATGTAAAATTAATGACCGGACAAGCGCCCATCGCCCATTTTTTCGCGATTATCTCTCAATTTTGAGTGGGCGCTTGCCCGGTATTTTACGGTAGTTGTTCTTGAACGCAGGTCCCCCGATTTCCTTGAGTCGAGGAAAGGTGCGCGTGGGGGGAGCGCGACAATGACGCACTACAGCGAACGCTGAATCGGCGCTTACTTCATTATCATTAGTAACCGGCTGCATCTTAGAGTGGCCAATACCTCTATTCATCGTCGAAGAAGTTCCAGGCAGCGGCAATATGGTTAGCCCGATAACAACCGGTCGTGACCTGATCACCTGTATTTTATGAGGCCAGGTGGTCCCCTAATTTGGTCTGGTTGCATTCTCCTCAACCTTCACTTGTGTCGAGTGCTGCGCCTGTGTCCAGCGTTTTTCCTATCCCACAGGTCATCCCGCCAAAAATAAACGCCCGGAGCAGCTAATAATTTTCGTGAAGCCTGGATGCTTTTATATGCATGCATTGTCCTGTATGTTTAGGTGTCTTATGCCAGCATTACATTTAGGTGACATTTGATCTGATTGCTACTAGCTAAAAGAAAGAGGATTCGGGGATTCGTCAAGATTAAAAGCCTATCCCTATCGTCTCTGATTGTATGTGGCTCTGGCTTTGAGAGGCAAGCCTGGCAGATTATCTCCGGTTTATTCTTGAGAAGTAGAGAGATGGAGAAGAATTTCTTCTGCTTTTCAGCACGACAGTCCCTCGTCGACGATGTACCTGCTGATGCTGGCAGCCGCCGTAGTTGTGACGCTGCTCTTCGTCTGTCAGCACCGGTTCCCGAACCCGATGCGCCTCAATCCCCGCAGGCGCGTCATCAGCCTCAAGAGCCCGAGTTCCAGCCTCCACGTCAGCTGACAGCAACCCCCTACGACCGACCGGCACGGAACAGCACTCACTCTTGTCAGACGATGGTGCTGATCTTGTTCGAGGACAACAGAAGTGCCACCATGTTTTGCCTTTATACGTCGAGCAGTGGCCGCAAACTCTGGTGAAACGAGCGTTGGCATATTTTAAAGGGTGTCAACTGAGAACAGCGATCAGCGTTTTTTAGCGGCACAAAATTGAACTATGCATCGCCGAAAGTTCTTACTTTCTGGCTGGGTGTAGTGCCGTTGCTTGGGATAGGACGAAAGACTTTCAGAGCTTGGCTGTTGTCTGATTCAAGAATTAGAAGCTTTTCCAAAAATTTTCAGTGAGAAAACGCTGGCTAGCGGAGGCTCGCAATGTCTTCGACTAAATACTAAAACCGTTTACTTGCGAAAGATTTCTGAAAATTGTTTCCAACTTTTGAATTAAGCAGCATTCTGAGTCCTTGAACTTTGTCGTCCTTTCCCAACCTCCTGCGCTACATTTGTGCAGGGTGTGGGCTCTCAATGATGCATAGTTTAGTTTTGCACCGCAAAAAACACTGTTTGCTTTTTTATTTCCGACATCCTGCACTTTAGGAAAAGAAAGGACAAGCCCTGCGCATCTGCTTTCCGACACTGCATGTGAATGACTAATTGTTGTGACTCGCTGGAGGTGACTGGCTATGTGTCTATCCAAGAACAGGTGCTGCATTTGCAGACGTGTTGATCATCCTCTCATTTCTCTCTGTGGCGTGTCGCTATCGTTGCAATTTGGAGCATGGGATGACTCCATTGTTATGTCTGCCACCTGATTTGCTTGTCACCTTCTGTAACTCGTAATGATTGGACTCTTCACATGCACTATTGGAGAGTAGATGCATAGACTTCCTCTATGAAAGGCTTGGAAGTGTTGAAGAGGAGCTATTTTATTACCTATCTTTGTCGTCTCCTGTATACAGTATATATCAGCTCAGCATTGCAAGGTGTCCTTCGGTTTTATTCCAGCCTTTCTCTCCTCACTCTTCGGCCTTAGAATCGGTGCCTTTTATCTCGTAACTCCATGATTCCCTGGCATGCCGATTCATCGTGTTCACCAGCTTGCACGCTCTCTAGTGCAAAACTCAGACTCCCATTTTTGCTCGAGTGTAAAGATCAATTTTTCCAAGGGGACGTCTTGGGTTGTATGGGCTCATGTGACAAGCTGTAATTCGGCAGAGGCTGAAATTAAGCCACCATGCTCATGCAGCCTAGGATAGAAACTGAAAAATGTCTGTCTTCGAGATCTTTGTCTAACTTGGGTTCTCTCACGAATCTCCCAGGAACGAATCAAAACATGTTAAGAAAGCACCTTGATGATGCGTAAAGTGACGCTGTAGAGCAGCCTTGCGATCAGAGGAGTTTGAGAGGTGGTAGCACAAATCATGCATGACTTTATGGTGATTGTGTGTTGGTTCTAGTCATGGTGACTGCTCTCAAGACTGATTTTGATGAAATAAAAATATACTGTACATTGAAAACAACTATTCGTCTAGGCTCGCTCATTTAAAAAATGTTGAGTCGGTAACCCTTTTTTTTTTTTTTAATGGGAAATATACTTTTTTTTAGAATGTGTCACGGGTCTTTTCTCGGGACCTACCGAGCTTTGTCCTGCGGGGAGGCATGCTCTTCAGAAAGAATTTCGTAACCAGCGAAACTCCCTGGCTACTGGTTGTCCCCGCCAGCCTCCGAGAAGAAATTTTTCAAGCGTGCCACGACAACCCAACGGCCGGACATCTCGGCTACAGCAGGACCCTTGCCCGGATTCGTGACAAGTACTACTGGCCAAAGCTTCCGAAGACCGTCCATCTCTACACACGATCGTGCCATGAGTGCCAGCGACGCAAGAAACCGCCGTCAAAGCCAGCAGGTCTCCTCCGAATCCCGGAGAAAAGCTCACCGGAGAAAAACTCACCGGAGAAAAGCTCACCGGAGATAAGCTCACCGGAGAAAAGCTCACCGCAAAACCGGCGGATGCGGAGAAAAGCTCACCGGCCATTGAGCGTATGCGGAGAAAAGCTCACCGATTTTTTTTCTTCTCTTTATATGGAGGCTGTTGGATCATGCGTAACATATTTCAATTTATTATCAACAAAATTTCTCAGCTTTGTAAAAAAGAAAATGTCCCTTTTTGTATTATTTGTTAAGCTTATTGGGTATATTGCTCCCAAATTAATAATTGCGGGCGAGTGTTTTCTGTGGCCCAACTCAAAAGTTTATGGACTTGAAGAACCGGAAAAAGTTCGAAAATTTAATGATGTCTATATAAACCAGTGTTGCCAGATTGGGCTATATATAGCCAAATTGGGCTACATTTTTTTCTAGTTGGCGTCGAAATTTCGCCTTTGGCTATGTGGCTATTTTTGGGCTATTTCTAAGGGTGCGGCGAACTCTTGTCGAACCTCAGGTTCGACGTCGAACTTTGAGGTTCGACTAGTTAATTTTCGAACTTCTAGTCAGTTTCGAAAAAAAAATTGTTTCTCTTTTGGCTACTCGAGAGGAAAGAGAGGAAGGAGAACGGCTTCAAACTTCTACAAACTTCGGGGTTTTCACAATGCGCATAGAAGCAGTGCTAGCAGACTTCAAGCGGTCTCCCCACAGCGCAATGAGGCAACTCAAACAAACAAATTGCACTGTTTTTACAGGTCCGGTAGCGCGTCCTCTACCCGGACGTAGACTGGACTCTCCAAACGCAGCTTTGGTGCCCATTGCGAAAATTCTTAGGCATCGCCAACTTTAAGAAAAGAAACACAATAAAAAAAATAGCTTGAACCGGAACGGGGGACGCTCATATTCTACACAAAGAAAAATAGACGGGTGGGTTATTGGTAAGAACCTTAGATATAGGGGTGCTAGTTTAAAACTCCCAGTTCTGACTGTTCTGCTTCTACATTCTGTTCGTTTACTGTATGATTATATCTCCCGGGCTTCACAATACAGCTCGCGTATGTTTTCTATTTCTGAAAACCTACGAAGGATGGGTAATTATTTCACAAATTTTCATCCTTCTGAAGCTTTTTTATATATATATATATCAGGGGACCTAATGTACGCAAAAAGTGGCGCATCTGAGGGTTGAAAAAGAGAATTTAACGTGCTGTTTTTTATGCGTATGAAAAATTGTCAATAAAAGGCTTAAAAATCGTTGTTTTTAGTCTTGGCTATTTTGGGCTATATTTATTTTATGGCTTTGGCTATAATTGGGCTATACCTCCCAGCCGTTTGGCGGTTTTTTGTTGGGACCATCTGGCAACACTGATATAAACCCTAAAAAGCCAAACTGTCATTAGCGAGCTTCCGAAAGTGCATGCGCAGCAACGCGGTACCTGAATTCCTCTTTGAAGCTTTTTTTAACCTTTGAAAAAGGGATAGAACGGGCAGTGGGATATTGAGGATTCTTTCTTCCTCGGACATGCACGTTTTGTAGCCGTTCATGGTGGTATTTCCAGACGTTCCCTTCGTGTGATAGTCCCCTTCTACGACGAGTTACGCATGACCTTCAGAGCTGCACACTGGCACTGTTGTTACTCGTGACCTATATAAGAAGTAGTCTTCTGTGAATTGGGCGAGTTGGTAAACATTATACATGATGAAAACCGCTCAAACGAAAACAGAGTGAAAACAACAAACACGACAGGGCGAATCTGTTCTCGCAACTAAAGTTTTGTTAGTGAAATTAACAGAAAGAAAACAGCGTAGCCGACACTGATTACATTAACACATTATATTAACACAATATTTGGAACTGAAATAGTTCACACACCGCTATTCATATTAGCTCGCAAAGAACAAACCTCTTCATAATTGACAGAGCTACCGGCGGCACACTGCCAGTTGTCAATACATTGTTGTCTTTCTCACCGGTGTGCGATGTTCTGATTTTGTACTTGCGGCTTCATTAATATACAGAATGGGTGATTACTAAATTCTGATGAATTAGTAAATATGCCCAATGAACGTCAAGAATATTGCAAAAAAGTGGACATACTTTTAATGAAGTGACGAATGCGAATTATGTTAAATGGCAACGTATGACGCAGAATCCGCTAAGTTAAAAAAAAAAAATCGGTGAGCTTTTTTCCGCATCTGCCGGTTTTGCGGTGAGCTTTTCTCCGGTGAGCTTTTCTCCGCCGCCCGTCTCCTCCAGCCGATTACCCCGCCAACCAAGCCCTTTGCTGGGTTCTTTTCCACCGTCGACGATGGGGAACCGCTGGATAATCGTCGCCACCGATTATCTTACTCGTTACGCCGAGACGAAAGCCCTTCCGTCGGGGACTGCGGTCGAAGTCGCCAAGTTCTTCATTGAGTCCATCGTCCTCCGGCATGGCGCCCCCGAAGTACTGATCACAGACCGAGGGTCATCGTTCATGGCGCAGTTGACCCAAGAGATCCTTCGTCTAAGCCACACAGAACACCGTTGAACAACGGCATACCATCCGCAGACCAACGGGTTGACGGAGCGGCTCAACAAAACAATCGCCGACATGGTCTTTATGTACGTCGACGTGGAGCACAAGACCTGGGACGAAGTGCTGCCCTACGGGGAGGCACTCACTTGATCGAATGACGTTTTAGCGAACGCCCACGTTTCATCGAATGACACTTTAGCGAATAGTCGGACGCCGCGAAGCGGCGTTTTCGGGTGGGCCAAGTGAGTTTATATTTTTGTAATGAGTTGCCGCAGACTGTCGCCGCGAAGCGGCGTAAAGCGCAGCGCGACGGATGGGTTAACGCGCGCCCCCGTTTTTCGCTAAAACGACCATTCGCTCAAATGTCGCCGTTCGCTAAAATGTCATTCGCTCTTGTGATATGGACCCTGCCCTACGTCACGTTCACCTACAACATAGCAGTGCAAGAGACCACAGGAGTGACGCCCTTCCAGCTAGCGTATGGCCGGGCGGTGACGACTATGCTAGACTCTATGTTGCCGCACCGGTCAGTCGACGACGGGAGCGATTACGCCCAGGTGGTTGCTCAACGGGCAGAAGAGGTCCGCCAGCTAGCCAGACCCAGACTAGGAATTCAAGACCAGCAACATGTCGACGCCGGCCGCTACAATCTTCGCCGGCGTGACGCCCACTTTCAACCCGGAGACCGGGTATGGGTCTGGGCACCGATGCGGCGCCGCGGTCTCAGCGAGAAGCTTCTCAAGCGCTACTTTGGACCCTACAAGGTTCTTCGCCGTCTCGGGGACTTAAACTACGAGGTTCTTCCTGACTGAACTAGACCATCAAGACGACGCCAACCACGACCCGAAGTAGTCGACGTCGTGCGCCTCAAGCCAAGTCGTGCGCCTCAAGCCACACAGCAGCAGCGGCAGCGCGCACGGCACCTTGTCTGAACGAGTTCACGCTATCATTACAGACAACAATCAGGAAGAAGCAGCCGCTATCAACGTCCCTGGATCAGCGTCCGTCACCTCAGCACGTGCAAGCAGCCACGAGCTCGGATTGGTTCAAGACTTCACCGGCCACAAACGTCACCGGCCACAGAGCTCAAAAGGACCCGCACGTCGCACAGTGGCACACAGCAGCAGCGGCAGCGCGCACGGCACCTTGTCTGAACGAGTTCACGCTATCATTACGGGTTAGATAGTTTCTTCTACTTTTTTTTTTTTTTTTGGTTTTTGCTTCTGTTGTTGCATGCCGCTGCTGCTGTTGCATAGTTCTTTTTTTTATTTTATAAAGCATGGAAAATGTTTGTCCGTCATGTTCCGAACAAGTGAAAAGAACTGAGTTAAAGTTAGACTGTTCTGAATGTAAATACAACTACCATCTGCTACCTTGTTCTGGAGTCTCGGAGGCCACTTTTATTTCAAAAGGTAATGCATTGCGAAAGTCGTGGAAGTGTCAAACTTGCAAAACTGCAAAATCTCGGGGAAGTCAAAGTGCCAAGGAAGAAAACGCGCCCGAGGAGATACCTAACATAACCGTCATGTTATCGGCGATAAACGCCAAGTTGGACAGTCTAATGAGCCTGAAAGAGACCGTGGGGGCTATCGAAAAATCCATGCAAGAAATGTCTGACAAGTATGACGAAGTGCTAAGGGAAATGAAGGAGCATAGCAAGGAAATGAAACAGCTGAAGAAACGGGTCGAAAGGCTGGAAAGAACTGACGCCGAGATGGAAATAAAGACACTGAGGCAACAGGTGAACGACCTTGAATGGAGGGGCCGAAAACTGAACCTAGAATTCCACGGCATCCCGAGAACTGATAACGAAGACCTGCTAGTGAAGGTAAATGAAATCGCAAGAAAACTTGCTGTACCGGACCTCACAATGAACGAAGTCGCGGCAGTTCATAGGCTGCCGTGCAAACCAGATAAAACGCCAGGTATCATCGTTCGTTTCGTTCACCAGACAACTAAAGATCAGTGGCTAAACAAACGATCGGCACTTAAAAAAGGAAAAGATAACGCTTACATCTTGGAAAATCTAACGACTCACGACAGGGCGCTTCTTCGGGAGGCAAAAGAATGGTCCAAGGAAACAAACTATAATAAGTACGTCTGGTATAGAAATGGAAATGTTCTCGTGCGCAAAAAGGAGAGAGATCAGGTGCATGTGATTAGGTCTCTGGATGATTTGCACAAACTCGCTTGACGTTCTTTTGTTATTGTTTTTATTGTTCACTTTAAGAACTGTTCTTTACAATGAATGATATGGCACATTCGTCGTCGAAAAATAAAAATGATGCCCTGCATTTGACGTCGGACACCGATTACTTTCTTCCATCCGATCTACAGTCTTTCATGGGAAAAGAGTACGACGGTTCCCTCAAATGTTTTCACTTAAATACTCGATAGGCACGAAATAAAGCAAACGAACTTGACTTTTTTTTTCATCAATTCAGCTTTGACTTTGATATCATAATGCTTACCGAGACATGGTTTTCTGATGCTAATGACGTTCTAAAGTTACCGATGTATAATACGTATTTTTTAAACCGCACCGCAAGTCGGGGAGGGGGCGTGGCACTCTTGCTAAGAGAGAGCATGTCCTGCGAGATGCTTACTGATTACTGCTGTGTTCACCAAAATTACGAGATTCTGTCTGTATTGATAGGCCACAGTATTATCGCAGTTTGTTATCGTCCGCCGGCTGGTAATATTTCGTCTTTTTTTGCTTTCCTAGAATCTTTTCTTGAGTTCGCAAATGAAAATAAATACAATATAATCCTGGGGGGCGACTTGAATATAAACATGCTACTAGAAACTGCGGATAAAAGACAGATGGATATGCTAATTAAAGCAGGCGGATGTATGAACACAATATCTTTGGCTACTAGGATCACTAATGAATCTTCCACACTGCTTGATTTATTTATTACCAGCTTTGCACCATCACAAACTAAATCTGGCGTAGTAATCACTGACATAAGCGACCACTTAGGTATATTTTTGTGTGTGAAGATAAACATAAATAAAAGACAGAATAAACCGGCGGTAGTAAAGTTTCAAAATATAACGTCAGATAGCCTGGATGACTTTAGACGAAAACTTTCTTCTATGGACTGGACGTCCTTCATGAAACAGATCCAAATAAAGCGTGCAATATGTTCTTGATTCGATTTCAAAAACTCTATGTAAGCTGTTTCCCATATAAATCAATAAGTCCTTCCAGAAAAATTCGTAAACCATGGGTTACAAAGGAATTACTTGAAAAAATTCGTATAAAAAACGCGCTATATCAAAAATTTGTGAAAACAAAGGAGATAGAAAAACTTTAAAATTTCAAACGTTATCGCAACCAGTTAAACAGAGAACTTCGAAACGCTCGAGAAACATATTTTGTTCATTTCTTTTCGACATGTGGTAATAGAACTGATATTTTGTGGAAAAAACTAAACTCCGTCCTGAATCGTACATGTACCCCGAAACAAGTAGAAACGATAAAATGGGATGGTGAGGAAGTGACAGGAAAAGCATTAGCGAATGTATTCAATGATTATTTCGTGAGTTTAGTCAAAGACACCCCAGACTCAGATGCTTGCATGCAAGTTTATATATTTTCGAAATTGTGCATCCATGTTTCTTAGTCCCGTTACTGATTTAGAGGTAATATCTGTCTTCCGTGCATTAAAAAACAGTAAAAGTTGTGACGCCGACGGTTTACAGATAAAGCCTGTAAAGTATGTGATAGATATTATTTCCCCTTGTCTGACTCATATATTCAACCTCTCCTTGCAAAATGGCGTGTTCCCCAAGCGAATGCAACTGGTAAAAGTAACGGTTTTATATAAGAAAGGTAATAAGAATGAACTAGGTAATTATAGACCGGTTTCAATTTTGCCAGTGTTTTCGAAAGGCTTAGAAAAAATTTTACTATTACAAATGACTTCATTTGCAGATAATCATAATCTAGTAAGTTCATCTCAATTTGGCTTCCGCAGACAACGGTCCACTGAGCTTGCTCTTCTTGCACAGAAAGAATATATCCTTAAGAACTTTGAAAATAAAAAACTAACTCTCGGTGTATTCATTGACTTTACGAAAGCCTTTGACTATCTTGATCATGATTTGCTATTTAAAAAATTAGAAATGTATGGCTTCCGTGGTCAACTGTTACTACTTATAAGTTCATATTTGTCTTCCCGTCAGCAATACGTACATATTAATGGTCATTCACCATCAATAAAATCTATTCGGTCAGGCGTTCCCCAGGGAAGCATCTTGGGCCCTTTTTTATTCAACCTTTACGTAAATGACATTGTAAATATCAGCCGATCAACGAAGTTTATCATTTATGCTGACGACACCAGTTTATTTTTTACTGGTGATACCGCCTCAGATCTCATAGATACCGCGAATGATACGCTAGAAAAACTAGCGAAATGGAGCAAATGTAACGCTTTAAAAATAAACATAAATAAGACTAAGGCAGTTCTATTTCGCCCAAAGAATAAACAAGTTGACATAAACAAGACCATATGTTTAAACTCTTCTAGAATTGAGTTAGTCTCTTCTTTTAAAACATTGGGTATTTTTTTCTCAGAGACAATGTCATGGGATGATCACGTTAACTACATTATATCCAAATTGTCCAGCATTGTTGGCTTGATATATCGTAATAAACACATATTTCCCATTAAGGTAAAGTTGTTAATATATAATTCATTATTTTATTCCCATATAAACTATGGTCATCTAGTATGGGGCACAACTACTTTTACTAACTGTAAAAAAATATTCATTTTGCAAAAAAAGATTGTAAGAAGTATTTGCAAAGTCCCACTCGAATGTCCAATGGATTCACTTTTTACTCAACTGGGTGTAATTAAATTTTTTGATTTGTATAGATATCGCCTTTGCGCAAAATATATGATTGAAAAAAACATGCATGTACATCATCTTGAATATTTAGCGAATCTAACACAAAAAGTACACTCGTACCAAACGCGCATTCTGCAGCCCTGGCAAGTGCCTCTTTTTAGAACAAATTATGGCCATCATACTATAGCATACACACTACCGACCATCCTTAACCACCTTCATATGCACAACATAGAACTTGACACGTTATCGGTGGGTACCTTGCGGGACATGATACTCTCTGGGCAAATCGGCCACGATTGAACGGTGCCTTTGTGTGTATTTTCTGAGTATTTTTTTTTTTGTAAAGGGGAATGTGCTTGTGTTTTGTGTATTGTACAATTAATTAACGTAGACTATTTTTCTGGTTTTTCCTTGAACGATGTGGGGCAGTGCTATTTTTTGTCTACTCTTAAATATTGTATTTTTTGTTATAGTGCCTTGAACGATGAGCAAGTGACGTTATTCTATAGTGCCTGCTTATTTTCTTTAGTTTCATATATCTCATTGCCAACTGTTCAATCTCTTTTTTGTTTAGCGTTCTCAGTATATTTCTTTTTTTTTTTTTCGTCCACGCTGCTTGTAGCTGCTGCTTTAGGGGGGCTTAGGACTAGTCAAGCTGTACACACAGCTTTTTTCCAAAGCCCCCACCAACACTGTACCTTTCTTGTTGGAAAATACTAACCTATTATTATTATTACGAACGATAGAACTTTGAACTCTCGTCAAACCGTGAACTGTGACTCACGATTCTGCTATCCTTTTGTTGTGGCTTTGTGTTTTATGTTGCATCGGGACGATGCACTTTTAAAGGGGGGGATAATGCCGCGCGCAGGGCTGAGAAAGCAACGCTCGATCACGAACCTCTAGAAAGTTCTCGTTTATTCTTGTTCCAGACGTAACTTCTATCATTTATCCCTGCTTTTGTTGTTCCAGAAAGTGCGTGTTCATTCTCGCCCCGAGTGCGCTACGCTCGAACCTTCTCCGCCGAATCTTCGAGATAGTGACTCAACTTAGATAAGAGGCCGCCCGCGACCTTGTCGAGTCAGTTTCGCCCCAGCGTTCGACTCTGTTGCTACGCCGACTTCGACGCCCGCGACGCTGTTATTATCTTTTGTACCCTTCTATTTTTGGCACAAGTTCGCCACATTAAACGTTTATTTATTCCTGTTCATTTCTTCTTTATTGGTCACCACCCGTGACAATATGGATGAGCGTCGTAACGGCGTGGGGTCGCGTATCACAACTGCGTGGTGTACGTTAAAAACCACAGGATAGCGGTTGTACTGCACTCGCTGAATTGCTCATCTACAGCTGACACACCAGACGCTCAATGGGGCTGACTAACTTTCGGCGGTATAAAGAACATACACACAACACACTCACATACATTTAGAAAAAAAAAAGTGGAAGAGGAATCCACCAATCGCAGCAGGACAGCGCAGGAGAGGCGAAAAGCAATACGTGTACCACTGCAAAAGTAATACCGTCACCACATTGGGTTTGCAGCTGCAACAAAGAGCCTTTGATCAGCGTGCGCGCTTCAGGCGGGCGGCCCTATTTTGAACCAAAAACGAAATCCAGGCTTTTCTTTGTTACACTGTCCCTGCATGCTGTAGATAGACAAAAAAAAATCAATAAATAGGATTCATACTTAGCTCTCGTCATCAAGCTCGATCGCATTCCTTCTCACCGGCATGTCTTCCAAGGTAAGCTCAGTAAGCTTCCCCATCACGGCTGTCATTAGAGAGTTTTAGTAGATCGTTCCCATGACTCCGATAACGATACCCGATACTCCGCCACCGCCTTCCTTGCGCATGCATAGTATCGTTATCGGGGCTATCGGAGGTATCGGAACGATCTACTAAAACTCTCTATTACCCTTTTGCTACTTTGACATAAAAAGAAAGTTATGCGAGTTAATTATTTTCCTGTAAAATACGAAGACAAATGGCAAAAAAAAAATAGAAGGATGTCCCAGTGAGTGGCGAAATTGAGAATACGATTGGACATGAAAAAAAAAAAAAAAAATATGGTGAGGGTAGGGACAATGGTCAATTCAAACGTCATGATCACTCACCTGAAAACATCGCATGTTTTTGGTGTAATCGTACTCTGAGCTTTTTCTGGGTCCCTGTATTGGTTGCCGTGGTTCGTTGTCTTGTGTTATAAAAAACATTAAACGCGCAGGCCCCCTTTTTTTAGAGTGCGCTTTTAGAAAGCTTTCAGTATATTTGAATTACGATGCACTGTTACTTTAATCAGTACAGCCAATTGAAAAGCTGAGCCGCATATCACTCTCCAACGACCACTGGGGTGCGATGTCGCTCATGTTTCTCATTGGCTAAGATGACTAAAAGACCAAGATGATTTATGTTTGGCGTGCATCGCGGTGGAGTAGCCACTCATGAACTTCTGTGGGTGGAGTCGCGTCCGGTTGCAACAAAAATGTTTATAACTGCACACACAAAATAAAAGTCTCTAGCTGAGTTAACTTTTTTTTGCAGAACACGAAGACAGCCAATCAGAGCAAAACGTAGAAGTATTTCAGTGAATAGCGAAGCTCAGAATACGATTTGATCTTAAAAGCGCGATAAGCGAGGAGACTATGATGAAGTAAAACGTCATTAATCATTGTTCTCGGAAACGGGAGTGTATCTTAAAGAGACTCTCGGGGACAGTTCAGCGGGGGCCGTGTCTCAGACTAACAAAAATAAGGTTGTAGTTAAAGATGCATTTCCGAGTAGCTCGGGTTTCGACCCCGTTCACACACTCGCGACTTCTTAGAACGGAGTGCCCTAAAACCTCTTAACATTTCTTAGGACGAGAGAACACACGGGCACGCTGGCGCCATCTATGCGGTGACCTCATAACTGCATTTCACTAAAGCAAAGGTTTTGCGGGATTTCCGAGCTCAAATGTGCGTAATATCTATGAGAATGGTCGTTTATTACGTTGGCAAAAGTTTTTCGAGCCAAGAAAGAAAGGATACTGCGCGAGAGAAATAGAAAATATGCGGGACCGCCAAGTTTCCACTGCTACCCAATAGATGGCGCCAGTGTGTCCTCTCGTCGTAAGAGATATTAAGAGGTTTCAACACTTCCGACTTCTTAGGACCGAGTGCCTTGAAACTTTCAAGGCACTCGGTCCTAAGAAGTCGGAAGTGTGTGAACGTGCCTTCGCTCTAGTGTGACGACGAAAAAGCATTACACGCAACATAATGCATACGCAGCCCGTAGAAGGTAATGCATAAGCGTCCAAGGAGAAGGCACGATTAGCCATAATTAATCAATTATAATCGTAAAAAGCGCGATTTACCAAGCCCCTCGGCGGGAATCAAACGAAGGTAAAACTTTTTGTTTAGGGACAGCTCTAAGTCAAGGACAACCCTAACACGTAACCCCCATTTTAACTTCGTACTTTGCGCCTTTCAGCCCATCCTGTATTCCTGGTATGGAAGCTCCTGCGTGTACAGAGTGCGGATCGGTAACTTAATTCTTTCCTTTTCTCGTAATATTTTAATTTACTTTGTCTAATTTTAAATTACGCTTTATTTTGTCTCTCTTTCTCTCTCTCTCTATCTCTCTGACGGACGAATACTTTGAGGGAGTCGCGTTTTTCTTTTTTGTCGACAGCACTGGCCCTGAAGAAGGTTGACTACGAATACAAATCGGTTCCTCTAATCAAGAATAGAGTCCAGCTCGCCGAACAGGTGTGTTATTCAATACCTCAAGAGCAGATCTCTGTTAACTCGCAGATCCGTTTTTTTTTTTTTTAAGCTACGGTATTCTAATCAAAGAACCCATTGTCTCAATTGTGGTTATAGCAGAAACTGTCCCGCCCATAACATATATACCGCATGGGTCGAAGGAGCCGTAAGCCATTTGAAGCAACCGCATAAATAGGTTTCTTAACGTATCGAGCTAAAATTTTGAGGGCGGTAACCAATCGAGATGGTGCATTTCGTATATCCAAATCTAAGAAAAAGCTGATATTTAAAAAAGGAGTAACAAATGAAGAAAGCGAATTCACTACCTATACGGTTACCGTCAACAAACGAAAGCTGACTTTTTTTCGTTCGCGCTGTTTGAGCCGTTCCACCATATAAAACATTTACCAGGTGACCCAGTTTGCAACCCTATTATAATTAGCCATATTTACATCAGGAGCAGTGCCTGCGTGCGTTCGTCCAAAATTGTCTCCTTGTTTTACGCCCATCAACAGATTTCCGAGGAATTTACCAGGAAGAACCCGATGCAACAGATTCCAGTGCTCGAAGCGGACGGGAATTATATTTGCCAATCGGTAATGTCGGAGCTCCTTAATTTATCGCAAAAATACATGGCCTTCATTTCTTTTTTTTAGAACTGAGGGACGTACGGTTTGTCAAGCCCTATCTTATCTACCATCAAAACACAGAAATTTAAAAAAAAAAAAAAAATCTTAAGCCGCAGTTGCTCATACGTTATGCAAGAGAGCTCGGTTCATACACGACGACAAAATCTGCCTTCACGCCTCAAGCATACGTTCGAAGTATATTTGCTTCATACATGCTTCAAGAACGTCTGCAGGCAGTGTTTGTATGGCAGGTATGACCGTTATACAAGGAACAAACACGCCCCAGACAGTGTCTGGAGACTGTTTGATAAATCGCAATGTAACCGCAGCTATAGGATTTTCAGTCGCGTCCTAAGTGGAATGAAGTACTTTTTCCTTTTTTTCTTTAGCTGGCCATACTCGAGTTCCTGGAAGAGAAATACCCGGAGCCGAACCTGCTGCCCAAAGATATTGTCCAAAGAGCGAAGGTGAGTTGACCGTCAAGTCGTCTTAATGTCGAATCATTTCTACGACAACTGCCTGATGTCATGTATTTAATAATTTCTAACTCGTAATGATGATGTTTTTTTTTTTTTTTTTAGGTTCGTGCCATTGCGGAGCTGATAGTGTCCGGTATCCAACCGCTCCAGAACACGGGCCTTTTGTTTCGTCTGGAAGAAAGCAGACGCAAAGACTGGGCATTCCACTTCATCGTCAAAGGTTTTAAAGGTACGCACCCGCTGTGGAGGAACGGATGCGTGTTTTACAAAAAAATGGAACAAATTGTACCGCGTGTTTGATCGTGAAATTTTGTTTTTCGGTTCGAATAAATATGCTACCCATTACAGAAAGCTGTAACTCCGTCAGAATATAACGCTAGCGGTGGGGATAGAATGCGAAAGTTCGAGAACATGATGTTACCCTTGTCAAAAGATGAACAGGAAGGACTAAGTTTCTCTCTAAGCCGACGTCCACCTAATTTCGAGAAAAATAAGAAATATTATTTTGGGCCCTGCGCCTGTGGCATTTATTTCAGTGAAGGAACCTCATCAGCAACAAAGAAAACAGTATTGCCTTTCTTGCTGACAAATTTGTCACCTTTCAAGTCTACTCTACTCTCTCTTTTTGATCTGTTCTTGATCGTCCCACTGTTCTTCAGCCTTGGAAACGGTCCTCGCCAAGACAGCCGGCCAGTACTGCGTGGGTGACAGCGTGACCATCGCCGACACCTGCCTGGTGCCCCAGGTCTACAACGCCAAGAAGTTCGGCGTGGACCTCACGCCGTACCCGACCATCATGCGCATAAACGACGCCCTGGAAGAACTAGCGGCCTTCAAGGTCGCCCACCCGCGCTGCCAGCCAGATACGCCCGGCGGCTACAAAGACCCATGGGAGAAGTAGCTTCGAAGAGCGACCACAAGATCCGTCAGCGAGGAGTGCCACTGCGGCTTTACGCTGTGATCTTGAGTAGCCGGCTGCGAGAACGATGTCGCTCCTTGATGAGAATTCGAGGCACCGCGGCGATCGTGCAACCGCAAAGGAGCTGCTTATCTTATTGACAGATTCCGTATGATCCTTTTATGAAGCCATTCCGATTCTGTTTAGAGAAGGCGTCGTTTCCCAAAAAGTTTCACCGATACCGTGGCTTGTGTGCTATCGATGCAATCATTACGTTGCAATAAAAGACAACCTTCGTTGACAGAAACAGAAAACACGCCGTCAGATCACTCTGCACTGTGGCTGACAACGCACAATTTTGTCGTGCACTCGTTTGTGGACGCGAGCACCGCTGGGCCCTTTGATTAGGAGGAGCAGAAATTCGAGGGTGCGCCCCGTCATCAAAAGGGCGCGTGTCACGCGCCAGGTGTAGCCAAGAGGGGAGACAGTGGCACGGCGAAAAAGAAAATCCTAATGATCTCGCTGGAGAAGACGCTTTCAGCGCGCGCCAAATTCAGCCGCCATAGCCGACCTTCTCTTGTCTTACCGAGATGTCGAGCGACTGAAGCGGGCGTTGACGAGTCTCCACAAGGGCCTATGCTGGGGAGAAGGACACGGTAGAATCTGAAATGGCAATTACCTGTCCTGCTGTGGTAATGATGAAGTGGATCGAACGGAATAAAAGGAAACAAAAACTGAAGGTCGGTTATGGCGGCGCCCATGCACAGCTGCCTGAAAGCGTCTCCGGAAGGTTCTGCACGCTCCGGGTAGCACGCGCTCCACTGTTCGTATTTCTTTTGATCATGACTGTTTTTATTTTTTTTTTTTAGGTAATGTGTGGAGATATACATATTATGTACAGCGTGTCTCCTGAGCTCAGAAGAGCTCGTAAATAAGCACCCTTGGAAGACCAAAGCCAAGAGCACCCAGAATAATCGAAGCCAGCTGACAGCCTTACCTCCTCGCAACGTCTCGAGCCGGACGCTTAGCGTCCCTGTCTGCGCTCAATCTCACTTTGGCGAGGTCGGAATGCTAGTGCACGGGCCTTGATTATTTTATGTGGTTTTGCCAACTGCACATCCTGTGTCTCCCATCGTTATCTGCAGGGTTAAGTACACTTACATTTTTTAAGTCCGCGCGTCTGCAAGTTCGAGTGTAGCGACATATTTTAAACGGAACACCACCACAGCAAAGGCTCGTGGCCACAAATATTTTAGTGTATTTACCTTAGTAAATATGTTACTCGAAGGTATTTCTTGGGATTCTTAACATTTTCTTCTTATTTATTCGCGTATTTCACTTCAATACGGTGTAAAGACGTACTTCGTAATGCTGATTTTAAATCTGCAATCAGCTTTAAGATATCTTTTGTCAAACAAAAAAATATGGCGAGATATAAAATCCTAATTAGGCCATTTCTTATGGGTCGTAGAGTGATTTCTTATTAAGAACTATTCTATTACATATAGTGATTTACCAAGGTTCACAATACGGCCTAAAGCTACTCTAATATTTATAAAAAATATATTATTATAAATAAATCACATTTGCAAAGAGAAAACACGTGGGATGATAATTACCTTGAGAGGCAGTTAATTACTGTAGAGAATAGAGCGAACCGTTAACTCTCAAGATTCAGTTATTTCAACACACTTGACAAAAAAGGCAAGCTGAAAGAAAAAAAATCACTCTAAAAAAATAGTGTTTATACGTTAAATCCAGCTCCTGGAGACTGCATTTTGCTGTTGTTTAAAATAGCTAGAGATGGGGTTGGTAAATCATATTTTGTGGGGAGATAGTACGAACTGTAAAAATATCAAAACTAACTTTATATAAAAAAATATTCCTATTTTTTTGTTATTTAAAAACTTTCTTTTACATTCAATGGCTTATTACTTTTCAGATATTCCGAGTTGTGTGTCGTCCTTGCACTTGTACATAAAGAGAAAAAAAACCGAATTTGAGCCGTGTAAAGTATTCCTTGACAGTTGGGTCCTTGTTGATCGTTTCTCTGAACTTAGCTTTCAGTCAGCGCATGCACCGCTCACGTGATGTTATTATGGTCCTCTGAAGCTCCATTTTCCCTGTTGCATGAGACAGGTGCGTGCTGAAAACAGATCATAAGAATAACGCAGAAACCACAGATGCGCTTTTTCAGCTCAACCTGAACGCAGCTGGTGGTGTTCCATGCAGTCCTTGCGGATCTCTGAACCATTATCGTGTACGAATTAAGACACAAATTTTAAATTGTTCGAAGTATACCGAAAAGTTGACGTCAGTTTTGCTCTATCGTTGCTTCAAACTCTATCAAATCTAACACCACTGAAAGAGGCCTTGGCCGCCAATCACGACGACGTATGGTTCGGATTGGTTGGGCTTGGTTCATTACGCGCTTGAACCTGCCAACGGATTCGACCTTCCTACATAAAACAGCAGAAAGCCACACTTGACTGAAGGCACTAGATTGAACATCGACCGCTCCCAGGGGCGTTACATTTTTCGGGGTCACAGTGTTACTTCTTTTTTCGCAGGTTCGTAGGAAACTCCTGTCTTTGCCCAGCATTGCCAGTTAGTATACGGGACGAGATTTTTTTATCAGGGACGAATTGATGGTAGGCCTCTTCTAGAAGCAGAACACCCCCCCCCCCCCCTCCCTCCCCAAGGGGTATATTTAAGCTACAGCTATACTGCTTGGCGTCTGCTAGATAATCCTTTAGTTTGTTCAGAGCTCAGAAACATCAAACGCTAGCAGAAATGTCTTCTAATGTGAGTTTTTGTTCCGTTCTTCCATTGAGCCACCTCAACTAACTATATCTTCTGACTACCCGGCCTTTACCATTTCCGGTACGCTATTTAGTATCTTGAAATTCATAACAGTTATTTTGAAATCGGCAAACGAAAATTACGCAAAAACCAACATTCCAATATAGCTGCACTTTTCAGTGCCGTGACGTAAGTGGCAGGCAGGCTTGCCAGTCGAGCAAGCAGTCTAAAAAATAGAATATGCCAATCATTTGTTCCGTGCTGGAGCGCGGGTACTGGAGCAAACTTCCAAAGCATTCATTTGACGCCATGAAACTGCTTCGAATCAGTTGGGAACAAATTCTACAGTCCAAAGAGTGAACCCCTGCCTTCCACTGACGTCACTTTTTCGTTGTTGCCAGCAGAAACTTTCAGTTTGAAAAGCACGGTGAGGACCAAAACTGTAAATTCAATAACTTTCCGAAAAACGGCATTTTGACCTAATATTTGGGATGCTATATTAGCGATGTTTGTTGGTGAGTTTAGCAAAATTTCAAGCAAATCTGAGACAATGAAAAAACCTTTGGAGTACCGCTTTAATGGCATGACTATAAAAAAATACTCTGCACTCTGAGAAGCTCTCACGTTGTTCATGGTTGTAAGAAAATGTACAGAGGAAAATTATACAGCGTCCTTTCAGAATCACTCTTGTTTGCACTTGGCAGTCGTACTGAACTCGATTAACTTCTCTACACTGGGTAACAATGTCGCCATACTCTATCAGACGAAACCTCTGCTGTCTAAACAGCCTAATTGGGACAAGCATGTCTCAAAACAATTTCCCCGCGAACAAAAAAAAAAATTTTACAGCAATATTTATTGCGTGAGACTGACTTTAGATTGCGGCTATTTCGTCCTTTTTAAATCGCGCGCCACAAAGTGGATATTAAACGTCACGGAGTGACTGATATACGTCACGGAGCGACGTCCGTTGGCTAAAGATTGATTGACAGCTTAGATCTTGGTTGTTAAACCTTTGTGATATGTTGTAATTTCCTTTTGAGCGGCATATTTTTACGTTTAAAGAATAACCCATGGAATGAGAGTTATTATTCTTTACGAAAGGTTTACAAGACGGGCACTTCCATTTGGATTCATACCATAACAAACAAAAACTTCGCCATTCTTTTCATGGCCGCCGAAGTCTCTGCTCCCGCCTGTCTCGCCTACCTCGACTAGTCGTTTCGCCGAAGTGATCAGTGTTTCGTCTTGACCCAGGTGCTTGAGTGAGACTTCCTGAAGTGAAGTAGCGTGTATTTAGCAGCTTTCGCAGGTGTTAGTGATGGGAAGCGACGCGGGGTTTTGGCTTTCATAGCGCAGTTTGTTACTTTCGTTTTCATCTTTGCTTTCTTAGCGTGCAAATGCCGACATTTTAGAGATGTCAGTTCCTGTAAAGCGGCGTCGTCGCTCTGCAAAGTGCTGCCAGGGGAATGATCGCGACAGGGAGTCTTCCAGCTGCCATGTCGACCCGAAAGACGACAAGCCGAATGCTATTTGGCTGGAGGCAATCGGGCGTTCGCGTAGCGACAAACCTACATGGAATAAAAAGAGACCTCCAAGGTGGCGACCGTGGTGGCCGATGCCAACGCACCTAGCGAGTGACATGAAGTGAATATCACCTCTATGACGGAGGCCCACTGCGGAGAAGGCGCGGTGTAACGAGGTTTTGGTCGCACATTAAAATATCCCCGGTGGTTAAAACTAGTCCCCAGTCCTTCACGCTAGTGTGTGTCAGATGCCCTTCGTTGATTTGGCACGTAAGACCCCCAAATTTGACTTCTGATTTCGACTCCGCAAGCTTGGCCTCAGCAGAAGTTAAGAACTCGTTGACTTGTCGCCTTTACTGCAGCTCTGGAAGCTGTGCTCACCAAGATGGCAGGCAAATACTGCATAAGAGACACCGTCACCATGGCCGACGCTTGCCTGGTGCCTCAAGTTTATAACGCCAAGCGCATCAAGGTGGACTTGACTCCCTACCCGCCCATCGTACGGGTGAAAAACACCCTTGACAAACTAGAGGCATTCAAGGCTGCGCACCCGTGCCGCCAGCCAGACACGCCGGAGAAGCTCAAAGATCCCTCGAAACATTTCTGATAAGGTTTCCACTCTCCACAAGATATGCCTTGTTTTTGAACGATAAAAAAAAGCTGCCATTGTTTCTGCTGCCTTCAAAATAAAAAAAAAAAATGTTTTCTCTACCTCGTCACGTGCATGTGCACCGACCTTGTGACTCCTTGGCGCCATATCTACAATATGTGTGGAGCACTGTTTCTCTATACATCCTATTCGTTTTTCGGGCATAATTTTTTCTTGGCTCGATACACTTTTAACAATGCTGTATACGACCATTTCTCGTGGATGGTACTCGCATTTGTTCTCCCAAATACCCTAGAATCTTCTCTCTAGTGAAATGCAGTTCCATGGTCACCTCATAGATGGCGCTGCAATGTTTGTTCTCTCGTCGTCGTAAGAAACCGCCAGGAGAGTGTGGACGGATTTTTATTGTCAAGATATAAAATAAATCAATGGGAAGTTCAGAACTTGGATGAAATAATGGGAACACTGGGTTTATTAATTTGTTGTGTGGTACCTTGGAAATCCTGGAATTCGGAGATGGTGATTGGATAGTCATTCACAAGAAAAACGGGTGTTTTAAGTTTTCTGTATCGTTTGTGCTATAACGTGTTTTTCTTTCCCTTTCATATATATTTCTTTTTGTGTGTCATGATTATTTTATTGTTGTCTCTTGATTTGTGTCGAACTTGCCAGCAAGCGGATCCCTGGTTCGAGTCATTTTTGTTTCTTTGGAATTTGCAGGCGTGGAATTATATATATATATATTTTGAATTATTGGACGGCTTTAAGTTCCAGCAACAGTCAACTGCATCATAATGCTACAGGTGTGCGGTGCTAATGCGGCGACGGCAGATGACGAAGCTTTGGCCTTGATATACAGTCCGCGGTAGGTGTACGCTCTGAAAACGAAACCGGAACCAAATCCTATAACAACAAATACAAGCGCGCTGGTTAAGAAACGATTTGTAAACTCTAAAATGGAGAAGATAAACAAACAAGAGTGACCCGGGGTATTTCCATTGAGTATTTGATACAAAACGCCCAATACGGCTAATGAAGTTGAAAGCTATACCTTTTTCGAACGAAAATAGTGAATCCAAGGGACGTCCGACGTTTAGTTTGCAAGTTTGGAACGCACCGATACCACTGATATCAGTGGTCGATACACCCAGTTCCCCTCACCGGTTCCTCCCCTCGGTTGTTTACGAAGTCGTCGCTGCCGGTGGTTGTCTTTTAGCACTCGTCCGAAGTTCGTGCGATCTTTGCGTGCCTTGTCAGCTGCAAGAATGGCATCCAAGGTAATCACTTCAAATATATTCCAAAGCGCCCGTCCGTGATGAGCTTTTTACTCGCTCTTTTTTGCAGCCGATTCTGTACTCTTTTCACAGCAGTTCTTGTGCCTGGCGGGTCAGAATAGGTGAGTTCAACGAGACACACAGAGCTCCCGCAATTCTAAATCCAAATTACAGGACTTTTATCGTCTGTACAAACAGAAATGATTTGATCTTTTACTCGAGCTTTTTTGTCGCGACTTGCGTTGTTGTTAAAAGGGTTGTCCTTTTCGCAGTCCTTGCGCTGAAGAACGTCGACTACGAATACAAGACCGTCAAATTGAGGACACCTGCCGGTGGGGATCAGGTATATTGGGGTTGTTGACACGAAGCTAAAGGAGCGTTCACACCGGCGATCCGCAGCTGTCGCGCGATAACTTTAATCGCAAAAGCGACCATCGCGGAAAACAAAGCGACGCCCGTCCTTTTGCGATGCGATTGCGGTGTGCACGACGGCAGCCTGCCACAAAAATAGCCGTGGGTCTATCTAGTACACTGTACCGTGTGAGATATCTCGTGCTTGATTGAAGTTGTTCGACGGAGCGGGTTCTTGAAACCTGGCGTGAACGGTAGCCCCATCTTTGAGGACCCGGCTAAAGTTTTACGAAAGCGCAGCACCGGGGGAAAGCATCGCAGCTCGCATCGAAAGCAGACGCCGTACCGGCGTCTGCTTTCGATGCTTCTTTCGATGCGACTTTCGATGCGAGCTGTGCTGCTTTTCCCCGGTGCTGCGATTTCGTGAAACTTTCGCCGGGTCCTCAAAGATCGGGCTACCGTTCACGCCGGGTTTCAACAATATGTTTCGTCGACCAATTTCAATTAAGCACGAAATATCACCCAAGGCTATTTTTATGGCAGCCCGCCACCCAACGAGGTAGCTGCCACCACAACTGTCACAGCGCTGTCTGCCATGAACGGATGATAGTGGCTGCACCAGTGCACATTAGCTAGAGGTAATATAACTCTACCAACAAGATGGCCGCCAGTGTCCGGATTCGCGGAGCGGGCAAACGCGATCCAGCAAATAGACATAGAGATCAGTGGCGCACGCTCCTGATTTTTTTTTTTATTCTTTTTTTTTTTTTTTGCGATGCGATTTAATTGCATCGCGCGAGTGCTTTACATCGCCGGTGTGAACCCGCCTCTGGGCTTGAAAGAAAGCAAAACAAACAAAGCTGTCATGCTGGTGTTCATATCCTTCAGTACACAGAGGAATTCAAGAAGCGCAACCCAATGTTCCTGTTCTTGAGGTGGACGGCAAGAGCATCAGCCAGTCGGTATGTTGTTTAACGTGTACAGCTAAAAACATTGTTTGTTTGTTTTTTTTAAAGAATGGCATAGGAATTAGGCACGAACATGGGATAATGTTTTTATTCCAAGAGCCATGAGCTCTATCTTTTTTTTTAAGTTTCTAGGATTTACGCAAGCACACTGGCCATTCCCAAAAAAATGCAAGCCAAAAGGGGAGATCAAAGAAAAAGTATCAGGGGAACTGGCTCAACATGATTCGAAACCTTGAGACAGGTTCCAGTGCTATCCCTAGAATTTAGAAAAATCACTATAAATATAAGAAACCCAGAGAACACCGTAACAACACCGCTTACTTCATCTTTCAACCCAGAAAAACAACAAAAATAATCAAAAATGTGGGACAAGCATGAGGGGGGTTTTTGTCCTTCGTTTCCCCCCCCCCCCCCCCTTTTTTTTTCGTTTTCCTCTGAATTTTGAGTTTTTCTTTTTAAATTTACAGTTACTAATAAAAAGCAAGTCCGTCAAAATAACGCGCCATACTATTTCAAATAAATGGCTTTATTATTTATTTATTTTTTTTTTTTGTCTACGCGTGCGAGTATTTTGTGTCCTCTTTCCTCTAAAAGTAAAACTAAGAGGATCCATCTCAGGAAAAGGTGCAAATGGACAATGTGTTTATGTGTGAGTTACCTTCAAGAAGGTAGGGCGAGCTCGGAAAGAAAGGCCAGGGAAAGATTCCTCCCCCCCCCCCCCCCCCCCCCCCTTCTCCAGTGCTCCGTCTGCTTCCTCCTCCCCAGCCTTCTTTTCCCTCGCCCCTTCTTGAGTTGCCACGGACCATAGTTTGCTTGTGTTTTAAATAGTAATATCACTTTTCCTTCTTTTCTTTCTTTCTTTCTTTTTGCTTCTTTTTTGGTTAAAGAGCATGTCAGATATCTGAGCTCAAGGTAAACTGAGCTCGGACACTCTTCCAGGTAGCTATCATGGAGTACTTGGAAGAAACCTATCCCCAACCCAGACTTCTGCCTGCAGAGCCCTACCTAAGAGCCAAGGTAATCCCCCTGCATTCTAATTGATGAAGTTTTACGCAGTGACGTGCACAGCCATTTCCCCGGAAGGGCCACACGATAGCTACGTGCCCTAGTTTCCTGTAGCATTGCAGAAACAGCTGGCATAGCATGTTAGGGTTTTCTAACCGGCGGCTGTGCTACAGTCCTAGAACTATGCAAAATGAGTTTCTCATAAAAAACTTAAAGCCGTTTACAACCCCCTGTAACGCCGGATTAGAGGTCAGCTCTTGAGGAGGAGGAGGGGAAGGGTACTGAGGGGAAGGTGTACCCCTCCTCCCTCCTCCTCATCCTGTCTGCTACTCCTCCCTCCGAGCGGCGGCGTCTCACGAGGGTCACGTGACCTCAAGGGGGTCACGTGACCTCAAGGGGGTCACGTGACTTCACCGGGGTCACGTGACTTCACCGGGGTCACGTGACCCCTTTGAGGTCACGTGACGATGACGTCATCACGACGACGTCATCCTCATCACGATGACTTCATAAGTGACGTCACCAGTGACATCATCGTCATCGTCGCTGATGACGTCATGATCACTGATGACGTCATCAGTGACTATGACGATGCTGATGACGTCATCAGTGACGTCATCAGTGGCGATGACGATGCGGATGCCGATGGCGTAATCAGTAACGTTACCAGTGACGTCATGCATCCCATAATGCGCCGTGCGGTTACGCCGACGGCGACGGCGACGCTGCTCAAGCCGGAAACGGGCGCCTAAGAGCTGGGCTCTAAGAGTCGGCAGACACCTAAGCACTTCTTATGAGTTGTGAATGCTAAAGCATGAATGTCCGGCGATGTGGATGCTAGAGGCGGCGCCATGTTCGTCGGCGGCGAAACGAGCAGAAGCCTCCAAGCGCGCGCCATCGTGTCCGTTTTAACCGGCGCAGGTCCCGTAGTGGCATGGGGTTGCGGCGGTTAGTTTTATCGGCGCGCTGGCGGCACTAGAGTTCCTGTATAGGCTCCCGTACCGCTCATTCACACTGGAAGCGGATCCGCGTTCGCAAAGCGGTTGCGAACGCGGTGGTATAAAGATCCAGTACCATTGCACGCGCATTTGATGTCACCGAGTGCGCGTGCAATTGTACTGGATCTTTATACAACCGCGTTCGTAACCGCGCATCCGCTTCCAGTGTGAATGAGCGGTACGGGAGCCAGAGTTGCGCGTCTGTTTTCCGAGTGCCGCCGCGCCGCTATCCGCCAAGATCCGATCACGTGAGGAGCCGGATCAAGTGCCTTGCAGGAAAGTAGACGTTGCACGCGCCCCGTTGCACGTTGCCCTGCTTTTGAGCGCGCCGCGCGCCTCGAACGTGCGGCGCCGCTATTCGTCGAATTCAGTCACGTGACGAGCGGGATCAACATGCCGTGCAGGAAAGACGGCGCTACGGAGATGAACGCGCAAGACTCTAGGCGGCACTAGAGTTCCTGCATAGCCCCCCCAAAGGGGGAGCAGAGTTTCGCATTTGTTTTCCCCGCGCCGCCACGCCGCTATTCGTCGAGATCCATCACGTGAGGAGCAAAGCATCCGTTGGCGTGCAAGAAAGCCACCTTTACGGTCGCTCCGCCCACGTTTCTCGCGCCCCGGCGTATGTTCCCCTGCTTTCCGCCTCCTTTTCCTCCTCTCCTGTTTTCCATGCGCGGCGGCGCGCGCGGCGCCGCTATTCGCCAAATTTAGTCACGTGAGGAGCAAAGCATCCAGGGCGTGCGGGAAAGCCGGCGCTACGGCCACCCGCCGAGGCTGAATGCGCAACTCTGCTACCACAGGTAGCGTATACAGGAACTCTAGGCGGCACTAGGGTGCCTACATGTCTGTCTGTTTCAGGGTGAAGACATCCATTGTTGCCCTTAATGTGCCAGCACGTGACGCTCTCGCGCACTCGGTGCGTGACTTGGGCGCTAAAATAGCGTCTCTACATTAGCTAAAGCTACGCGCTCGAGCTGAGCGACACCGTATTCCACGCACTTCAAAATGCATAGAAAAACGATTGGGCGGAAAAATGGCTGAGATGTCACCACTCAAGTAAGAGCGCGCGTGTGTATGAAGGCACTCTAGGCGGCACGGACACGCAGCGGCATCTGGCGGCGGTCGTTGAAACTGACGCGGGCAGCGGCCAATGGGAGCCTCGTCGCCGCGCGCCAGCCAATGGGGCCTTAGGAATCGGGGAATCTAGATGCCGTTTTCGCGCTTCAAACTGATGACGTCGGCTCGCTCCATACGACAGTTAATGCTTTCGCATTAATAAAAAAGGACCACTCAATACAAACAATCCCACCCTATTTAAAAAAAAATCTGTGTTTGTCCTCCTAGTTTTTTTTTTTTAAATACTATTAAGTATAGACTTCCTCAAACTATTAGCTTAGCCATTATAGCCATTAATTGATGCTTTGAAACAGCGGGCTTTAGCAATGTATACTTCTAACTATAAAAAAAAAATTGCTTGCGTTACAAAATTTTAAAGTAACACAGTAAGCATGTACCGTGCACTGTGCACAGTGCTCCGTCTGTGTACTCTTCTCTGTCCATCGTAATGTTTACCGCGCCGCTTGTTTGTGTTTTTAGCGTAATCTGTATCAACTTTCAATAATAAAAAAAAAACTCGTAAAACTTTTTTTTTTTTTTTTTTTAACAGAAGCGTTATTTTCGAAGGCGGGCACCGATATCACATGCCCGATGTGTGTAGTTACGCCGCCGCAGCCGGAATGCATATCGTGCATCGTTCACCCTTAAGCTGAGATTAGAAGCTCTGCCTTCAGCGCGAGCTCGCCGACTTCAGCAGCGTTTGGTTACGCGCGTTTGCGCGTTCACACTGGTGTTAGCTAGGGTAGAAAGCTCGCGCTGGTAGCGGAGCTTCTGGTCTCAGCTCAAGGGTGAACAGAGTCTAGTGGGAACTTGTGGGAACCAATTGGAAACTGTAGTCTTTCTGCACTTGTGACGCCGCCGCTGCGGATCATTAGGCTGAACGAGCTGTCTCGTGCACTGCCGCCTGCCTTCTCTGAACTACAGTAATGTCGGCATCACATATGCGTGGAACGCTTGGTGAGATCAGTCTGTTGCGCTCGCCTTTCTAGTGGGAACTTGTGGGAACCAATTGGAAACTGTAGTCTTTCTGCACTTGTGACGCCGCCGCTGCGGATCATTAGGCTGAACGAGCTGTCTCGTGCACTGCCGCCTGCCTCCTCTGAACTACAGTAATGTCGGCATCACATATGCGTGGAACGCTTGGTGAGATCGGTCTGTTGCGCTCGCCTTTCTAGTGGGAACTTGTGGGAACCAATTGGAAACTGTAGTCTTTCTGCACTTGTGACGCCGCCGCTGCGGATCATTAGGCTGAACGAGCTGTCTCGTGCACTGCCGCCTGCCTCCTCTGAACTACAGTAATGTCGGCATCACATATGCGTGGAACGCTTGGTGAGATCGGTCTGTTGCGCTCGCCTTTCTAGTGGGAACTTGTGGGAACCAATTGGAAACTGTAGTCTTTCTGCACTTGTGACGCCGCCGCTGCGGATCATTAGGCTGAACGAGCTGTCTCGTGCACTGCCGCCTGCCTCCTCTGAACTACAGTAATGTCGGCATCACATATGCGTGGAACGCTTGGTGAGATCGGTTTGTTGCGCTCGCCTTTCTAGTGGGAACTTGTGGGAACCAATTGGAAACTGTAGTCTTTCTGCACTTGTGACGCCGCCGCTGCGGATCATTAGGCTGAACGAGCTGTCTCGTGCACTGCCGCCTGCCTCCTCTGAACTACAGTAATGTCGGCATCACATATGCGTGGAACGCTTGGTGAGATCGGTCTGTTGCGCTCGCCTTTCTAGTGGGAACTTGTGGGAACCAATTGGAAACTGTAGTCTTTCTGCACTTGTGACGCCGCCGCTGCGGATCATTAGGCTGAACGAGCTGTCTCGTGCACTGCCGCCTGCCTCCTCTGAACTACAGTAATGTCGGCATCACATATGCGTGGAACGCTTGGTGAGATCGGTCTGTTGCGCTCGCCTTTCTAGTGGGAACTTGTGGGAACCAATTGGAAACTGTAGTCTTTCTGCACTTGTGACGCCGCCGCTGCGGATCATTAGGCTGAACGAGCTGTCTCGTGCACTGCCGCCTGCCTCCTCTGAACTACAGTAATGGCGGCGTCACATATGCGTGGAACGCTTGGTGAGATCGGTCTGTTGCGCTCGCCTTTCTAGTGGGAACTTGTGGGAACCAATTGGAAACTGTAGTCTTTCTGCACTTGTGACGCCGCCGCTGCGGATCATTAGGCTGAACGAGCTGTCTCGTGCACTGCCGCCTGCCTCCTCTGAACTACAGTAATGTCGGCATCACATATGCGTGGAACGCTTGGTGAGATCGGTCTGTTGCGCTCGCCTTTCTAGTGGGAACTTGTGGGAACCAATTGGAAACTGTAGTCTTTCTGCACTTGTGACGCCGCCGCTGCGGATCATTAGGCTGAACGAGCTGTCTCGTGCACTGCCGCCTGCCTTCTCTGAACTACAGTAATGTCGGCATCACATATGCGTGGAACGCTTGGTGAGATCGGTCTGTTGCGCTCGCCTTTCTAGTGGGAACTTGTGGGAACCAATTGGAAACTGTAGTCTTTCTGCACTTGTGACGCCGCCGCTGCGGATCATTAGGCTGAACGAGCTGTCTCGTGCACTGCCGCCTGCCTCCTCTGAACTACAGTAATGTCGGCATCACATATGCGTGGAACGCTTGGTGAGATCGGTCTGTTGCGCTCGCCTTTCTAGTGGGAACTTGTGGGAACCAATTGGAAACTGTAGTCTTTCTGCACTTGTGACGCCGCCGCTGCGGATCATTAGGCTGAACGAGCTGTCTCGTGCACTGCCGCCTGCCTCCTCTGAACTACAGTAATGGCGGCGTCACATATGCGTGGAACGCTTGGTGAGATCGGTCTGTTGCGCTCGCCTTTCTAGTGGGAACTTGTGGGAACCAATTGGAAACTGTAGTCTTTCTGCACTTGTGACGCCGCCGCTGCGGATCATTAGGCTGAACGAGCTGTCTCGTGCACTGCCGCCTGCCTCCTCTGAACTACAGTAATGTCGGCATCACATATGCGTGGAACGCTTGGTGAGATCAGTCTGTTGCGCTCGCCTTTCTAGTGGGAACTTGTGGGAACCAATTGGAAACTGTAGTCTTTCTGCACTTGTGACGCCGCCGCTGCGGATCATTAGGCTGAACGAGCTGTCTCGTGCACTGCCGCCTGCCTTCTCTGAACTACAGTAATGTCGGCATCACATATGCGTGGAACGCTTGGTGAGATCGGTCTGTTGCGCTCGCCTTTCTAGTGGGAACTTGTGGGAACCAATTGGAAACTGTAGTCTTTCTGCACTTGTGACGCCGCCGCTGCGGATCATTAGGCTGAACGAGCTGTCTCGTGCACTGCCGCCTGCCTCCTCTGAACTACAGTAATGTCGGCATCACATATGCGTGGAACGCTTGGTGAGATCGGTCTGTTGCGCTCGCCTTTCTAGTGGGAACTTGTGGGAACCAATTGGAAACTGTAGTCTTTCTGCACTTGTGACGCCGCCGCTGCGGATCATTAGGCTGAACGAGCTGTCTCGTGCACTGCCGCCTGCCTCCTCTGAACTACAGTAATGGCGGCGTCACATATGCGTGGAACGCTTGGTGAGATCGGTCTGTTGCGCTCGCCTTTCTAGTGGGAACTTGTGGGAACCAATTGGAAACTGTAGTCTTTCTGCACTTGTGACGCCGCCGCTGCGGATCATTAGGCTGAACGAGCTGTCTCGTGCACTGCCGCCTGCCTCCTCTGAACTACAGTAATGTCGGCATCACATATGCGTGGAACGCTTGGTGAGATCGGTCTGTTGCGCTCGCCTTTCTAGTGGGAACTTGTGGGAACCAATTGGAAACTGTAGTCTTTCTGCACTTGTGACGCCGCCGCTGCGGATCATTAGGCTGAACGAGCTGTCTCGTGCACTGCCGCCTGCCTCCTCTGAACTACAGTAATGGCGGCGTCACATATGCGTGGAACGCTTGGTGAGATCGGTCTGTTGCGCTCGCCTTTCTAGTGGGAACTTGTGGGAACCAATTGGAAACTGTAGTCTTTCTGCACTTGTGACGCCGCCGCTGCGGATCATTAGGCTGAACGAGCTGTCTCGTGCACTGCCGCCTGCCTCCTCTGAACTACAGTAATGTCGGCATCACATATGCGTGGAACGCTTGGTGAGATCGGTCTGTTGCGCTCGCCTTTCTAGTGGGAACTTGTGGGAACCAATTGGAAACTGTAGTCTTTCTGCACTTGTGACGCCGCCGCTGCGGATCATTAGGCTGAACGAGCTGTCTCGTGCACTGCCGCCTGCCTTCTCTGAACTACAGTAATGTCGGCATCACATATGCGTGGAACGCTTGGTGAGATCGGTCTGTTGCGCTCGCCTTTCTAGTGGGAACTTGTGGGAACCAATTGGAAACTGTAGTCTTTCTGCACTTGTGACGCCGCCGCTGCGGATCATTAGGCTGAACGAGCTGTCTCGTGCACTGCCGCCTGCCTCCTCTGAACTACAGTAATGTCGGCATCACATATGCGTGGAACGCTTGGTGAGATCAGTCTGTTGCGCTCGCCTTTCTAGTGGGAACTTGTGGGAACCAATTGGAAACTGTAGTCTTTCTGCACTTGTGACGCCGCCGCTGCGGATCATTAGGCTGAACGAGCTGTCTCGTGCACTGCCGCCTGCCTCCTCTGAACTACAGTAATGTCGGCATCACATATGCGTGGAACGCTTGGTGAGATCGGTCTGTTGCGCTCGCCTTTCTAGTGGGAACTTGTGGGAACCAATTGGAAACTGTAGTCTTTCTGCACTTGTGACGCCGCCGCTGCGGATCATTAGGCTGAACGAGCTGTCTCGTGCACTGCCGCCTGCCTCCTCTGAACTACAGTAATGTCGGCATCACATATGCGTGGAACGCTTGGTGAGATCGGTCTGTTGCGCTCGCCTTTCTAGTGGGAACTTGTGGGAACCAATTGGAAACTGTAGTCTTTCTGCACTTGTGACGCCGCCGCTGCGGATCATTAGGCTGAACGAGCTGTCTCGTGCACTGCCGCCTGCCTCCTCTGAACTACAGTAATGTCGGCATCACATATGCGTGGAACGCTTGGTGAGATCGGTCTGTTGCGCTCGCCTTTCTAGTGGGAACTTGTGGGAACCAATTGGAAACTGTAGTCTTTCTGCACTTGTGACGCCGCCGCTGCGGATCATTAGGCTGAACGAGCTGTCTCGTGCACTGCCGCCTGCCTCCTCTGAACTACAGTAATGTCGGCATCACATATGCGTGGAACGCTTGGTGAGATCGGTCTGTTGCGCTCGCCTTTCTAGTGGGAACTTGTGGGAACCAATTGGAAACTGTAGTCTTTCTGCACTTGTGACGCCGCCGCTGCGGATCATTAGGCTGAACGAGCTGTCTCGTGCACTGCCGCCTGCCTCCTCTGAACTACAGTAATGGCGGCGTCACATATGCGTGGAACGCTTGGTGAGATCAGTCTGTTGCGCTGGCCTTTCTAAGCTTCATCCAGGGTTCAGCAGCCGATTGTCCTTGCTCGGGGAAAGTGCCGTGAAGTGGTGGAGGCTGCTGCAGACTGATAACTTCCGGTGTGTCCGTCCCTTTCCCAGACGAGGGAAATCACGGAGCTTCTCGTTTCCGGGGTGCAACCGCTGCAGGGCCCGGGCCTCATCCCCAAGCTCGGGAAGGAGGCGTGGCAAAACTGGGCCCAGTTTTACATCACGAAGGGCTTTACAGGTTGGAAGAGATTTCTCGGCTCAATGACCTCACACGTAATCTCCTGAGCACGTGCTGCCGCTCATGCTTTTGTAATTAGAGCATTTCTCACCATCGAAATTGTCTTTCTCGCATGACGCCCTGTTGTGAACAGCTCGCCCAATAATGGCAAAACGCAAATTAGACGCTGAGCAGGATGAATACGGCAGGGCGTTTCTTTCGGATGACTGACCTCCAGGGGTCCATATCTCATGAGTGAATGACGTTTTAGCAAATAACGGGGGCGCTCTTACTTCATTATCGTTACTAACTGGCTGCATTTTAGAGTGGCCAATATCTCCATTCATCGAAGAAGAAAAGTTCCAGGCAGCGGCAATATGGTTAACCCGGTTACAACCGGTCGTGACCTGATCGACTGTATATTAGGGGGTCCAGGTGGTGTCCTAGTCTGTTTGCATTTTCCTCAATATTGACTTGTGTCGGGTCCTGTGCCTGTGTTCAGTGTTTTGCGCATCTCACGGGTCATCCCGCAGAAAGTAAGTGCCCAGAGCAACTAAAAATTTTCGGGAAGCCTGGATGCCTTTATGTGCGTGCGCTGTCCCGTGTATTTAGCTGTCTTATGCCAGCATTGCGTTTCGGCGACGTTTAATCAGATTGCTACTAGTTTGCAAAGAAGTACTAAGTACACGTTCGCCTGACCGCCTCAGGGCTTTTTGATGATCCGTTGAACCAGTCCAACGCTTGTTTCATAAGTTGTGACAGATAACGAGTCATACAGTGTGGTCGGTTTGCCTTGCTGCATACCCGACCCGGAGGAATAACACGGAGCCAACGGTTTCAACAACAAGAAACTACATTTAATTGGACATGGACAAGACGATTAACATTGCTACCGGCGCTGCCGGAGTCCAGACAGCGACTCCCCGTGCGCCGCCTCTGATCTCTCTTATCAAGGCGGCGCATCCGATGTGCGCGTGGCTGGCGTGACGTCGCCGCCACGCGGGAAAAGTTCGGCTTGAGCCTCGCAGTCGGGCAACTTGGCTTGGGAGCCGCCAGGGTGCCCACACTTCCCCCCCCCTCAAGCTTCGTCCGGCATGTCGATGACGGAGACGCTGTGGGCGTCAGGGGGTGGATGGCGCTGTTGGGCGGACTGACGTTTAAGTCCGGCCGGCGCCTGCTGGACGAGCGCGGCGGCTGCTGGCGAGCGCGGCGGCTCGGTCAGCTCCAGCTTGTCGCTTGTTCGGGATCAGGGCTCCACCAGGTGGCTGCTTTGCCCGTGGTCCTGTAGAGGGTGGCCGCGGTCCACGATGAGACCGGCCGCCGTGTCGTTCAGATGGCGGGTATGGCGACGGTTTTGTCCATGAGTCAGCTTCGTAGAAAACATGGAAGCAGACGACATGGGACTCAGTTGAGGGCTGAGCCTGACGTTATTTTCGGACCCCTTCCAGAAAGTTTGAAATAACGGATCTGAGGTGGGCACACAATCTTCTCCCCCCTCTCTTGAAAAAGGGGCAGATCCGTGGAAGTAGAAAACTACCCCCAAAATGCGAAAGAGGCCAAGGAGACAAAAAAAAAAGTTCCTCTCTCTTTGGTGTCACCGACGTCGCAGGTTATACCGCCGCCTTGGTGGAGACAAGGGGGTTTCCGGAACGGGACTGCCGTCAGTGTCGTTCCGGTCCTGCGAGGAATCTTCGTCTTCTGCTTGGAAAAATCGTTTAAGGTCGGTGACATGAACAGGTCCGGTTTCCTCACTAGACTCACAGTTAACTAGTTTGTAAGTGAGTGGCGAGCACTTTTCACGCACGCGAAACGGACCTTCCCACCTGTTGGCGAGGGAGGCTGCGAAGCCTCGAGCGGCGTCACTCAGTGGGTGAGTACGCCGGAGTACAAAATCTCCCACCTCGAACTGCAAGTCACGTCGCCCCCGGTTGTACTGTTCAGCCTGCTGTACCCGGGCGACGTCGAGATTTTCTCTGGCCTCTCGAAGGTTATCGGAGAAGCGCTTTCGCAGGTCCTCTGCGAACTTCACGTAGGGGCGAGGCCTTCCTCCAGACTCTGTAGAAAGGAGGCTGTTAGAAAGCGGGAATGCGAGCTCCTTGCCGAAATTTAATTGGGCAGGAGTGAGACCCGTTGACCGATTAGTGGTTGTACGGGTCGCGAATGCCAGCTCGGGCAGTTTCGCGTCCCAGTCCTTGTGGCGCTCTGTGTAGGCCACTAGCATCATCTTAAGGTTTCGATTTACCCTTTCCGTGATGTTTGCTTGCGGGTGGTACGGGGAAGTTCTTTTGTGTTTGATTCCCAGTACCGCGCATGCGTCCACAAACACCTTACTCGTGAAATAGGAGGCATTATCGCTTACAAGCTGTGCAGGAAAGCCAAACCTAGCGAATGTTTCGAGTAGACACTCCCAGATTTTTTGCGAATCTAGCTTCCGCAATGGAAATAACTCAACCCACTTCGTGAAGTGGTCGGTTACCACGAACAAGTACTGATTGCCCCGGGTACTACGTGGGAAGGGGCCCATGACGTCACAGCAACAAATCTGCCAAGGGCTCTGACTCGCGATTGGTTGCATGAGACCGGGGGGCTGGCCACCACGTGGTTTTGCCTTCTGGCACACCGAGCAGCTACGAGCGTATCGGAGCACATCCTGCCTCATGCCTGGCCAGGTAGCAATTTGGGATAACTTTTCGTAGGTCTTGCTCCCACTGCTGTGTCCTGCCAAGGCAGAGTCATGCATGTATCGGATGAAAAGCTTACGTAGCTTGCGGGGTATCACGGTCCGGAATGCCGAGCCATCCGGATCGTCGTCGGCCTGGGGGATGTAGCGCAGCAGGAGACCGTCGTCGCTCATCAAGTAGGAGTCGAACTCCTCGTCACTTGGGCGGTCGACTGGACCTCTTTCTGCCAGCCAAGCGGACACGCGTTGGCAGAGTCCGTCATCCAGCTGCGCCTTGCGAAGCTCCTCGCGGCTCACCAATGTACCCCACCGTGAATCTGGGGATCCTCGTGTCGTGGCCGCGACGGTCACCAAGCCATGGGTATCCTGCGAGTGTTCCTCAGGAAGTGGAGCACGAGAAAGCGCATCAGCAACTTTGTTAGTTGACCCCGGGCGGTACACAATGGAGTAGTCGTACTGTTGTAGCGTAAGCGCCCAACGAGCAAGACGTCCAGCTGGATTCTTAAGTCCCCTTAGCCATGATAGCGCTAAGTGATCAGATTGAATCTGGAACGTTGCGCCATCTAGGTACATATCGAAGCGCTTCAAAGCATGAATAATGGCGAGACATTCACGTTTTGCGACACTGTAGTTGCGCTCGGCTGAAGTTAGCGTGTGGCTCGTGAAAGCGACTGGCCGAAGCACACCGCCATACTCCTGCAGCAATACAGCACCCAGGCCACAGTCGCTTGCATCTGTCTGCAGAACGAACGGCTTGTTCAAGTCTGGGAGCTGTAAACAAGCGTTGTCAGTCACGGCTTTTGAAAGGGCTGCGAATGCGCATTGTTGTTGTTCGGCCCAACACCACTTGACGCCTTTTTTTAGGAGGTGATTGAGCGGTTGCGATATCTCGGAACAGTGTGGAATGAAATCCCTGTAGAACGCAATCATTCCGAGGTATCTTTGTAGGCTCTTTACGTCATGTGGGTATGGGTATTCCGTTAGCGCGCGCAACTTATCTTCGTTGGGGCGGAGCGTGCCGTTATCCACAACGAATCCAAGGAGGTTAATCTTGGGCGTGGCTAACTGAACCTTTCCGGGATGAATCGTGAGCCCAGCATTACGCATTCGCTCAAGTACAATGCGAAGGTGCTCGACATGCTCTTCGATAGTTCTCGAGAAAACAACCACGTCATCCATGTATGCCATGGCAAATTCGTACTTCGAGTTCCCAAGTACAACATCCATCAGGCGTTGAAAACTGGCTGGAGAGTTAGACAAGCCAAACGGCAGTCGGGTGAACTCGAACAACCCTCTGTGGCAGATGAAAGCCGTTTTTGGAACGTCTGATGGGTGAATCTCTATCTGAAGGAACCCGCGACTGCAATCCAGCGTTGTAAACACGGTCGCGTTACCGAGCGCGTACATCACGGAGGAAATGCTGGGGAAAGGGTAGCTGTCTCGTACGGACACATCGTTAAGCCGCCTGTAATCCACACAGAGTCTGGCTGTTCCGTCTTTTTTCGGGGCGAGAACAACGGGGAATGCCCAGGGGCTCTTCGACTCACGTACTGAACCGGTGTTGATCATTTCCTCGAGCGCCGCATCAAGGAGTGCCCTTTTGTGGACGCTGATCGGTCGAGGGTTGCACCTCCGAGGCGGCGCGTCACCGGTTTCAATGCGGTGCAGCAGAATGTCAGTCTTTCCAGGTGTTTCCGTGAACATCGGTGAGAAAGACTCCAGGACGGCTTGCAGCTCCTGCTTCTGCTGGCTGCTTGCGGGGCACTTTCGCAACGATTCTCGAACGCCGGCAGGCAAGACGTCTGGCACCGTGGTGAAGTGGGCTGCAGTAGTCGAGTTAGGGATGCAGTCCTCCCTTTTGGTAAATGGAGTCAGCTCCGGTTGTTGTCCCAGCCGGTATCCACCACCAGAAAAGTCGAGTGTCATGCTTTCGCCTGTAATGAAATCTCGGCCCAAGATCACGGGTACCACAAGTCCTGGCATATAAAGAAATCGCTGACGCCGCTTCTTTCCATTAAACCGAATCTGCAGCCTCACGGCTCCTCCAGCTGTTATCGCTGTACCAGAAGCTAGCTGCAAACGGGTTTCGCACTCCCGGAGGCTTATCTTTTTTGCTTTGCAGAGTTCGAAAACGAAATCCCCTATGAGCGAGATAGCGGCCCCGGAATCCAAAAGTGCGGCAATGGAAAAATCGAGCAGTGAAATCGTCATGCGCGGTTCAATGATATTAGGCTCGGGCTGGATTCGACATACCGATGGAATCTGTGCCACGGCCTCACTGCTCCCAGGGACTGCAACGGCCGTCGGCGAGTGGCTGTCTGGTTTCAGCGTCGCCGGCCGTAGTAGTTTCCCTGGTTCTGGTTCCGGCCCTTTGCCGCCGTCTCGTGCCACCTCTTGTTTGTAGTGTCCGGAAGTCTTGGACACTGGTTTCGGTGATGGCCGGGCTGCTCGCACTCGTAGCAGCAGTCCGACGACAGTTGCCTGCTTAGGCCACCGGCACCGAGGTGCCCGTCGGACCGCCTCCAGTGATCGGATAAGGAACCACTATGGGAGGGCCTCCACCAGGCTTGCGACTGGCTGTTGTGGGGAGGGCTTGTTCCGTTGCGGCGGGGGTCAATGCTGCTGGGCTGCGGGTTTGCGACCGCACCGTGCCAGTTTTCGCCAGCACTTGCAGGAGCAGACTGATGAAGATGGTTCGCTTGGGTGGTGATCTCCGTTGGGCCCCAGCTTGCGATAGGGCACGGCCAACGACCTCCCACCTGTCGTGGCGACCCCCGCCCGAAACCCTCACGGGCCTCGCTGTGACCTCCGGGGACCTCTCGGGGAGAGTTAGGCGAACACACGCTTATCCCGCATGGGAGTTCACCATGCATGCCACGCCAACTCTCCTGGTTGACGTGGTGGGGAAGGGAGGTCTCGTTCGGACAGTCCACTTGCGTGGAGGCCTCGGGGCCCCGCCATGCGCATGCCGGCTCGAGCGCGTACTTGGCTGGTGGCGGCGGCACGTAGTTCCGCTCGGCATGAAGAGCTTCCTCGATGAGGCGGGCGCCCCGGGCTAGCTCTTCAAGGGTCTCAAAGGTGCGGTTGATCAGGTAGACGTGGTACCTGGGGTGACACTGTCTTCTGACCCGAGCTACTCTGTCCGACTCCGGTGACTTCGGGTCCGCCCTCTTGAAGAGCTCTTGCATGACCCGAACGTACCGGACCAGACTTTCATCCGGGTGCTGCGTCCTTGCCTCGAGCTCTCGGAGAATCTGCGTCGCGTAGCCTGCAGGCAGGAACTCTTCGCGAAGCCTTGTCTGGAAGTCCGCCAGGCTGGCGAAGGGGGCCTGTGACCCCAACCAGCACCTGGCGCTGGCTTGCAACGCCAGCGGGACAATCCGGTCCACGATGAAGGCTTCCGAGGCACCGGAGGCAAGGTGGTACGTCTGCAGCTCGCCCAGGAAGTCTGCCACGGACTTGACGTCGTCGTACCCCATGTAGACCGGAACAGTCAAGTGTGGTCTGGGCTCTCGCGGCGGGGTTTCCTGCTGGCCAGGCGTGTGGGCCAGGCGCTGCATCACGGAGTCGCACATCTCCGTGACCTTCGTGAGCAGGTTCATTTGTGCTGCTGCGGCCATCGCGGCTTCCTGCTCCCGCGTGAGCATGCCTGCGAGCACAAAAAAAGAAACGCCCCCAAAAACCCAACACAAGCGCGCAAAACGATTGCCGCGTTCACAAAGACACGGTCACAAACACGCCAATACAACAAACGTAAACGTGACGGAAGCACGAAACAACGATAGGAAACACGGGGGGGAATATGAAAAAGGCTTACCGAAAGAAGAAACCAAGCCCCGTGAAATTCCTGCGAGTGGGTAGCATACCACGGTTGGGCGCCATTGTGGTCGGTTTGCCTTGCTGCATACCCGACCCGGAGGAATAACACGGAGCCAACGGTTTCAACAACAAGAAACTACATTTAATTGGACATGGACAAGACGATTAACATTGCTACCGGCGCTGCCGGAGTCCAGACAGCGACTCCCCGTGCGCCGCCTCTGATCTCTCTTATCAAGGCGGCGCATCCGATGTGCGCGTGGCTGGCGTGACGTCGCCGCCACGCGGGAAAAGTTCGGCTTGAGCCTCGCAGTCGGGCAACTTGGCTTGGGAGCCGCCAGGGTGCCCACAACAGGTAGTACCCGTCAGTACAACAGCATTGAGAAGGAAGGAGTATATTCACGGCATTAAAGAAATGGGCAAAGTTTTCAGTAAAATTTGTAGCACATATCGCGAATTTTTAAGGTGAATTCACGAAAACTCATCTTGAAACTGTGGAATTTCATTTTCTCCGTAAAATTTAAAGACTTCTAAACTTAAAATCGAAACTTCCTAACTTTTCAAACTTGAACTTAAAAAAAACTGAAATTTTCGAATTTGTCGGACTTGAATGTTAAATAAATTCGAAAAGCTTGAATTTCTCGAACGACACGTAAATAAAAAATTGAAATATTTAAGAAATCTTGACATTTTCGAATTGTTCGAAATCAAACCTCAGCGGGGTTCTAAAGTTGCGAACTTTTCAAATTCGACCTTAGCGAGGTGCAAAATTTTCGAAACCTTTCGAACTCGACCTCCGGGAGGTTCGTGGCATCCCTAGCTGGAACCGGTTGTACCTTGAGTTCCCGGCAGCCGCAGACGGTTGGTTTAGATCCCGCAGTCAGCGCGATCCAAACCAACGCGTTTTTGTGCGTGCGTAGGCGGTGCGCTTCCCAGAAATTGCGTATTTCGTGACGTTCTTGCTGTTTCCGGTGCGCTTTCTGAGTCGCGACTATGCGCGTTGGTTAAGTTAGGTTAAGTTGGGTTGGGTTGGGTTGGGCTGGGTTGGGTTAGGTTAGGTTAGGTTGGGTTGGGTTGGGTTGGGTTGGGTTCGGTTCGGTTCGGTTGGGTTGGGTTGGGTTGGGTTGGGTTGGGGTCGGGTCGGGTCGTGTCGGGTCGGGTCGGGTGAGCGGAGGGCATCTGCGCCAGATGGCGAAGAAACGCGGAACCGGAACTAGTTCCTGCCACCGATTGGCCGGGAGAGGAGCGCCCTTCTACGTCACAGCGCGTTTTCGTGCGCATTCGGAAAAAGTTGAAATCATCCAACTTTCTTATGCGCGCCTTGAAGGCGCGAGGAATCAGCGCGACGTCACGAAATACACCAATTTCCGGTAGCCGCACGGCCTACGCGCGCACAAAAACGCGTTGGTTTGGATCGGGGCACAAACGGAAAAGCTCGCAAATTCCTTCCGTGAAGTGAGGGTGGAGGAGAGGCAATGAGCGCGTCTTCCACAGCCCTGGAAGCCATCGTGACCGAGACGGCTGGCAAGTACTGCGTCGGCGACGAGATCACCCTCGCAGACGCATGTCTGCTCCCCCAGGTGAGGCCCTCGTCCTTTTTGCACATGCCGAAAATCTATAATTCATTCTCTCGCGCGCGCGTTCATGATATCACTGCCCCCTCCGTGTGACATCATATAGTGTTCCATGGTGGCTACCGGTTGGAGCTGTTTTCCATTTTTTCCTAATCTTGATTTGTTAAATCCGAGCCTTGCGGCTCTGCTGTGCTTTACCTCCGCTGTATTAAGCTGATTAAGCATCGTCAAGAAATCATTATTAAGGCGAAAGTCTTACTTGTCACATTAGGCGAAAAAGAGGCGGCGTTGTGCCCGAAAGATGGTCACAACAATACGTCATGAAGCACGCGCCTCAGGAACAAAACACAAAGAAAAGCACAGCAACGCAGATGCTTCGCCACGAAAGCCATGAAGACGTGGCGCGCGCTTGTAGGAATGGCCCTTTGGCATTCCTACACATAAACAATCTTAAATGTCTCTGTCGATTTCTTTTTTTTTTTTTTTTGTGCGGGAATGCTTTTTGGTTTGTGAAAGTCCTTGCACAAACAAGCTTACTGGGGGGTCAATCCTGTCTTTGACGATGGAAACAAACTTGATGGTTCAAGTTTGTTTTTCTCGGCAAGGACAAGTAGGAGTGCGCTCATCAACGAGACAACAGCAATAGCAGTTCATGCGACATCAGTGCATATATGTCTCAAGCCCACACGTTGACCTACTAAGCGAGGCAAATAAAAAGCTGCCATTAAATTAAACCTCAGACCAATATGTTAGGGAGTAAACGAGGAACGTCTTTTGTGCGAGTTTGTCCGTCTGAAGGCTCTGCGAAAGTGAGGAGTTGAAACCACCCCTTGCTGATGCTATAGGGTGGTTCCACGTGACGTATCTCCGACTCGAGATCTCGCCGGGCGCTATATATATGTTGATGAACTATTGCCGTATGTCTTTCTATGCCCGGAGGCAGTGTTGCATTCCAGCTCCTTTAAGTTTCTTTTGTTCATGGTCGACTCCGTCTGCCGGAGTAGTAGTTCGGCGACACAAAAGAGCATCGCCTAGTACTCGAATTTTATACATACCGTTCTTTAAGACGAGCCGGCGATCGAGAAGTCGACCCGCCGGCGGCCGTAAAGGCTCCGATCCTGAGCGCGGGCGAATCCGAAAGAAAACATGGGTGTATGCAACCCGTCCCCGATCGTATACTTACCGAGTTCTGTCACCGACAGAGCCACTGGACATGCTTCAACGTTTCACTAAAAACAACGCCAAAAACTCGGCGTTTAACAAAATGACGAAAGTGGGGGACGCTGTTCACCAAAATGGCGGAACGCGGCTTACCGGAAAGAAAAAAAGCGTTTCGTGGAACCGCCCTATAGGCAGTATTCACTGGACGCCATATTCGTGGGTGCTGTTTAGAGCGCATGCTCAGAACGAGCTTACATCAATAGGCTCCTAAGACCGGCACTCTTGATGGTGCGGAATGCACGTTGCGAAGGAACTGTGAAAGCTCGCCATCAGCACGCGCTCAGCATTTGCGCACACAGCTATGGCCGCCAGTGAATTCTCCCTATAGACCGATACGCTGCTTACAAGCAAGTTGGCGTTTTTCCGAGTGTGGGCTTTGCGCGTTTTCAGAAACCACATTCGCGTGATGCGCATGCGCAGTGCTGACAGCAGCGCCGCCACGGCGGAGTGACGTACGAGAGTTGTCTTATGCTTTGACGGGTGTCTCGCTTCTGCCCGCAGATGGGCAACGCTCAGCGCTGGGGCATCGACGTCAGCCCTTTCCCGATCCTGGTTCGGATCTGCGCCGCCCTCGAAGCTCACCCGCTCGTCAAAAAGGCACATCCGTCTTGCCAACCGGATGCACAAGCAGATGCTTGAAAGTATACAGCGGTGCCTTATCAGAAGGCAATAAAAGGATGCATTGCTCAAACCTATAGTCCATGAGTGTAGAGCCCTGTGCGGATAGCAGTTTGATCACCCGCAAACTTGGTATCCGCATCCGAACCGCGTCTACGAAATTTGAAAGCGTATCCAACACAATTTGTGCATTCATTTTGCATCATAAAATCGAGCCTAAAAAAATCATTTTTAAGCCGTTTGTTTACCTTTCTATATAAAGAATTATCTTCATTGCAAGGATACGGTGAAAGTCATTTTATCGTATTCTGTTTTATCGTATCTATGAAATAGGTGATCATCCTTCCAGAGGCACTTCGCATTGCTCGAAAGACAATCGCAGTTATGAGATGAGATCGACTTGGGAGCCCGTGAGCCTGACACTTCCTTTACCCTCTTTAACATCCTTATGGATGACATCACCCGGGACTTGGGCTGCACGCCCCGTCTGTATGCCGACGACCTCACCCTCGTGCGGCCAACCTGTCGCCCCCTCGACCACCAACTTCCAAGCGGAACTGGACAAGGTTGTCGCTATAGTCAGGCAAAAACAGACTTCCGCTGAACATTGCCAAGTGAACTGCGATGCAGATATCCTCATCCAGGCAGCAGCGTTCCGCACTCCCCTGCTACAACTTCAGGGCAGTGAACATCGCTAGTACGATCAGCACCAATGGACTCTCGCCTCAGTTTGGGCACCCACATTGCTGAAGTGACCTCCCGATCTCGAAGGATGCCGGGGTTGGTTACCCGTATTTCAAGAGGAGCCGGTTCAAAAACGCTGAGGCACCTATACACCGCACCTTGAGTGCTGTACAAAGACATGCCATAGCCTTGCGCAGGAAAATCTCGTCGATCCGGCTCTTGGCGACTTGACTAGTACTGCCTGCTTAGTCTTGGCAACAGCAGCTGCCGAGCGAGAGGAAGCTGGGGAGCCTCTGGGCCTCCGAGGTTCCTCTCGCTCGGCAGCTGCGGCTGAATCAAAAAGGTGGCCTTCAACCACACTTTGCCCTCACTGACTGGCACCGGAACACCTTCGTCATCAGGGCAGTAAATCTGTGGCGGTCCCTGCAATCAGAGATGAACGCGGGGCTGAAGGAGAGAGAAGATACAAAAACCCAACAGCAGGGAGGCAATATACCGCGCTTGCAGCAGCGGCACGCATCCGAGTGTTGTCTTGTTCATTGTATGTTTGTTGTCGTTATTGTTGTTGTGCTTGCCTCTGTGTGCGTGTGCGTGTGTGTATGTGTGTGTGTGCGAGTGTGTGTTTACAACGCAGCTCTTAGGCGCTCGTTTCCAGCTTGAGCGGCGTCGCCGTCGCCTTCGGCGTAACCGCGTGTTGCATTATGGGACGTTTCCTATCATGACGTCGCACGTGACGTTACGTGTGACGTCACTAGGGTCCCGACCTTCACGAGTGACATCACGAGGGGAGAGGGAGCTAGGGATGGACTGGAGGAGCGGAGGAGAGGGCACGAAGGAGGAGGAAGGGCGTACCCTTTTCTCCGTACCCTTCCCTGCTCCTCAAGAGCTGCGCTCTAATTCGGCATTACAGAGAATTGTAAACGTCTTTCTTTTTTCTTTGTAAGTATTTTCCTTTGTTGCTCATGTAACTGCGGCACCCCAGACCTCGTGGTATGGGCTCCTCGCCTTTCGCCTTGTGTGGTGGCGCCACTCTTTCTGAGCTGAATAAAATATTATTGATATGATTATTAATATTGAGCGCAGTATGTGCGCTCAAAAAGGGAAAAAAATTATATCTGAGTTTCCTTTTTGCTTCGTAAAACCCACTCGAAGCAGACATATATTATAAGCATGAAAATTGACAAATGACATGGTAAAGTGCGAGTAAATCACTGGGAAAATATAACAATATTCAATAATAGCAACACCTCCTACCGGTATAAGTTTTAAACACAAACCCTCAACTGCCATCTGTCAAGAAAAAAAAAACGCGCAAACAGTCAACGTTTCACTTGGAGAGGTTGCTGTGTAATCGTTTTGGCACCCCCGCTATGCTATTCGCATCTCCAGCTCGCCGCGGCGGAAACGGGAAGCGCTCTAGTGAAGGCATGACCTCCGATTCTCCTGCTCAGCGGGCACGGCGGAACTGCACGGCGGAACTGGACACGATCATGGCTCGCGAAATTTTATTTTCGAATGCAAACAACACTCTTCGCTGTCCCAACGTAGTGCTGCAGCCGCTATGGGATCGTACATATTAGAGAGTTTTTAGTAGTGCGTATAAAAGCAAACGCAAGACCTGTGTGTTTGCGTTACAGTTGCGTGCTCCACGCTGCGCATGTGCGTCTTCGCCATGCGCCAATCCAAGGATATCATTTTGGGCTCCGCGCACACCCAGTGTGGAACACGCATAGCTAACGCAAACACAGTGCTTGCGTTTGCTCGTACACGCAATACTGAAACTCACTACTGTTTCACCGGCTTCCTACGCCAACGCAACGTGCTGCAGTGAGCAGAAGTGCAAGCAGGTAGGCGTTCCTTCGAACTGAAAAGGCTGAGACTGGCAAATCGACGGCGCATAAAAATGAAAGTAACAAAATGTTATAAAAAATTTTAATAATTAAAATTTTTTTTCGTTTTTTTTTTTTTTTTAGAGGGGGGGGGGGGGGGCATTTGATGTGGACGGATATTGGCGGTGACCTTGGAAGTTCTGACGATTGTCAAAAGTCGCGACTTTGACAGCACCATCATTTCTCACATTGGCTATAGAATGTTTGTTTTAGACTGCTTTTGTTTTATAACTTGGAAATTGCAAATGGTACAATTGACATCAGTGATAATAATTAGCACACTTTTGATTGTCATACTTGTTTCCGTGTTTGAAGTTATATAGAAGCAACAAATTATATCAGAGCTAAAAAATTCGTATTAATATCTCGATTTTAGTATATTATTATTAATACAAATCGCGGAAATGTATGCCCCCATTAACCCCAGAATCACAGAAATACGCCATTTAACCATAATATTTTTTCCATAAAGGTATGATTTTGTTTTCTTTTTAGCATGTCAAAAACTCTGACATCGTTATCAAGATAGTCAAACACTGGATGCAATTAAAGTCCTATGCGTCATACGTTGCATTAAAAACACGCACACTCCAGCTATCTGACCCGGATTTCGTGTTTGGGTTTTCGTTGTGATAACAGCGTTTCTTAATTTATACGTTTTCTGAACATATCGAAAAATTTTGATTTATTTTGTTATTCTTGGGCGAGGAATAATGTTAAAGCAATTAATCATCTAAATACCCCCAAAACCCATGAAAAGACACGCAGTTCACTATTTCACATTAAAATTATGAGCGACAAAAGGCAGCGAGAATGTACAAATATCAGCACTGATTTTTTCAACAAATACAATATTCCATACGGCTATTCTATGACTATGATTCTATGACCATGATCAGCCAAATGGCTGATCATAGTCATCAAAGTGGATTTAAATTTGGATTAAAGCCCGTGACTTAGCGCAACGGTCCGTGGTAACGTGTTTGTAATAAGACGACGAAGTTATTTATAAAAAAAAATATGCGTATGCACTGTAATATTTTGCGTGCCAATTACTTTACCCATCTTCATTGCCATCATTTTGGAGTGACACTAAGTTTTCCCAGGTAGCACCAACACACTCGGAGTGCGTTTCGACGGGTTGAAGTGCACTCGCTTGTAGTGACACTAAACTAGCCCGTCTGACAGAGGTATTCGTGTACTTGCGGTCAGTGGTGGGGCCACGGATTGGTTGAGATGTGCGGTGACGCAGTGTGTATCTACGCTGAAGCTCTTGAAATAAACCAGTTGAAAGTTAGCGCTCTGTGGTGTCTGTTCTTCCTCTGTCCTTGTCCCTTAAGTACAGGCGCAGCCGACGCTACGAGCTGATAGGACCGAACAGACAGCGTCAAAAGAACACCACCTTTGTGCTCCTCCTGTTTCTGTACGTGTTCTATCGTCGCTGAATCAGTCATAAACAAAAAAGGCCCAGTGACTTGCACCTTTCAGGCTGCTTGATTGAGCTCGTTGTTTGTGCTCGTAGCGCGAACTGCGTCCGTATTCTTCAGCTGAAATGAGTATAGGCGCCGAGTCAATAATTATTGCAGTCATTCCACGCGCCTTCAAAATTTGGCCCGCCTTGTCCTCACGCAAAAAGTCTCACTTTAGAAAAACCCCAACGCCGCCCTTTGTCACAATGTCCAAAAATGCTGTCGCCAAAAAAAGAAAAAAAGAAACTGTTACTGTTAATTTATAAATAGAAAGTAACGCAAAAGTAACGTGCGTTACATTTTATCGGTAACGGTAGCGCGTTCCTTTTAAAATGATGTAACGAAGTTCGGTAACGCGCTGCTTTATTGTGCGACTAACGAGCAACGTATTTCGTTACTTTTTTTCTTTTTCGGTAACGGCTACAACATTGCGAGCGACACGCGCCTTGGCGGTCTAAATATCTCCTTATATGACGTAACGACTGGTCGGAGGCAGTTCCTGTTTTCTCGCGTTTAGTTACATCTTCGGGGAAAACGAGTTAAAAGTACTTTAGAATTCCACTCTAACTCTTTTTTTTTTTTTTTTCAGGAACACATTCAGCTTTTTATTCAAGGCCGACGAACACGCAGAAAGGATGAAAACCTCCTTCAATTCCTCCTTTCCATTCGAGAAAAAAAGAGACCTTCCTCCTTTCTGCGGGTAGTAGCTCGGAGACCCGCTCCTGTGAGGAGAGGAGGAGAGAAGTGAGCGAGAGGAAATGGAAAGAAGGAATCTGGGAACCGCTTTTAAAGCGCCAGTCCGGTACGACATGTAGACTTATTTAATGGATAGCAAGTCGAAGCGTGTACGTACCTCACTTTAAAATTACCCCCCCCCCCCCCCCCCCCCCCCAATGAAGCGACGAGATGGGTTAATGCCCGACCAAGAGTGCCTCAAATTGGAGCTGACTGCATGCGGCCGGAGGCACCCTTGCACAGACCTGTACGTAACGGGTTACAAGCAATGCGTTACAAGCGATGCGCTTCAAACAACGCGTTACTTGCACCTAGTTACATTTTGCTGTAACGAAGTAACAACCCAGTTACTTTTTAACAGAAGAAACGAGTAGGGTACCTTCGTTACGTTTTGGTGAAGTAAGGAATAAGGGTGTTCAGTTACTTGTGGAGGGGAACGCGTACGACTCAAGTATAATCCAACCTAGTTCTCATTCCAGTTCACGCCCGTAATATACACGACGAGAAAGCGCTAGATACAAGGAGGCGCGCACAAGGTAAGTGAGTATACCACAGTTTGTCCCCGAATGAACGCAAAAAAAAAAAGCGAGGAAATAACAACAACGACAAATGTTAGAAGCGGCTACTGCTTAATAAAGACGGCACATTCGGAGCAACGACAAAAAATATCGCGTTACTTTTCGAGCTGAGGTAACGCGTTCCGTTCCAATCGCAGCAACAAGTAACGCACTTAGTCAACTTTTTCATTGGGTAACGAGTAGCGGTATTTTAGTTACTTTATTCCAGTAACACGTATGTACGTGTCCGCTCTATAGATCGAACCATCAATCAAAGCGTGTTATGTGATTCCGTTTCACGCAACAGGTGACCCCGGAATTCACGGAGAATAACCCATTGCGAGAGGTACTACCTGTGCTCGAAATCGGCGGCGAAACACTCTCGCAATCGGTAATAGGCGTATACCTCGTTAAGTCAAACTTCTTGATGTCTCGCCAAGACGATGGCGCTGACTTGTAGGATGCGATTCCTTCTTTAGAAAAAAGCAGAGTCTTCCTCCAGTTTCCCTCTGGGAAGACGCGCTTGTTTCTGAACAATGAACTGATGTGCCGTACTCGAAGAGAGTATCAACGTTTGCAGTTGACGACGCGTTATGATTTTCCTGTGTTTATCAGCGCACCCCGATATATCTCGCCATCGTGAAGCATGTTAATTTCAAAACTTTCCAAATCGCTTTCAGTGCTTCGCTAAAACTGGTTTACCTTCTCTTTCTTCTTTCTCTCTTTGCCTTCTCGAAAAAAGAGAAATACAGTTTTTTTTTTATTGTAGCTCGCGATTATCGAGTACATCGAAGAGAAGTATTCAGAACTCAGGCTGCTACCGCAAAATATCGTTCTACGGGCAAAGCTCGGTTGGAAAGCCGTTAATACTCAGAATGTGAAATTTTTCATGTCAAAACATATCCCAAAGTTAAAAACAAACTTCGCAGAAAGCCGCAGAGAAGCACAAATAACTCCGAGTCTCGTCATTGTCCAACCCGGATCGCTGAAAGGGACCATGCTATTTTTTTTTTTTTCTAATTCATAAAGTAGATTTGTTCTGCTCGATAGACTCTTTTCAAAAATGCGCACCATCTATTCTTTGGTTCACCATATAACCATATCTCGGCAAACGGCGAAGGCCGCGGTCTCAAGGACAAAGCGGTACGTCTGGACCATACAAAAGGGGGTCCCGGATAAGAGATGCCATTCCTCCTTCCCCCTCTTGTCCAACTGCTTGGTTTACCCAGTCGCTTCTTTGGTAAGATTGTCACGTGCTTTACGTGAGATAAAGTGTTTGCGGAGAGCAAGTCGTCTGCTTCTTGCACATACGTTCCGGTGACGTCACAATGATGCCGATTTCTGATTGGCTCCGATTGAAGGATAGTGGGTAGACCTCAAAGCAAGCTGCCTTGAGGTCTACCCACTATCCTTCAATCAGAGCCAATCGAAGCTCGGCGTTGTGACGTCACCATAACCCCTGCAAAAGAAGCAGACGAGTTTGCGGTCCGCATTAGCATGCCTCGCTAATCATCCGAGTCGGTCATTGTTTGGGCACACATTCGAAGTATGTACTACAGGGTGTCTCCCAACAATAATTTACATGTTTTTTTTTTTTTCGTTTTGTTTTTTCACTGCAAAAATAAACTACGCAATGCCGAATGCCCATTCTCCGCCCAAATTTAGCCCTATAGAGGTCCGAACGAGACGCCAAAGTTTCAGCATTAACCCGTATCTTAGTGGAGAGTTCTAAGTGATTTTTCCAAATTTTCAAGGGGAAAATGGCGACCGACGGACCTATTGAATACATGGAGCTCTGTGGCACCAGCTACCGAAAACGGGCAAAAATTGGCCCCCATTTTCTCATTATTTTTTTAGGAAATTACTTTTAAACTTTTGGACAAGATGACGGTTAGCGTTGAAACTTTGGCGTCTGGTTCGGACCTTTAGCGCTACATTTGGGCGGCGAATATGAGCGTTCGGTCGACAGCAACTGAACTTGCGGCGATCCGTGTAGCTGTTAACTACATCAAGACTCAAAATCCAAAAAAAAAATACTTGACAAAAAATATTTTGTGGACTCTAAATCTGCTGTAAACGCTGTGTAACAAAAAAAAAAAAAAAGATAGCCCGAATTTTTGAGTTTTGATATCCTACAACGTTGCCACAGTATCATGACTTGGGAACATACCAGTGTGTTACAGTGGATTCCTGGTCATAGTGGTATACCTGCGAACGTCTATGCGGATAGGGCTGTTAGGGAGGCTCAAGCAAATAAATTCGATCTCAAAATTCCTCTATCGAGATCTGATGCCAACTACATAATCCGAAAGATTAGAAACGATATTTCATCAGCGCCATGAAGAGTTTTATGCTGTTATTACACATACCTAAAACAAACCAAAAAAAATATTGACTTAGATATGACATTTCGAATTCCGAGAAACTTGAATAGAGGAGATGAAACTGTAATACACCGGCTACGCCACAATGTGGCTTACACTAGGAAATATCGTCAGTGATTGGTCGAATTGACTCCCTCACATTCCCAATATGTTCAATACTTTATGACATCAAACATATTGCGTGCAGTTGCATAAAATAATTATCACAATTATCATACAATAATTATCACAAATTGTCACACTAATAGGAGCCTTAAGTATAAAACATGATCAAGGGGCGTCAGGCGATAACTAAAACAAGGTAATCAGCGCGCTTCTACGATTCCTGCGAAAGACTGGTTTAATGAAATCAACTCAACTGACTGCTATTTCTCGTGTGTGCTGGCATTTTCCTCGTGCCGTATACACTGTGTGTATATATAGTATATGGGTAGTTTCATTTGAAATCGAACACGCTTGTCGGGGTGGGTCTTTTGATTTTTTTTTATATATGTAATTGCCCCATTTCTGGAAAGAACAAAACCGCTTTCCAAATTTTTTTAAAAAAATATTTCGCTTCACAAAAAATTATTGAGTGGAGCAGGGTGAAAATCTGTTTTTTACTCCGTGATTTTTCTACCCAGTTCTGTACGCTGGTATGAATACGGGAAGCATACAAAACTCACAGTAATTTTTTGTGCTCTTGTATGTTATTTGGACTATTTTTTAGTTTAAAGGAAAATACTTTTGTAGTTTTGTTTATTGAGGTAAAAAATGCCAAACCTCGTCTCTTTGACGATCAGATGACATCTTCAGAGCCTTGTAACTCATGATTTATTATATTTGTCACTAATTAAATACTATGCGGGTGTAGCCCTATACATGGGCTATCGACGGGCATAAGGTTTGTTTCTTTTATTTTCACTGAATTTTTTATATAAAATTTGAAATATCACGAAAAATGAAATTAACCGATATGTTGAACTCACTTTATCAAAAAACGCCATTTTTTATTTCGTTCAATTTTTTTATTATTGCTGCCGATCATATTAACTTTAAATTGGCTTGATGCGATTTCCCCCTTTTTTGTTGTATCTTCTCTAGAAGTGATCGAAATCGCTCCCACGTGACAATACGGTGACAACTTCAGAGCCTTGTAACTCATGAGTTATTATATTTGTCGCTCACCAAATACTATGCTGGTGTAGCCCTATACATGGAATATCGACGGGCATAAGTTTAGTTTATTTTATTTTCACCAAATTTTTTATATAAAATTTGAAATATTGTCGAAAATAAAATTAATTGATATTTTCTACCCACTTTATCCAAAAAGGCCATTTATTATTTCGTTCAATTTTTTTATTATTATTGCTGCCGATCATATGAACTTTCAATTGGCTTGATGCGATTTCCCCCTTTTCTTGTTGTATCTTCTCAAGAAGTGATCGAATTCGCTCCCACGTTCTCTGAACGGCCAAACGCAGTTTCCGCAGGCCGGCTTCGCTGCAAAGAATATACTGCTTATTTGTGTGTTCGAATGCAGCGGTTAAATTCATTTTGACTGAGAACACTTGTGCTTGGCTACATTGTATTTTATTAATATTTAATTATGGCAACTGACATTCCTTAGTCTGATATTTAGCGGTGCAGCGGATGTTCCATTATCCGATGTTTAAAGCCAGGGCACAAAGGGCGGAGAAAACGGAACGAGCGCGCTTGAGGAGCACGAGCGCGAGCTGGAGGCCGAATGTTCCAAAGACACGCCAGGCCGTTCTCACCCTGCCGGTGACTACAGCAAAAAGCGCATTCGGTAAGCACTGCATCGCTCGGGAGAGGTCCCAGTTCTCGCTCTTGTCCGAGCTATCGTGTTGGAAGACAATCGACGCACGCGCGGCCTGCCATACAAACAAACGGTCGAGATGGTGCTCAAAAATAGTTCGTTGAAACGCTCTTATCTGTCTCGCAAAGCTCCCTGAACACCAGCCGTTGACTCGGCGTAGAGGAGAACGACCGGCGGTGTCGCGTACCAATGTCCTCGCAGTTTCAATGCGCTCAGTGGCCTCTTGACCAATCGGCAGACTGCGTAATCGTTGGGGCGTGATGCCATTTAAACCCTATAGAATCGATTCGCCCAACCAGGGGGCGCTTCGAAATTGCGATGGTAGCGCCACCGCAGTACAACACATGGTCGTGTCGCGTCGGTCGTGTTCGTAGCGTTGCATTGGCGTCGCAGGTGTTTCGAGCGTACAGTGAAGATTTAGAGAAAGATAGAAAGCGTGCGAGAGTTATTTCTCATGGTGAGTCAAGAAACGATAGAGAAGCTTCAATAACACGCATCTTCCACCGAGAAAGCGGTTGATTTCCCCGCCAACGAGTCGGGTCCGCCTCGCAAGTACGGTCGTGTCGCCCGTGCGGCGTCTACGAGATAACTTTACAGGTGAGCGTCCCTTGTTTAAATTTTGCGCTGTAATAACATTGTGCCTTTAAGATTACTGATCACAATAAACCACTGTTCTCGTGAGTCCTGTTAGACGACGTCGGGATACTATTTTTCGGTCGCTGAACCACCGGCAGACTACGTTCTCGCACTAGAGGCTACGAGTAGGATAGCTTTTCGGGCTCGCCCACGTCGAAGAAATATTTACGTGTCGGGGATCATGCGGGCATAGGGTGATAATTCCGGGAAGAGATAAGCCCCCGCGTACAGTTGAGACTGCACGTCCTCGCTGGGCTGGAGTCGCGGACCGGTGCGAGCATTGTGCCGACGCTCGTAATTTTATTAGCATTGTTAAACACTCTTCCTGCATCAGCCTGCCTCAGCAGTAGGGAACTAAAACACCAGGGCACGACCTGAACAAACGCTTCGTAGATTTATTATCAGGTTTTTTTGTCCCACTTCACTGAGGCAGTAGGTTGCAGTTACTGGGACCTGCTCCTGCTGATTAATGGTTCTTTTTCTGCGAGTATGAGCAATAATGTGCCGCGAGATTCTGTCAGAAAGAGGGGCAAAACAGTTGAAAACGAAAAGAGGCTAGCCTAGACTAAATCTCCAGCATAAATGTCTGCTATGCATATGACTGCACATAATTTTAGTCGAATTTTCATGACAATGTTCAGTTGGATGGATTCATAAAAAACTTCATTTCTCTTTCAGGTTCAAGTTGTCCAGTCCACATGCAAGATTTCCAGATATTGGCTGGGGGCTTGATTCATACTTTACTGTGTGGGACATTTTAGGAGGAAAATGTTGTGGAGCAAAGGAAACACCAGTGACACATGATAGGTTGTCATCAGTAGAACAACTTTTATTTTCTAGAAACATAATCTATGCATGCCAGTGTTTAATTGCTGCTTCACTGAATAAAGTTTTTCGTGGCATGTTTTCGAGCGTTTCCAGGAATGTACCGTAATTTCCGGGCTATACTTTTAAAAGTTGGAATCTTAGGCTGTGCGGACTATGCAAAATTTTTGTTTTTCAATATCGTTGATTATGACGAGACGACTGATTTGGTGAATGAAAGAGTACGTAAATGATAATTTACGTATAATACCAGCTTCTTTGTGTCTATGAGAGGATATTCGTGACGACTAAGCACCAGGTGCGGACGATGCACCGTATGTGCACAATCTAAGCAAACTCTTTTTACCCCAAATTTGCCCCTGCAGACTATAGTCTGGAAAATATGGTACAGCAACATAATGCAACGCTAGCCTGGAAAATATGGTACAGCAACATAATGCAACGCTTTCAGAAATGTTTTGTTGACAGTGAAAAAGATGTTTATTGAGTTTTATCACAACCACGAGTAGGTAAACACACAACCTTGTGACAATATAAAAATTCTTCTCATGCTCTTAACACGGTAACATTGGAGCAGACTCGAAGTATGGCCGGCAGGATACTTGTAGATGATGTACACATCTCGAGAAGCAAGGACTGTCCAAGAAATTGTAGGGCCGAGAACCCCGACTACTTCAGGGATCTTGCACGGCAGATCAGCTGTTCATATTCCAGATCTCACGAAAGATGTCTCCCAGTTCGTGAGAAAGCAGTCGTCACCTAAGCTTATCCATCTTTAGCCAAGCTATACTGAATCTTGAGGTACAGACTAAACCAAAACATGTAACTCAAAGACAGAAGTTGCCAATCAACTAACAATACTTTTAACAGGCTAAGAACCGGGCACATATAGAGAATGCAAAATAGATGAGTATCTTCGAGCGAGGGGGTGAAAATTAATTTAAATTAACTAAGAATCATTCACGAGCAATTACAGGGTTGGTAGGTTCCCTGCAATTAGTCTTTATCTCAGCTGGCATCTCGTCTAGTAACTTGTTGCAGGATGAACCTGAGCGTTGTCCTTGCAGGTGTTCATGAAGTGCACGCTGCACATCCCCGCTGACGTTGGCGGAATCAAAACTGAACCACCCCCACTGAAAAATAAATCAATAATATAAGATCTCTGGTGTGATGAGTAGAAAATCAACACGAAATAATAGAAACGATTATTGTCTCTAGCAAGTAAAAACATAATCAGGGTTTCTTTTTATTTAAAAAAAAAGGGGGGGGGGGGGGCGGGTGGCTGGCTGGTTGAGGCGGTTTGGAGGTGCATTCCTTGTGTGTGTTGTGTGGGAAAGGGGGGGGGGGGGGGGATGCATGCGTGTATTATAGCGTCGTATATTATGGCTATAAACAGCTAAAAAAACGGGAACAGCGATTAAGAAACACACACGGCAGAAGAAAGCTGCACTCGCAACCCCCAAAAGCCCCTCCCCTAGCTAGACATATGCTGACAAAGTCAAAAAGGCATGCAGGGCGTGTCTTGTGAACGGCCGAGCTCTAGCACGTCTTCGTTGCTCTTCGCTGCGATGTGGCTGCACGTGAACGCTCGACGGTCGCGAGATAGAAACCCTGTCGAAGGTTGGAAGCTAGTGCTGGAGGAACTAAAGCTTCTCCCTGCCGTTCTCACCCTGCCAGTGATTATAGTTGAAATATCCGTGCCAAAGGGATCCAACATAGCGACCGAAGCCTCGTCAAACACCTCGAGGGAAGCGACAGACGCGCACTAAAAAACAAATATTCCGTCATGCATTTCCAGTCAACTGACTTTCCCGCGTTCGGTAGTCATTCTGTTTCTATTCGGACACCAATTCCATTTAGGTTTTCTCGTGTATTTAGCAAAACTGATCTTCCAACGAACGAGAGACTTACTTTTGTCGGAGCACCGACGTGGTCCAGGCTTGGCGCCGTTCGAGTCTCGCACGGCTTTTCAGGGGAGCGGTAGAATTTTAAGGATTGACTACAACAATATCGGAGGTTGTTGCTGCGATCAACAACGAAACATTTGTGCTTAGCCGGGCTTTTATATCGTCTCTATCGCAATGAATGTCATATCCGACCGCGTACGACGGAGAAGCGAGGCGAAAAACAACGAGCCACTCGGGTTCGGGCGTCCCGCCAGGGGCTGGAATGGCGTTGTAGTCGGCGGCGAAACTTGAGCGCTTCGGTCGTATACTCTTTAGATGAAACTGACTGAAGAAGGTTCAATTATTGGTGTCCACGGAACGGTGGAACGCAAGAAGTACGCGGCTATGCACGAACGTTTTCTTGGGCTGTTGCGTTATCTTGTTTTCACACTGTCGCGGGTCCGCGCCATTGCGCAGCTGATCGCATCTGGGATTCAGCCAAGGCGGTTAGAAGTACTAGGAGGGGGCAGGGGGCACGTTGCAATATTGGTGAAGCCTAGTCATAATAAAAAGTTTAAACGAAGTTGTGGCCAACGTGACCGTATAGATCTCTCTGGCAATTGGTGCGCGTGAAATGTCACGTGTGAGATGGATGGTTGATTGTAGAAGGATTCCTTGCAGGCTTGCGCGCGCTCCGTCCGTTAGGTTTTATCAAATCGAAGGCTAGCTACGGTCACGTGATGTGGTCAGTTGGCCTGATAAGTGAGGAGGGTAAGGAGGAAAATTAGAGAGAGGCAAGGGATGCTGAACCGAAATCTGGATTCCCCAAAACACGCGGCAAAAGCGCGCAACGGGATGCTAGAAACACCGAAACATCACTCGTATACAGCGATATCTCAAACGGATGACTGTATGTTTAAAAAAAAAAAACAGGCACATTTGGCAGGAATGTTGACGTCATGTTTCTCCGAGAAGGAGAGGGAACTGCCTCGCGTCTTCTCCACCTCGCGGCTTTGAGGGAGCGAAGCGAAGAGAGGAGGAAACTAGGTATCTTGACGGTCACGCGCCTCGTCGGCCTGGTTCAATCTCGACTTCTTTTTCCAAAAATACGACCGTCCATTTGAGATATCGTCTTACGAGTAGTGTTGTAGGGACTGTAGCGTCCCCGCGTACATCTCGAGCATTGTTTTTTTGAAATCCAAATTTCGGTATTTTGGAGATATATTTTTGTTTTCTTTCTTTGCCTTCGTCAGCCTTAGAAGCAGTGCTGCAAGACAGCAGGCAAATACTGCGTTGGAGACAGCATCACTATGGCCGATGTCTGCCTGGTGCCTCAAGTCGACACTGTGAAAGACATCAAGCTCGACATGACTCCATACCCGACCATCGTGCGCATAAACAATTAGGGGCGTCGCGAAATTTTGTCAAACCGGATTTTTAGGTCGACTTTCGGGGTTCGACTGGATCGAACCGGTTCGGCGAACCTTCGACTTTTCACCAGGTTCGACCGGTTCGACTTTGTGGACAGTGTGGCCAGACCTTGATACAAGCATGTCTTGGTTTGGAGAATTTCTTCTTTTATGCAAAGGGTTATTTTATATTACGAACAGTTGAAATAAAAAATGAAAAATTCTAATCCCTTTAGAAGTTAATAACCTAATTTTTTGTACTGCATTAACTGAAATAACCAATCAGCGCTGCCCTTAATTCATCCCTTAGCCATTACCATCCAATCCGAAGCCAACTGGCCAGCCTGTCGCGCATGCGCACACGAGTCGAACCTCAATACAAGGTTCGTCGAACTTTGCACTAAAAGTTCGGAAAAGTCGAACCTGGTCAAACTTGAACCTCGGCCGGTTCGCGACACCCCTAGTGTAGACTGAATAAGTGAGTGATACTATGACGTGCATCATCGAATGATTTGCAGGGCAAACTACTCTCTTAGATAAAAGGTGCCAATCGGGGGAAAAAATGTTCTTTACGTCAATAAAGATTTGATCCCCATGAAAGATTGCTTTAGAACGTTCTATCTCGCCAAAACTGCTGTCCCTAGAAAAAGTAAATAATGCAGGAGCCTCAGTCGTCCCGGGAAAGCGTGTTCTTGTTTGGCAGGGAAAGAGCGGAAAATGTTCGTTGGGCAAAGAAAACCAAAAACCTATAAGTCACAAAAAAGCAGAAGCCTGCAAATGGCTTCTTCGCCTACAAGATATATATTGAGGAGACTGAATTTGATCCTCTGGAGTGGTGGAACTTGCACCAGCATGAGTTTCCGGACCTCATTCTTGTAGTGCAGTCTGTTCAGGCCTTCCCAGCATCAAGTGCACCAACGGAGAGAAACTTTTCATTCGCAGTTATTAATTTAAGGGAGGCGAACCAGTCTGAATCCGTCCATGTTGTCGATATTCTGTTTCTTCCAACAGCAATTTCGCCAAGTGAAACGTTGCGTGTATGTCCGTTTCCTTTTTCTCAACAGATGGCACTGGCTTGTTTTTAAGCATATGGTTCCGGCCATGCAGTTGAGGGTAAGTGTTTAAAACTGCAACCAATAGGAGGTGTTGCTATTATTGAATATTGCGATATCTTCCCAGTGATGTACTCGCGCCTCACCACATACACACGAGTACTTTGCTGCGATGAGTGAGCGCCTTTCCTCTCACACTGTTCTTATTGTTTGGCCTAAATAAAATGACGCAATGTTAGTGTCTGTCTTTTGTCAATTCTCGTGTTTGTAAACTTTGACAGCTTGAAGTGGGATGCGAATGATCAAACTGTTATCCACGCAGGTCTGATGGACTAGGTTTGAACAGCGCATCTTTTTATTGCTTTATTAAGGCACCGCTGTATACTTTCAAGCATCTGCTTGTGCATCCGGTTGGCAAGACGGATGTGCCTTTTTGACGAGCGGGTGAGCTTCGAGGGCAGCGCAGATCCGAACCAGGATCGGGAAAGGGCTGACGTCGATGCCCCAGCGCTGAGCGTTGCTCATCTGCGGGCAGAAGCGAGACACCCATCAAAGCATCAGACAACTCCCCTACGTCACTCCGCCGTGGTGGCGCTGCTGTCGGCACTGCGCATGCGCATCACGCGAATCTGGTTTCTGTACACGCGCAAAGCCCACACTCGGGAAAATGCCAACTTGCTTGTAAGCAGCGTATCGGTCTACAGGGCGGTTCCACGAAACGCTTGTTTTCCTTCCGGTAAGCCGCATTCCGCCATTTTGGAGAAATAGCGTCCCCCACTTTCGTCATTTTGTTAAACACCGAGTTTTTGGCGTCGTTTTTAGTGAAATGCTGAAGCATGTCAAGTGGCTCCTTCGGTGACATAACTCAGTAAGTGTACGATCGGGGACGGGTTGCATACATCCAAGTTTCTTGTCGGAGTCGCCCGCACGGTGGATCGGAGCCTTTATGGCCGCCGAAGTGGGTCGAATCTTCTCGATCGCCGGCTCGTCTTAGAGACCGGTGCGTAGAAAATTCGAGTACTAGGCGATGCTCTTTTGTGTCGCCGAACTACTCCGGCAGACGGAGTCGACCATGACACAAAAGAAACTCCAAGGAGCCGGAAAACAATACTGCCTCCGGGCATAGAAAGACATATGGCAATAGTTCGTCAACATGGCGTCCGGCGAGATCTCGAGCAGGGGATACGTGGGATGGTTTCAACTCATCGCTTTCACAGAGCCTCGCACAAAAGGGTCTTCCTCTCTTACTTCTTATCATATTGGTCTAAAGTAGAATTATTTGGCAGCTTTTTAATTTCCTCGCTTAGTAGGTCAACGTGTGGGCTTGAGACATATATGCACTGACGTCGCATAAATTGCCACTGCGGCTGTCTCGTTGATGAGAACATTCCTACTAGTCCTAACCAAGAAAAACAAACTCGAACCATCGAATTTGTTTCTATCGGCAAAGACAGGATCGACCACCAGTAAGCTTGTGCAAAAACTTTCATAAACCAAAAAAAAAAAATGCAAACATTGTTTACGCGTAGAAATGCCAAAGCATTACTACAAGCAGCGCGCCACCGCTCCGGCAGTGACATCACACTCCTCTCTCTCTCTCTCGATGTCTCTGTCTCTCTTCCCCCTCTGTGAAGGCGCGGCGCCCCAGCAGACTTCACGGCTTCCGTGGCGAAGCATCTGCGTTGCTGTGCTTTTCTTTGCATTTTATTCATGAGGCGCGTGCTTGATGACGTATTGGTGTGACCATCTTTCGGGCACAACGCCGCCTCTTTTTCGCACAATGGAACAAGTATGGCTTTCGCCTTAATAATGATTTCTTGAAGATGCTTAATCAGCTTAATAGAGCGGAGGTAGAACACAACAGAGCCGCAAGGCTCGGATGTAACAAATTAAGATTAATAAAAAAAAATAAGAACAGCACCAACCGGTAGCCACTCGGGGCACTATGATGTCACACGGAGGGGGCAGTGATGTCACGAACGCGAGCCAGAGAAAATGAGTAATTGATTTTCGCCATGTGCAAAAAGGACGAGGGCCTCACCTGGGGGAGCAGACATGCGTCTGCGAGGGTGATCTCGTCGCCAACGCAGTATTTCCCAGCAGTCTCAGTCACGATGGCTTCCAGCGCTGTGGGAGAGAACACGCTCATTGCCTCCCCTCCACCCTCTCTTCACGGCAGGAATTTGCGAGCCTTTCCGTTTGTGCCCCCTAACCAGTGTGTGCGTGTTGGCGATGTGTAGTCGGAAGAGGAAGCAGATGGAAATCGTAGGTATGGGCCAACGTTACTAAAACACTCAGTTGGGAAACTCGCCGTCGAAACCTGGGCCGCTGGCGTCCACCGAGACCGAGCTAAATGCGACAACAGCGCCACTCTTTTTCGTTTGTCTGTACTATGGTCACCTCGAGCTTTTTGAAAGCCTGTTTTTGCGTAAAAACAAACGGAAAAGACTATTTTCGTATGAAATTTATTGGAGTTTAGTACCAAATGATGGGCGCGTGATGTTTTTATCATCTTTAGTTCGCAAGGTTTTGCGGAACAATTAATATTGTTTTTTTACAACCATGCCTCAGCGGGCCCTTCAGGTAGCGCGTCCCGACCTAGGTGCATTTTAACTTCGGTAGTTCGGCGCGGCGCGTCCGCCGGGGGGTGGCACTACTGTAACCTCTTCCGCTGTATCTGTTCTTAAAGCCAAAATCGAAGTCACGTGCAGTTCCTTGAGTGGCCGCTGCGGGAGAAATGGTGGCGTTATGTTCGTCATTAGCTCGGTGCTCGGAGACAGAATGGGGCCACTTTTTCAAAGCTGTCACTATGGGAGTTTCCCAACTGAGTGTTTTAGTAACGTTGGTATGGGCTCATCCGTCCGCGGCTGCCGGGAACTCAAGGTACTACCGGTTGCAGCTAGGGATGCCGCGGACCTCCCGAAGGTCGAGTTCTAAAAGTTTCGAAAATTTTGCACCTCGGTAAGGTCAAATTTAAGAAGTTCTCAACTTTCGAGCCCCACTGAGGTTTGAATTCGAAAAATTCGGAAATGTCAAGATTTCTGAAATATTTTTAATTTTTTGATGGACCGCTCGAAAATTTTGAATATTTCAAATTTATTAAGATCCAAATTTGAAATTTCAAATTTTTTTTTTAAGGTACAATTTTGAAAAGTTCGGAAGTTCCGGTTTTAAGTTATAAGTCTTCAAAGTTTACGGACGCAAATCCAATTCCACAGTTTCAAACTGAGTTTTCATGAATTCACCTTAAAAATTTGCAAATGTGCTACAAACTTCATGAAAACTTTGCCCATTTAATTAATGACGTGAATACTTCTTTCTTGGTGCCATGGTACTGACGGTATTACCTGTATTACTCGTTATTTGTCGCTACTTATGAAACAAGCGTTGAACTGGTTGAATTCACAATTGAATTCACCTTAAAAATTCGCAAATGTGCTACAAACTTCATGAAAACTTTGCCCATTTAATTAATGACGTGAATACTTCTTTCTTGGTGCCATGGTACTGACGGTATTACCTGTATTACTCGTTATTTGTCGCTACTTATGAAACAAGCGTTGAACTGGTTGAATTCACAATTGAATTCACCTTAAAAATTCGCAAATGTGCTACAAACTTCATGAAAACTTTGCCCATTTAATTAATGACGTAAATACTTCTTTCCTGGTGCCATGGTACTGACGGTATTACCTTTGTCGCTACTTATGAAACAAGCGTTGAACTGGTTGAACGGTTCACCGAGAAGCCCTGAGGCGGTCAGGTGCACATACTTTCTACATATTTGCAATCTAATAGCAATCCTATCAAACGTCTCGTCAATGCAATGCTGGCACAAGACAACTAAATATACGGGACAACGCATGCACATAAAGGCATCCAGGCTTCCCGAAAATTTTTAGTTGCTCTGGGCGTTTATTTTCGGCGGGATGACCAGTGTGACAGAGTAAACACTGAACATGCAGGAAGCATTACGATGTAATGCACTGGCTAAATATCTCGACTACAGCGTGAATGAATTCCGCGTCATGGCAGACCAACCATAAGCTGACAGAATGAGAACAGCAAGAAAATCCTATTGTTCAACACCTAAAACTGGTGCGTAGAAAAGGAAAAAAAAAACAAAAAAAAACAATAAAAAACCCACTTTTAGTCGAAGGTACAGACACAAAAGGGAACGTTCCCTTCTGTGTCTGTCCCTTCAACTAAAAGTTTTTTGTTTTTTTTTTCCCCTTTTCTGCACCTCAGTTTCAGGTTGTATTTGGGCGTCTCTCCGAGAGTGCACGCTCAGCCAAAGCAGGACTAAAGGCAGGTTCGGCTCAACCAGTTTTTATTTTTGTTCATTCGGAGGTCAGGAATGCCTCTGCAAAGTTGTGGGAAATGCCAGTACCGGACAGATTCATCATTCAGGTGTATCCTACTGCTCTTCTACGCGTGCCCTGCACAAGCGGGGGTGTCTTGCTTACGACTGCTCACGGTACCATTGCGCATTCGTGTGGCAAGGAGGCAAAACTTGAGACCTGACCCGTGGCGTACCAGCTTGTTTTCGAATGGAGGGGGGGAGGCAAAACAGAACCCCCCCCCCCTCCCCAGGGCCAGGGGGCGGTGCCCTTGGCACCTCTTGGGCGGCGCCGGCCAGCGTTTGCCCTGCCCAGTGGTGCCTGTTTCGAAGAGGGGCGGGGCAAAACACATGCCCTGCCTCCCCTCTGGGAACTGGGGGGGGGGGGGCATGTGCTTTCCTCCCCCCCATCCCCCCAAATAACAAGAGCGCGCGGTTTAACGCGCGCTCTTGTTATTTGCTAAAACGTTAATTCGCTCAAATAGTACTGTTTGCTAAAGCGTCATGCGCTCACGTGATATGGACCCCTGGAGGTCAGTCATCCGAAAGAAACGCCCTGCCGTATTCATCCTGCTCAGCGTCTTATTTCCTTTTTGCCATTATTAGGCGAGCTGTTCACAACAGGGCGTCATGCGAGAAAGACAACCTCAATGGAGAGAAATACTCTAATTGCAAAAGCATGAGCAGCAGCTCGCTGTAAACACGTGCTTAGGAGATTACGTGTGAGGTCATTGAGCCGACAAATATCTTCCAACCTGTGAAGCCCTTCGTGATGTAAAACTTGGCCCAGTTTTGCCACTCCTCCTTCCCGAGCTTAGGGATGAGGCCTAGGCTCTGCAGCGGTTGCACCCCGGAAACAAGAAGCTCCGTGATTTCCCTCGTCTGGGAAAGGGATGGACACACCGGCAGTTATCAGTCTGCAGCAGCATCCACCACTTCAGGGCACTTTCCCTGAGCAAGGACTATCGGGCGCTGAACTCTGGATGAAGCTAGAAGGGCGAGCGCAACAGACCAATCTCACGAAGCGTTCCAGGCATGCGTGAAGAGGAGGCAGGCGGCAGTGCACGAGACAGCTCGTGCTTCTTGTGCCCTGCTTGCGCAGACCCGCAGAGGCGGCGTCGCGAGTGAAGGAAGACCCTACAGTTTCCACTTGGTTCCCACTAGTTCCCACTATACTCTGTTCATTCTTGAGCTGAGACCAGAAGCTCCGCGCTTCCAGTGCGAGCTTTCTGCCCTTGTCAACACGAGTGTGAATGCGCAAACACGCGCAACCGAAGAACTGCGGAAGTCATCAAGCTCGCGCTGAAGGCAGAGCTTCTAATCTCAGCTTAAAAATGAACGATGCACGACGCATTCCGGCAGTGGAGGCGTAACAAAACACTTCGGGCATATGACGTCGGTGCTTGCCTTCCTAATAAACAATTCTGCTAAAAAAAAATCCTTGGACAGTTTTTTTTTAAGCCGAAAGTTGATAGAGATTCTGCTTAAGAACACAAAGAACCAACGCGATAATAACTACGAAAGACAGAAGAGTACACAAACGGAGCACTGTGCACAGAATATTCTTACTGTTATAGCTTTTTTTAACCGAAAGTTCATACCCAGATTATACAAAAAAGCACCAAACCGTGCGATAAACATTACGAAAGACAGAGAAGAGTACACAGATGGAGCGCTGTGCACAGTGCACGGAATATGCTGACTGTGTTACTTTAAAATTTCGTGACTTGAGCCATTTTATTTTTAATTTACAAGTATACATTGCTAAAGCCCACTTTTTCAAAGCATCAATTAATGGCTATAATGGCCGAGATAATAAGACATTCATTTTGCATATAGTTCTAGGATTGTGGCACAGCCGCCTGTTAGAAAACACCAACCTGCTATGCCAGCTGTTTCTGCAATAACGTAGCTATCGTGTGGCCTTTTCGGGGAAATGGCTGTGCACGTCACTGCGTAAAAATGAATCCATTAGAATGCAGGGGGATTACCTTGGCTCTTAGGTAAGGGTCTGCGGGCAAAAGTCTGGGTTGGGGATAGGTTTCTTCCAAGTACTCCATGATAGCAACCTGGAAGAGTGTCCGAGCTCAGTTTACCTTGAGCTCATATATCTGACATGCTTTTAAGCAAAAAAAGCAAAAAAAAAGCAAAAAAAGGAAAAGTGATATTACTATTAAAAACACAAGCAAACTATAGTCCGTGGCAACTCAAGAAGGCAGGGAGAGGGAAAGAAAGGCTGGGGAGGAGGAAGCAGACGGAGCACTGGAGCGAAGGGGGGGGGAACCTTTCACTGGCCTTTCTTTCCCAGCTCGCCCTACCTTCTTGAAGGCAACACGCACATACACAGATTGTCCATTTGCACCTTTTCCCGAGATGGAGCCTTAGTTTTACTTTTAGAGGAAAGAGGACAATACTCGCATGTGTTGAAAAAGAAAATGTTGTTTGTTTGAAATATTATGGCGCGTTATTATGACGGACTTTCCTTTTTATAGTAACTGTTTATTTAAAAAAAAAAAAAGGGGGGGGGGGGGGGGGGCAGGGGGCAAACTAAGGACAAACACTCCCCTCATGCCTGTCCCATATTTTTGTTTGTTTTTGTTGTTGTTTTTCTGGGTCCAAAGATGAAATAAGCGGGGTTGTTACCATGTTATCTGTGTTTCTTATATTTATAGTGATTTTTCTAAATTCACTTTTCCGATATAGGGATAGGGAACCTCTCTTAAGGTTTCGAATCATGTCGAGCCAGTTCCCCTGATACTTTTTCTTTGTTTTCCCTTTTGGCTTCTTATTTACTTAATATATTGTAACCCAACTTGCATTTTTGGGGAATGGCCAGTGTGTTTGTTTAAATCCTAGAAACTTAAAAAAAAAAAATACAACGCATGGCTTTTGGAATAAAAACATTACCCCATGTTCATGCCTAATTCCTATGCCATTCTAAAAAAAAAAAACAAAAAAAAAAAACATTATTTTTAGTTGTACACGTTAAACGACATACCGACTGGCTGATGTTCTTGCCGTCCACCTCAAGAACAGGAACTTGGGACATTGGGTTGTGCTTCTTGAATTCCTCTGTGTACTGAAGGATATGAACACCAGCATGACAGCTTTGTTTGTATTGCTTCTGTTCAAGCCTAGAAGCTCGTTCGCACCGGCGATGAAAGCACTCGCGCCATGCAATTAAATCGCATAAAAAAAAATTAAAAAAAATTAGATGGTCACGCAGCGTGTGCAATGAGCGAGTCGCTTCTCGAAAACTCTCGCTCCGAACGCCGTCGATTGGCTCAGCCGCTCCGCGACTACATCGCATCGCAAAAAGACGGGCGTCGCTTTTTTCCGCGATGGTCGCTTTGGCGATTAAAGTTATCGCGCGACAGCTGCAGATCGCCGGTGTAAACGCGCCTTTAGCTGCGGGTCAACAACGTCAACAACCCCCATATACCTGATCCCCACCGGCAGGTGTCATCAATTTGACGGTCTTGTATTCGTAGTCGACGTTCTTCAGCGCAAGGACTGCAAAACGGACAAGCCTTTTAACAACAACGCAAGTCGCGACAAAAAGCTCGAGTAAGAGATCAAATCATTCCTGTTTGTACAGACGATTAAAGGTCCTGTAATTTGGATTTAGATTGCGTGAGCTCTGTTGTCGCGTTGAACTCACCTATTCTGACCCGCCAGGCACAGGAACTGAGGTGAAAAGAGTACAGAATCGGCTGCGAAAAGAGCGAGTAAAATGCTCAACACGGATGGGTGCTTTGGAATATATTTTAAGTGATTACCTTGGATGCCATTCTTGCAGTTGACAAGGTATACAAAGACCGCACGAACTTCGGACGAGTGCCAAAGGACAACCACCGGCAGCGACGACTTCGTAAACAACCGAAAGGAGGAACCAGTGGGTTTTTCGGTGCGTTCCAAACTTGCAAACTAAACGTCGGACGTCCCTTGGATTCACTATTTTCGTTCGAAAACGGTAGTACCCCGGGTTACTCTCTTCAACTCTGGAACGGGTAAAAGGGTAAACGCAGACGGGAGAGATAAAAGAAACAATAAAAAAAACCTAACTTTGTGTTGTTCCGTCTATTTTTTGTTTTTTTTTTTATCTTCCCCGTTTCAGAGTTTACAAATCGTTTCGTAACCAGCCCGTTTGTATTTGTTGTTATAGGACTTGGTTTCGATTTCGGTTTCGTTTTCGAGGAGCGTACACCTATCGCGGGCTGTGTATCAAAGCCAAAGCTTCGTCATCTGCCGTCGCCGCTCTAACACCGCACAGCTGTAGCACTATGATGCAGTTGACTGCTGCTAAAACTTAAAGACGTCCAATAATTCATAAAACAAAGTAATTCCAAGACTGCTAATTTCAGAGAAACAGAACTGGTGCAAACCAGGGATCCGCTTGCCGGCGAGTTCGGCACAGATCAAGAGAAAACACTAAAATAATCATAACACACACACACACATAATATATATATATATATATATACATACAATAGGAACAGAGAAACACGTTATAGCACAAACGATACAGAAACTTAAAACACCCGTTTGTCTTGTGTACGACTATTCAATCACTTACCTGAATTCCAGGGTTCCCAAGGTACCACACAACAAATAAATAAATCCCGTTTTCCCATTATTTCATCCCAAGTTCTCAATTTCCCATTGATCCATTTTATATCCTGATAATAAAGGTCCGTCCACACATTCCTTGCACTTTCTTACGTCGACGAAACAACAAACACTGGCACACTGGCACAATCTATGAGGCGACCATGGAACTGCATTTCACTAGAGAGAAGATTCAGGGTATTTGGGATATCAAATGCGAGTACCACCTATGAGAAATGGTCGTATACAACATTGTTAAAAGTTTTTCAAGCCAGAAAAGAAAGAATGATGCTAAAAAAACAAATAGGAAATATACGGAAACCGTGTTCCACAGATATTGTAGATGGCAGTAAGCAGTCAAAAAGTCAATGCACGTGACAAGGTATAGAAGACAAATTTATTTGTCTTGAAGGCAGCAGAAACAATGGCACCTCTTTTTATCCTTTGTTCAAAAACAAGGCATATATTGTGGAGTGGAAATCTTATCAGAAATGTTTCGAGGGATCTTTGAGCTCTTCCGGCGTGTCTGGCTGGCAGCATGGGTGGGCAGCCTTGAATGCCTCCAGTTTCTCAAGAGTGTTGTTTACCCGCACGATGGTCGGGTACGGAGCCAAGTCCACCTTGAAGCGCTTGGCGTTGTAAACTTGAGGCACCAGGCAAGCATCGGCAATGGTGACGCTGTCTCCCACGCAGTATTTGCCCGCAGTCTTGGCGAGCACCGCTTCCAGAGCTGCAATAAAGGTGACAAGTCAACGAGTACAGAACTTCTGCTCAGGCCAAGCTTACGGAGTCAAAATCAGGAGTCAAATTCGGGGGTCTTATGTGCCAAACTAACGAAGGGCATCGGACACACACCAGCGTAGGACAGAGGACTACTTTCGACCACCGGGGATGTTTTGATGTGCAACCTTAAACATTGGTTCCATGGCGCCTTCTCCGCAGTGAGCCTCTGCCACATTGCGGGCACCTCAATCATTTGGGATTCAACCCTGCAAAATGGGGATCTGTAGGCTGACACTTCGCCTCGAAGCCACTGAGCTGGCACCAAGTTTACAGAACAACGTAATGTTTCGTGAGACTGCCGATAGCTTAAAAGTCTGGGTTGGGGACAGGTTTCTTCCAGGAACTCCATGATAGCGACCTTGAAGACATAGAGTTATTATAATGTACGCTAGAGGTTCAACTGGCACTAGTGTCTATGCGACTTCCGTGCCGCAAATTGAAGCAGACAGCAATCAGTCTACTTTTGCGGTGCTCCTGTACATTCCTATGGGGAAACGCATGTGAATTTTGTCTCTTCGCTGGAAAATACCACGGAACACTTTGGTTATTTGGGTCATACCGAATAGTATGTACTATCGGCCTCAAATGAAATGCGAACAGCGGAGCATGTGGCCGTCGGTACATCTTGCGCTTCTTTGAAGCTTGGGTTGTGCTGTGCGACGGTAAAATACATCGGAGTAGGACGCACACCCTCGCAGCATTGTACTCTCCAAACCATGGTTTTATCAGTTTCAGGAGGATTCCAGAAGGCGCAGCATGTACCGACGGCCAAGCGCTCCGATGTTTGCATTTTATTTGAGGCCGATAGTACCTAATTAACATTGTAAAAGTGTAATTACTTTAGCTAGTGCATTTTTCTTCATCAGTGAACGATGTTTAACTTCGCTACCTTTCAGTCCCAAACGTGTGTTCCGCAGCAGGTGTGTAAAAACAAGTGACGATTCAAAGCAAAATTACAATAATATAGTGTGTGTTCCAAGGCTCACCAGCATTCCGGTGACGCCTATATATTGATAATATGCCAGTCCTGTCACTATATGAAAATGACCCCGTCGTGCATGAGAGGATAAAAACATTCAAAACGAAAAGAATAAAGTATGTGGGCTGTGAAAGGTGTCTCTTCGTATTGTTTTCTCTGCCGGGCAGCTTTTATTGGGCACTTGTTCTCAAAGATTTCGAGCGTGCGAGTGGTATTTTGAATGTAGAACGAGCACCTTCGCACAGAGCAGAAAGAATAAAGCGGTACTTACTTATTTAAAATCGCAATATATTACATAGCCTTCGATTTATTTTGATCGTACATGCACGGGTAGTTACTGATCCAGTGTTACTGCATAGTTCTTGCCATCTCCCTTAATTTTCCGATGTCCTTCGTTCGTTTGGCACATATACTATCCCTCACGCTTGAAAAGTGCCGACGTCGTGTTCGTGCTAACAGTGTCCGACAGTGCACATATATACACGTACAAAACCATTTTAGCACCGTTTTTAATGCAATGAATTTGAAAGAAAAACGCCGTAACTGACCAATTATTTCGTCGGCCTGACTGAGAAATGTTCCAAGCTACCTATAGTATGTGCAAATTATTTGGGATAGTATTTGGTCTTATGATCGAGCGCAGGGAGAAAATGCACTCACTTTTTCCCATAGAAATGCATTACCGGAAGTCATTTTTAAATGGTTGCTGTCTGTTTCAATTTGGGTCAGCACACTAGCATCACTTGAACCTCTAGCGTACATTATAATAACTCTATGCTTGAAAAGTGTCCAAGCTCAGTTTACTTTGAGCTCATATATCTGACATGTCCACACTCTTTAACAAAAGCAAACTAGCAAATGTTCATCTTAAAAAAAAAAAAAAGAAAAAAAAGGGGGGGGGGGGGGGACGAACTAACGACAAATACCCCTGCCTGCTTGTCCTATATAATTTTGTATTTTTGTTGTTTTTCCGGGTCTAAAGATGAAAAAAGCAGGTCTGTTAGCATATTTCTATGTGTTTCTGATATTTATAGTGATTTTTCTAAATTCAGTTTCCCAATATATGGATTACACCGGAACCTGTCTCAAGGTTCCGAATCATGTGGAGCCAGTTTCTGCCCGATTACCCGATACTTTTTCCTCTTTTTTCCCTTTTGGCTTCGGTTATTTACTTCATATATTATAACCAAACTTGCATTGTTTGGGAATGGCCAGTTTTTTTTTTTTTTTTTTTTTTGTAAAGATCCTTAAATAAAAAAAATAAAAAAATTGAGTGCTTATTGCTTTAAAAAAAAAGGGTGTTAGATAGGACATATAGATTAGTTATACTCATGGCATGTGATCAAAGCATTCTTTAAAAATGTGTATTCCAGAAGCAATTTCGAGCTTTCCCGTTATTTACATGTTTTGCAATTGCACGAAGGCTCAGAAATGTTTACAGAAACATTTAGATGAGCATATTGTTTTGTCAGAATGGAGAGAGAAAAGCACTACAGAGGGAGACAAAAATGTGTGCATCCTTTCTTCCTTTATTGCTTGATTTTGCAACAATCGCTTGACTGTGACGACAAGTTCAGAGCGTCTGGATTGAAAGCTCATGCTGCAGAGCCCAGATTTACTGGGTTCAATCTCCACCCCTGCCCATTTCGATCTGGGTAAGATTCCTAATGGTGTGCAGTCATGTGTCACTACTGCGTGATGTGCACTGAAGATCCCATGCTAGCAGTTGTACTGTACTGGCAAAACATTTCATATACAGCGTCTAATAATGTTGCCAAAAGCACTCGGACTAATCTCTAGTGTCTAAACATCTAGCTACGAATTTGACTTCTCAATTGACATCTAACTATGAATCTATCTAAAATTGCGGGATATAAACTTTGTTTTGGCTTCTAAGCTAAACTTGTTTGAAATGTGACTGTACCTTGGAAACCCTTGGAGATAAATTCAACTGCCCATTCATTTCGCTTGCTCTGCTCCAGCTTGAAGAGTATACCAATGTTCTGAAGGGGCTGAATTCCAGATGCAATCAGCTCTGCAATGGCACGAACCTGAAAAATAGATTTCACAAGTTTCATCAATTCAAAGACGGCACCTGTCGACAATTTTATTGACAACTGAAGGGTGTGCGTCGTCTTACGTCAGCAAGTTGAAATGAATTTAGGATTTTTTGGTGCAGCAGCAATATAGGCTATAGCGCGCCAAACATCAGCAAGTAAAACAAGGGTTCATATGACTATATAATTGTGGACAACTTTTTGTGACTATCCAGCTATGGGTTCCTTCTTGGCTTTGTAGGAGATCCTTAGAAAACATCTTTGTGCCTTTCCCCTTCCCGACCCTGTATCTACCCTCTCCTCCCGTGTACACCAGCACAAGCATTAAGTATGAGGTGATATCCTAAAGCTCATTAAAGATAATGTTAATTAATCATTGGAAACTTAGTTAGATTCATATTTTCAACAAATAATAACTCAACTGGACTCAACATTAGGGTGATCAGACCCGCAGGAGTCACGGGTTGTGAAACCGTGAGTGAAAACACTGCATGTTTCGTTTTTTTCAGTTCTCTCAGTGTTATTATTAGACAACGAGGTAGAGGGGCTTACAGGGATAAAGTGGCAGCTGAAAGTGACCCCCACCAGGCCGCCGCCATGTTGCACATCTTTGACCACTAGACATTCGATTTTATACTTTTACGTCTAGATTTTAACGAAGTACCGCACGCAGATAATTGTTTATTGATCTTTAATAACAGTACCAATGAGATAAGTTATGTTTTGTCTGTTTCACGTCCCAAATGTGCTTTCACAACAAAAACTCTGGCAGCTTTGCAATGGCTCCCTCCACTAGATGCCGTCAGCCGCGGTGCTGTATTTTGGGTTCTTATCAGAGCTAGATGCTGATCTCTGGGGCTATAGCAGTATTGAAAAATAGTTTATCACGTCTTTTACAGCGATCACAATATAAATCTCGGCACAGTTTTGAGTAAAAGCCTCAGGATTTGGTACGGTCACGTGCCTAGTGGTCAAAATTGTACAACATGGCGGCAGCCAGGAGTGGGGACGTCATTTCTGCCTGGTGAACGGGATACCAGTTTATCGCTTTAGGGCCCAATACCTCGTTGTTGCTAGATTACGTCCATGTGTGTTGTTTCATAAAATGCACACTAATTTTTTTTTTTCACGACACGTCACTCTTCCCACCCCTGTTACAGTCTTCAACACAGAACCACCAGCATGACTGAATAAAACTAACTTTTAAAACTAACTTTGTAGGACACCACTACACTCGTCTATTTGTACAGCCCTTCTTCTACTTCACCTTTCTTGCCTCCAGAAATTTTTTCTTTGCTAAAAATGGTCCAGACAAAATCTCAGTACTGTAATCCAAAGATGCCCCTTTGAGACTTACCTTTGAGCGCAAGACAAGATCCTTTGGCAGCAAGCTGGGCTCCGGATATTTTTCTTCCAGATACTCAATGATGGCGAGCTTTTGAACAATCAAAAACAAACATGTCAGAAAACAAGGGAGACCCTTGTATAGGCAGAAGGTACAGGCTCTTTCTCAAGAGAGCACTCAAACACTCGTGCAAAATTTGTCGACGCTCATTGAGGTAGGATGTTCTTACCGACTGGGACAGTGGTTCACCGTTGACCTCGAGCACTGGGACCTGTTGCATCGGGTTCCGTTCTGTAAACTCTGCAGACTTCTGCAGATCCAGAAAAACATGCATGTATGTACTAGTCGGCATCTAGCTTCCTCTTATTTATTTATACAAATAGTACATCTCTTCTAACAGTATATGAACACTAAATGGTGTTCCTTTGCCGCGAACTGGGCTAAACCCTGTTCCCCTGTTACAGTGACTTTTCGGCTGTCAATACCTCAAGTGCCACCAGAATTTATTTGCTTTATTTATTTGAAGGATACCAAGGCATGGAGTATACAATGTTAGTCATAAAGAGGAAAACATTCTATTTTACAAGAAAAATTTGTTGACATAATGGTTAGTCACTTGTAACACTCATAAATGATAGAACACATTTGATTTCATGCAATGCACACAATTAATTTTTCAGTACAGCCACGGCTAAGACAAGTATTACACAAAAACATGTTGTTTGTCTTACCTGTTCCCCTCCATCCTTCATCAAATTGACTGTCTTTTGTTCATATTCCACGTTTTTTAAGGCCAATGCTGTTAAAAATAAAAAAAAGTAAATAAAAAACTATTTTATTTATAATGTTTGGAGACATAGGATGTGCGGTAGAAGGATGCATATCTCCTTATAATTAGTTATCATTATTAATCAATAATTATTTGAGTGAACATGCTAAACTTAGCAAAATGTAAGTCTGCTAAGTTAGCGAAGTAAAGGTTTTTTTGTCACTCATCTCATGCAGACCAGCCCTGTAACAGATTGTGTGTTAAAAAAGAGGTTGCAGCCGTAAGAGTTGATTAAGAAAAAAAACAGTATAAACCAGCTCAGAAAAAAGAACACACCAAAGTTTGTCAGGCTGTTCTTTTAGTAAAAATTGCATTTCAACTTTTTCTATTCAGGGAAGTTGTGCTATCTATGAGATTCGGACAATCAATAAGCATAAACGACTCAGAGGTGCAAGTCTGGGTTTTTCCACGTGTGGGGTATGATAAGCCTGGGGGAGTACAGGCTGATTCAGACATTTGCGTTTCGGCGTGTCAGGATCTCCTATGGCTGCTCGGCAAGCTTCAGATGGAGCAACTTTCCCAGCAATTTCGGTGTCGTTGGCGAGTTGTTTCCTAGCTTAACCTAGTGCGATACAAATTGTTCGGATCGCATCCGGCTTGAAACGAACCTGCAACTCAGACATGTTTGAAGTGGCAGCAGCCAATTGGGGACGCAATATTTTCACGTGACACCCTGTGCCGGTAGTGACGACAACTAGAGACTTGGTTCTTGTTTAAAATGGATCATTTTCGGGAATAAACCATTTCAGAAATATGGGTTAGCATTCTCATTAGAACATGTTTATAGGAAGTAACTGTGTGTCTACATAGTGCAAGAAAAATAAAATTTAATGCTGATGATGGCAGATCGTAGCAACTGGTTGCCGTGTGTGAACGCAAGCAGCCCGTGTTGCGACGTCAAGTTGCTGGGAGATATTGCCCCGTCTGAAGCAGGCCTTACGAGGAGATTGCTGCTAAGGCAGCTGAGGTCCAGCCTTGAGCACTGCCGAATATGCATGCATAGTGTGTAAAACAGGGCACTAAAAAGGTATCTTAATTTAATTCTTCCCTTACCTGCCCTGCCCTGCCCTGCCCTGCCCTGCCCTGCCCCCCCCCCCCCCCCCCCCTTTCCCGCTCCTCCAACCATTGAAAATGTCCATGAATATGCTAAAAGCCATTTTAGAATAAGGACAAGAGACAAGATTACACAAATTTTGTTCATATGATCCGCCTATTTCCGATTATCTCCTCTTTGGAGACCACGATGATGAAAGTGCCCGTGATATATGATATGATATAAAGAGTTATACTCACCAATTCGCACCCTGTAAGCGCAGGAACTCCGAAAATAAGAGTACAAAATAGGCTGAAAAAAAAAAAAAAAGTGCTTGTGATTATGTATTTACTTTCAGTATCTTGCACAGCACTGCCTCAAAGACCTCTCCCAAGAATAATGAAGAGCAAGCCCACAAGGAAATTTTTGTAAAGTCCACTTCACCAAAAGCAGTACAAAACTTTTAGAATAAAGCAAATAAAAAAAAAAAGTTGTAGCTTAGTAATCAAATTTTAGCAGGTCTACCGCACGCTGAATATCGCCCGAAGCGTAGACTCAACTAACCAAAAACGCGAGTCGTTAACAATTACTGCATTACCTTGGAAGACATTTCTGCCGGAAATTCGCGTCAGGGAATGGCCAAAACTGCCAAAACTGTCTCGCCGCCAGTCCAGTACTCGGTTGTTATAAGTCTGCACTTATCAGCGGTGGGGGCCTTGAAAGAGAGCTTGGAAAGTAGCGAGGAGGAGCCAAGTTTCGAAGAAACAACAAATGAAAAGCGGCCAGACGGCATTGCTTGCTTAATCTGCAGCTTGGGGCGAGTTTCTAATCGGCTTCCGCAATCTAGACACAACAAAGCCGCGGAAGACAGCAAAACCTCTCGAAGACAAACCTTTAGGACACCCATTCTTGCCGGTACCGCGAAGGGCCGAAGGCTGGCTGTTTACTCGCACAAGAATCGAAACTTCAAACTTTGAACGAAAAGCCTTGACCCCGAAGAAACGAAACAAACCAAAACAAACTATCGTGGCTTGTCTGGCTCGTCGACCGGATTGGAGTCTATCTTGTAAAAACAATCAAGTTCTGCAAACAATCGATTTTAAACTTACTTAGATATTAAAAAATTAAAAAAGTTAACAATTAAAAAGTAATTAAAACTGATAAATAACTTTTTGACCACAAAACTGATCGTTTTAATGTTTATTCAAGCTTTCACAAAACCGAAACTAACATGGCGGCCCCCCATCTTGTCAGCTTTAGAGCACTATATAGACCTTTTCCACAAGGGCGCCGCCATCTTGAATTGTCGTCACTTCCAGTATGGGCGACGGAAACAAAGTAAAACGTTTCAACCTGTAACTAGTAAAAAAATAGAGGCGAGCCAAAACGAGAATGTGTGACGGTTAGGCTTATATCCTAAATGTCTTCTATTGGCGTGGCAACGGCAAAGTAATGTTTTCGCCCATACTGGAAGTGACGTCAATTCAAGATGGCGGCGCCCTTGTGGAAAAGGTCTATAGCTCCTTCGGAGCAGAGTAGCACAATCCAGAACGCCGCCTCTCGGCGACTAGCGGCGAACGCCCGGAGGTTCCAACTGCGGTCAGAAATGCATGGAGAACGTGAGAAAATCGTTGTTTCTTCAGCATTGTGGGAATATACGGAATGGCAATCGTTTGTGACATAATAATGGAACATTTTAGAATAATTTGCGCTAAGTTTTGTGACCCGCAAGAACCTGACTTTTTTTAAAAAATTGCTTGAGCGGCATCATGCAGCAGACGACACGGCGACGTCACACCATTCACGTGACCCGCTCCGGCCAACCCGAAAAGCCCATCTCCGCTGCGAGCAAAAATCGTCTGCTTCAAACGCCATTGCCTTGGAAACTGCCTTCTCAAAATTTGCACACGCATCCGATATTATTAAAACTTTGACAAAGTGTTTAGTGCTTTACTAACTTCACGACAGACTAGTTTTGAAAAGTGTGAACTCGCCGTTTATTTTTTAATCAGCCGTGTTGTACCGATCTCCATGTATTCTCCCATAGGGCGGGCCGCCTCCTGGAACCCTGAGTACCACGTGACTCGCGCCGAGCCGCTCTGTCGGCCATCTTGTCGGCAAAACACGAGGTTCAAAGGATTGCGCTACTCTGCTCCGTAGGAGCTATATAGTGCTCTAGTCAGCTTCTCCGCATCGTAAACCGGTCGGACACCGGGGAGCTCTCTCCCCGACGCCGTTCCGCATTTTTATTTAATATTCTCCCTCCCTCATCGCTTTCCGGGTTTCTTGCTCGCCGCCTGGCTCCGACTGCCATGACCTGGAGAAGCGGCCGCTTGCCCACGTCGTGACGATGGCCGTGAAACCGCCGTTGCGGCCGAAGTCTAAGGAGCCGCAGCGACCCGCCGATGGCGCGGGCGGCGAGTGGACGGCGATCTTGGACGATCGAAATCCTCGTCACCTCCGACTCGCCTTCTTGGCGATCCTTTGCCTCGCGTTGGGCACCCGACTCTACAAGATCACGGAGCCCGACCATGTGTGGTGAGCGAACACGACACACCTCTTTTAGACACGCATTGGTGTACCGATGATCGTTTGACAGCTACGTCCAATCATACCTTGATGCCTTGATCACTTCGTGGCGCCACAGATTTGGTAGATGCACTTTTCCAGCTGGAGTTTGTGGTCTGCTGGAATCTCCCGTTAGTCCGGCTGAAAGGGCACGCCTACGTAAAAAAGAAAAAACAAAGGACTTAATTAAGGTTCATTTAAACCGTGTTTGGGAGCAGATACCAAATACGCATGCTTCGTATTTATGATCCTAATTGAAATCTTATGTGGAGCAAAATTTGGACAATTAACGTGTCTTACAGACATTTTAGCCTTGATGACGTTGTTGCACTTGATTCAGGACCTGATCCTGTACTTGTTATTTGATCACGACCTGGTCATGATCCGATGAACATGAAATATTAAATAATTGACAACTATATATCACAGAATTTTTTGATGGAATTTGTGGTTGTTACCTGGCAAGGACCTAGGATCTTTAGGAACTGTGTGGAGTCGGACCCTGGAGGACATCTCGAACTGTTTTAATGTGGCAAATCATTGACAACAAAGTGTTCATTTTGCTTTGGTTTTGACTGGCTGGTTCCGAAATGACAAGAGACATGGGGAATATTGTTTAGTTTTTTTTCCCCCTGCGGTGTTGCAAATTCTACCATTTGTTGTGTTACAGCTGGGATGAAACACATTTTGGGAAGATGGGGAGCTGGTACATCAACCGGACATTCTTCTTTGATGTCCACCCTCCACTGGGGAAGGTTTGTGTCCTTTTGGTGAATATACTCTTGCAGAAATGCTGTCACACCGAGACAACATTGAGACAATATGTTTGACTTGTGCTTCAGATGCTCATTGGACTGTCAGGCAAGCTGACGGGCTACAATGGGACGTTTGCCTTTGGAAAGCCAGGCGACAAGTATGAGGATCACAACTATGCAGGAATGAGGATTGTGAGTTGATTTTGTCTTTTATATCAAATACTGCACCTCTTTGCTGACCGGTGTAGCACTGATGATTTCACAATATAGTTAATTTCCTGCTGTCTTGCAAGTACTAGTTTCTCTTATGAACTGATGTTTGCTCACTCGTTTTTGCTTAAGTATTGCTTCAATTATGCTGCTTTTTTTGTATCTGTGTGTGTATTTGCCCCAGTAATGCATGCATACATTCTTGCTTTCCTGCCCCTGCCGTTTTGATCCAGATGAGCATCGTATTGGCATGTGTGTGGTTATCATTACTGCATGCACATTAAAGACCCCTGATTAGCAGACACATGGCATTGGCAAAAAGCACCTTTCTACTGTGGAGGAACAAGGCATTATTCGAGGGCACATATTTCCTGCCACCTAAACCACAATAAAACTAATTTGACTTTTGCTGCGTGATGTGTAAGCAACTTGCTGGATGTCGTCCTTCTTAGACCAGCCCACATTGTAAAAAAATGTTGCTAGAACAGACGTTTCACTTTTCATGCGAGGGAGCATCTTCAATGCAGTCACAAATCTAATTAAAGGGGTACTGCAACAAAATTCTAGCACCTATTTTATTGTCTAAATGTCAACCTTGTTCTGGCCACACCACAGAGACATGAGTGTTTTGTTGGTAAGGACACTACGAAGCATTAATTAAAACAAATAAACTGATTACCAGGTTGCACCTGGTGGATGTTCCCAAAGCTGCTTCGAATGTCGTTGCGTCCCCCTTCCCATAAAAGCAGTGCCGCTCCACAGAAGTATGGCGCTGAGCTCCAAACGCTCGCAGGCTGTCAAACATGGCCGAACAGGATTTCCCTTCTCTCCCGCACCTATCTAACTCCCGTGGGGAGTGGGGATAGGGAAGCTGGAAGCGGAGGTGAGGCGAGTCACTTTTTCACCTGCGCTGGTATTGTGGAACGAGACATCTGGCATCCCGAACGGCTAGATTGTAATGCACTGATGCCACCAAGTGGCGAAGCTCACAACCATGCCAGCCTCCCTGTAGCCTTGCCTGTGAAGCGAATTGTGACGTCACAAACGCGCTAGAGGCACCGGATCTCCTGAGACGTATTGCGGTCTCTAATTGCTGCTCCTCGAGCGCTCGCTGGAATCATTTAGAATGAAAAATAGAGCCATCCATTCAAAACACAAACCTGCGATTGTCGTTAGCAGATTTTCTTGATCATGTTTAACTTATTTTTGAACGTGAGAGCTATATTTCAATTTTCACTTGTGTGTCCCTTTTTCTGTCGAGTTGGCACGTATGAACTTTTTTTTTTACAATGTGGTTCCCTCTCTTAGGCTAAGCTAAACTAACTAGGTGCTCCTGGCTTAGTTAGCCCCTGTAGAGTGCTTATGACGCAAATGAAATTTTATCATTGCCATCGTCGGTCTGGTTAGAGATTCTTTGGCTGCCCTGACCGCTGTTCTGTTTTTGGACAGTTCTGTGCCCTTCTGGGAAGCATGGTGTCCCCATTCTCCTTCGTGATTGTCTGGGAACTGTCCCGTTCTCTGACCGCAGCCGTCCTCTCCTCGCTTCTGGTCACCTTCGGTGAGTCCGACTAAGCTCCACCGAACAGTGTCACTCCTGGGGAGTGAGCGAGAGCGTCCTCGGCTGCTGATTGGACGTGGGTCCACAGCTTGCGCCCAATCAACCAATGAGACATTTTTGACCCGTTTGCGAGTTCTCAATCGGGAAATATTTTGGTGAGACCATCTCACCAGTATACATATAGTGAGAGAGGTTCTTTCAATCTCTGATGTGATTGTCCTTAGTACTTTGTCATCCACTGGTTGATGTCTGCTTGTATGCAGCAGCAGAACAGCTTGAGATTTGCAAACAAAGCGCAAGGCGCGAATGGCTTCCAACCTCTTGCGTCCGATCTCGCTTCGCCGCAGTATTCAATTTGTAGCACATGATGCACTTTTTTTCGTTTTGTTAGCAGACAACATACCATTGTTTTCTAGTTTTATTTCTGTCTGCAAATAATGCTTCGTATTAAACAAACTGCGTTCTTCGCTCGTGTGAGCAGACAAACCGTCTGCAAAGGGGGTAAGGTCGGCAATATACCGACATAAAATAGTGTATTAGTAGAGAGCTATGAGTGTGACAGAGAATATACGATGGAAAATAAACAGCGCACGGCTCGGAGAGCTCGTGTTCTGTGTCTTGGATATGCCTGTGGGCTACTTTCAAGGCTGTGATTTGTGCAACACCGCTGTGAGAGAAGTGTTGCAGTCAACTTTATTTTTAAAATTTTTGTTGCCTCTTCAGCTTGCTTTTCTTAGACATTTGACATGTTTTCCTCCATGACTATGTGAACGGTCACAACACTTCCATTTTAGATGCTGTGCTCATTCCCTCGTCACATGTGAATCGCCTATTAGCTGCTAAGAGTCGTTTATTAGCTAATGTAATCTTGTGTTAGCCCGTGCATTTCATCATTTTTAGATTGTTTCATTGCCATCTGTTCCCTTTTCATTTTCTCGCGTGCTCTCGCATCGAACTGCATCGCACAAATTTGTGAAGCCTGTTTGCAATGGGTGGACAAACCTTATGGCGGACATCACAAGAACAACAACTGACATTCACATACACAGGGTGTCCCAAAACGAAATTTACAGGGTTTTCTTTTACCACAAAGATACTAAGCTATGCATTGCCGAATGCCCAAACGTAGCACTAGCAGTTTGAACCATAGGCCAAAGTTTCATAACTACTTTACCTGTTATGTCATTAACAACTTATGATGTTCCTAAATTTTTAATGCGACTAGCCCTATATTTTGGCGAAGACTGAGCGTTTGGCAATGGATCATTTATTTTTGGCGGTGTAAAAACCCTGTAGATATTTTTATGGCTACACGCTGTACATCTGTTTGTCCGTCTGCATTGTGTCTTTTCGCGCTCGTGACAGGAACAACGTCTCACAAGAAAATGCGGTCCTTTCAGATGTGGGGTTGGTGACGCTGTCACAGTACATCCTTCTCGACCCCATCCTCATGTTCTTCATTGTGGGGGCCTTCATGAGCATTGTGGTCTTCAAGGCCCAGCAGGACAGGCAAGTGGGCTCTTCTCATTCAGGTGTCCTGAGGATTGGCATTGAGAAACACACCATTAAACAGGAGAGGAAAAGAGAGATAATATGAATTATGTTTGTGGAGAGATTGGCAGCCTCAAAAACGGCATCAGCTACTCCGTAGCTTGAAAGTGAAAAGAAGAAAGGGAATTATGAGGGTGTAAGAGGGACCAAGGGATGAGAAAGAAAAGCGATGAGAAGATGTAGGATCACAAAAATGGCACAGTCACAGCAGCACAAACACAAAGCGGGGCGCTCAGTATTACAAAGCCCTTGCTAAAACGCACCCCACAAAAAAGGGAAAGTACAAAAGCGGTTCTTCAGCACTGTAGACTTATTCATTGATTGCTGCGAAGGTCTGCACATAACTTTTTCCACACACTGCACACTTTTGCGTTCACTCACTTGTACACCTGTGCACGGACATACACATCTCATGGGTTAAATGTCTTGCACCAATCAGGATTATCATCATTTACGTGTGTGTAACCACAATCATTGTCACTGGTGTAATGACAAGTTTTCAGGGGTCAGCAGTCATGGTGCAGGGGGTCAGTGGTCAGGGTGACAAGTTTGCAGGGGTCAGGGCATTCTTATTGGATAATGTTGCAATCCCATTTGCTGCGGAGAGATGGGTAATGAGATTCATGGCCTAATCTGTCAATGACTATAGTTAGAAAAAGGTGGGTCTTGAAACACTTCAAACATGAACTGTTTCATGTCTGAAGAAATAGCCAATAGCACCTTCCATATAATATTTCTAAAAACAAATATTTCGAAATGAATAGATGTGCCCTATTTGCAGGAAATGTGTCGTCAAATTGCTTTTTGTTAGATTGCTTGGTAAAAGTGGTCGAACAAGTAAGCCTTAGCTTCGAGCGTCATAATTATTGGGTTATAATAGTAATAATATTATTTCTGAAAGTCCACAAACACCGCTAATCCTGAAAGGCAGTGCTAAATACACTGCATACCACATCTGCTTCACTATATTTCCTGTGCAGTGCCTACATCATGGTATTTTGCAGTGGAAATCTTTGCAATTTGGTGGGTGTAAGAAGATGAAGCTCTATCTCTATTGCGGCAAAACTTTACCAGATCGGTATGACCTTTCAGGCCTTTTTCTCGAATATGGTGGACCTGGCTCGTCATTTCCGGAATGTTCCTGTCGTGCGCCATCAGGTAAGTGCGTTGGACGGATGTCCCCTCGGAGACAAGCTCTGGAAATTTCTGACGGTCACATTGAAAGTTTATAGGGCCGGCCCCTACAGTGTTGCCCATTTAGTGCGGTTGTGCAAATATTCCAATCGTAGTTTCAAATAATACACTATTCGATATTCGCTTAAAGATGAGCTGCGATATTCATAATCTTCTAAATTTTGATTGCAGCGGGCTAGCCCCGTTGAGTGCGCTTCTCACCGAGCACCGGTGCATTGCGGGGAAGCGATACCCGCGGAGCTCGCTTTGCCGCAGCGCAGCCGTCTGCATAGGGGAAAAGCACACCTTCAAAGCGGGATGGTGCACTCACGCACCTGCTGTATTTAAAAAGGAACAAAAACTTCCTCAATGTTGATATCTACGTTGCAATAAATTTTTGAAATTAAACTGGCTATTATGCGAGAGTAGATGTTAGGCAGCGATGTCCAAACAAACTGCAGTCATTATTCATGTTTTTTTTGTTTTTTTTAAAATTACATTTAAGATATAAGAAAGAATATTTGCATACAGCAAGCGGATTTATAAGTCCCCTCGATTAGGTGAGCTGGGCATCTATGGGTCAAATTTTATGTCAAATCCGTTGTTTACATTCCACTGCAATGTAGACTGGACTTTCTGAGGCCACAGTTCGTAAGTGTAGTCAGAATATAATTAACTGAGCTTAGAAGTAGACACGCAGATGGTTGGGAGTAATTTTCAGGAGTTCATGATGATTTTCGTTTATGCACGATGCAACAGTAGCGAAAGGCTCGAAGAAACTATTCGATATTCGATTTGAAAATATTCGACCAGAACCACCATTCGCTTCAAATTCACTTCAAACTCAAAAATCCCCATGTGCACGTGCCTACTGTTTAGTTATTACATCAGTAGTCTCGCTGGCTACTGAAACAAAAGAGTAAGAGAGGCTGGTTTGAAAAGGGAGATCCCCCAGTTGGAGGTTGAGTTCCCTCAACCTCAACAAGCGCAGTAGTTAGAGCGCATGTCTAAACGCGCTTGTAGCGAGCACACATAACGTGTTGAGTGACTACTAACTGTTTTGTCTCGTCGTCCCGCAGCGTCAAGTTTGTCGGCCTCTTTGTGGTGCTCCTTGTGGGTCTTTACACGGCCCACGACCTCTGGGTGCACCTCGGAAACTTGGAACAATCACTGGTAAAAACCATTCGTTTCAAACAAAATTCGAATGGTAGAAATAAATGAACTGCGCAAAGGACGAGGATAGGGGTAGAAATGAGTACGATACACGGAGCGCAGACTTCCAACTGTTTATTTGGTGCAGACACAGCAGTATATATAACAGCAGCAATCAGTTTGTGGCGAAATAAGGCTGAATCAATTTAAAAAAATTTGAAATTGATACCTTGTCATTCATTCGACGAGTTCAGACAGTTTTAAAAGCTTGGTTTCTCGTCAACGTCACAAATCTAGCTTTTTTGTACTTGTTTTTTTTATTACTTGTTTTTAGTAACTTAGTACTTGTGCTTTATTAACTTTTTTTCTCCATTCAAGCTGTATTATTCTCATAAACTTCTGTTCAGTATAGTATCCGGCAACCTTTCCGTTTCAGGCGCAGGTGGCGAAGCATTTTGCCAGCAGGGCGCTCTGCCTGATACTCTTGCCCGTGTGCCTCTACATGTTTTATTTCTACATCCATCTTCAGGTTCTCTACAAAAGGTGTGCATCCCTCTGCATTGGCATTTTGTATGGCTCGTTTTTCATAGTTGGCGTAATCATAAATCTTTGTTGAGTACTTTTTAAAGTGAAAGCATTAACTGTACCATGGAGTGGAGCTGGCGGCGTCTGTAGCCGTTGTCTGTAGCAGCGAAAAATGGCACCTAAATGCCCATTGGCTGAGTGAAACGGCATTTAAAGTCCCATTGGCTGCGACGCGTCATAGCAGATACTTTGTCACGGAAGCTGGCGAGGCCGCTCGAGGTTAAAGCGGATGCACCTCAGAAATAGAACACAAAGAAAAGCACAGCAACACAGATGCATTGTTACGGAAGTTGTGGAGCCGGTGGGTGCACCGCACCTGCGCAGTCAGGAAGCATGATGTCGCCACTGGAAAAGGAAGATGTGGCATGCTACTTGTAGGAATGCGCTGCGTGAAGGAATGCTTTTGCATTCCTACATGTAAGCAGTCTTAAGTGTCTGCCAAATGTTTTTAACCACCCGGGGTCGAGGCTAAACTTGCGAGCTGATCTACTTAATGATAATATTCAAACATAACTTCCTACGTTACATCATGATGTCACATTTGTGGCATATGCTTTGGTGGCCTTTGTATGAAAGAAAGAACAAAAAACCAACGAAAGTTGGGAGTTGCACAACTAACTCAATTCTTGCCTATATTCAGTGGTACAATATAGCATTAGTGATACGTGGCTATATTGATGCAGTGGCAGCGGAGACGGCTTCTTCAGTTCAGAGTTCCAATCTCGGCTAAAAGGAAATTCACTCTACATGGCCAGCATGCCCAGACGTGAGTTGTCGTGCAGAATTGTTAGTGTTCTCGCACCTCTTTTTGCATGTTCACTCTAGCTTGTGGATATAATAGTTCAAAACTACATTGCAGAATTTTTAAGAAATTTGATTGGGTAGTATTCTGCAGCATTTAATCTCTGCTGATTATGAATTAATTTTTTTCGTTTTTGACGATGTCTCAGTCATGCACTCAGCATTGAAACTCGGATGCGCAAATAAAGTACCATCGATGGTGGAAATTCAATGCTGGCATTAGGATCTCCAGACCCTAATGCCAACATTTAACATTCAATATAAAAAAAAGAAAAAAATTATGTATAGTATATTTAAAACTGGAGTGACTACAGATCCTTTTCACAAGGGCACCACCATCTTGAATTGTCGTCAGCTCCAGTATGGGTGGAAACACTGCTTTGCCGGCACCACGCCAATAGAAGACACTTAGGATATAAGCGTAACCGTCAAAGATTCTCGTTTTGCTCCCCCCCTCCTATTTTTTTACTATTTGCAGGTTGAAACGTTTTAATATTTTTTCGTCACCCATACCGGATATGCCTACTTGGCGGTTGGGGGCGAGAGTACTCGAAAAAGGTCTATATATGCAAGCACTTCCTTGAGGCCAGTGTATGCATGGGTTGCACCGACGTTACATTGCATACTTTTGACCACCATGTAAGAGGAGGAGAGGGAAGCTGCTTTTGTAAGAATTTTGAGTGACGTGTTATTCTCTATAATCTTCTGGGAGGAGAATAATGACGCCTGTGCAGATCCGGGAGGCACAAAAGAGGGTCCTGATAAGAGTGGAGCCCCTTATTGCCCTCGTCTTTGGTGGTCATCGGAGCGCTCTTTGAATGACGTCACATGCAACCCATGTATAGACGGCTTGTTTGTGATATGGTGTCTCTTCATAAGGTGCTCAATGCAGTTATTGACTCTCCCCTGCTACATTGTAGAATCTCATTTCATGTTCCCCGACAGCAAAGTAGATCCACCACTTTTTTTACCCTTTCGACCTAGAACCTGGCTCGCCATTGACACCCATGAAACTTATGTACAAAGCGCTTCGTAACTCTGACAGTGACTAGTTCACTCATTTTGAAAAGTTGAAGAAAAGTTTACTACACATTTTTCCTCGCTAGTTACATTTTTTTCATTTGTTTCATGTACGTGCACCCCGCCTAATGTCTGGGGGCACAATAAAACATGATTGACTATTGATAGTAGTTGAACCTATTCATGTTGAACAGAGGTTGCATACGGAGCCCAGCTCACGTTGAAGAACCATAGGACTGGAGGTGCCTACCTTCACTCCCACTGGCACCTGTACCCCGAAGGCCTGGGGGCACGACAACAGCAGGTGATTTAATGCCCTCACATTAGCAAATCAAGTCCTTCCCTAGCAAATCAAGCCCTTCCTTGGACAGAATGTAGTGCTAACGGTCGGGATAACACCTTAAAGTTTCAAAACGTATCGCAGCAGAAAGTTATTTTGCATAAAAGGCTGCCACCAGGCAACAAAAGCAGACATCATCTGCATCTGCGTCCAAGTCTACTTGTTATCAACAGCTGTGCCGTCTCGGCGATGCAGCCGAAAACAGAAACACACCGTCTGCTTCTGCTGCCCGATGACATTGTGTTTTCGGGGCAGAACCATTTTTTTTTACTTTCAACTTCTTACTTCGTAAACCGCGAGCCTTGAAACTTCGCCACCTCATCTCAACCACCGGCACTACTTTCTGTAAGTTTTGGGGCTTTCGGCAGTTTGTACGCTCCTGCGGCGTGAAGTGCCGTTACTTTTTTCTCGTCTAACGCCTTGCGTGTTATACCAACGGGCAGCAATGGCTTGCTTTCGCTACGGCAATCCCTTAAGCTGCTGTCACGCTGCTACAGTCGAATCTCGTTATAACAAACCTTGATTTTGACCAAGATTTCGGTCTGTTGTAAAAGGAGTATGTTGTATGCAGATATGAAGTTGAGTCAATAGTATGTAGAGGAAAACCAACTGAACTTCACAAATCAGTATGTTATATTCAAATGTCTGTTGTAACTGGGTCTGTTGCAACGAGCTTAGACTGTAATAGCACATCGCACAAAAGACAGTGTGCAGGCACCATCTGGAGTCTGCTTTTTCCTCGTATGATGGTCCCATCACATTAAACTCTCTGCGGACGTGTTCGAAGCATGTCCACAGAAACCTCTGTCATTATGTATGCAGCAAATACAGTTTTTTGTGTAATGTGTGTGCAGTGCGACCGTGGCTTTATGGGGACCAGTGAAAGTCAGTCACATGTGAGCCCGACCTCGTGCCCTCCGTCCAGGTGACGACTTACTCGCACAAGGACGACAACAACCAGTGGATAATCAAGAAGTACGACCAGCAGCCGGACCTGCGTAACAAGACGGTCGACCTCGTCAGGAGCGGGGACATCATTCGCCTGGAGCATGTCGTGTGAGTATGCACTCCCGACTCGAGTCCACTAACGTAGCTTGCTAGACTTTGGCCAAGGTTTCGCAGGGATTTACTCCGGCTAGAGCCGGGCTTTAGCTTGAGTCGGATCGCATGTACACCGGGCTTGGTTCGGGATTCCCGCGTGTTCTTCCTGCCGTCTCAAACTGTCTGTTGATTGATCGCATGTCGAGTGTGGAAGGTTTGATATCCTCGGGTTACCCATAGCAGTGAGAGGCAGTGCAGGGCTTTGGAGAAGAAGATTCGCGAAAATTCTGGTTCTAGCTTTTGGGACGTGACTTGATGTAACCATTTTTTTTTGTGTCATTAGGACGACGAGAAACTTGCACTCCCACAAGGAGCCGGCACCGGTCACAAAGAGGCACAACCAAGTGACGTGCTATGGAGAGGTGAGAATTTGGAATTTGTTCGAAGTCTAACAGGAAAATGAGCTATCTTTCAAGACAATCTAGTTTATTTCCTAAACTTTTGTGAAATGCGGCATTATGTAATTGTTGCTGCATGATGTGCAAAACTTATACTTACAGGCAAGCTGGTAATATCACTTTCAGATTGAGCGAGGCTTCGTTAAAAAAAAATGAGCAATGATGCATGCACAATTGTGCACAGTGTGTGTATCATGCACATATTGTGAACGTTGTGTCTGCTGTGCAGACTATGTGCTCAATGTATGCATTTGTGCACATTACACACATTATGTGCACAGTGCTCACGATTAGCTCCACACTAAAGCACTCCTTGTTTGTCACAGAACGGTACAGGGGATGCCAACGACGTCTGGAGGATCGAGGTGGTGGGAGGGGCACCGGGGGAGGTGATTCAGACGGTCACCACCAAGTTCAAGCTCATTCACTACCTCACCGGCTGCGCCCTCCACTCGCACAACAAGCAGCTACCCAAGTGGTGAGGAGGCCTTGCCATCTCAGCGGTGGCGATTCGGTAGATGCATGGTACTTCTGTAAAGACTCGCAAATTGGTGTCATTTTGGTGCTTGCAAAAGGTTTGCCCGGACAAATTGTGATAGGCAGTCAGTCAAAGCCGGCCGGAAAAACTTCGAAGGAGCATCGAAGGCTAAATCTCCTAGCGGGCAATCCTGGGTTACCAAACGTGTTCCAACTAGTCATCACTCGCTCATAATAAATCCGTATCTTTGATTGCCGTACACGCACTTCGGCGTGCACATTGCATCAGCGCAATGAGGTTCCCAAGATGGCGACTTATTTACCCGTCGTCAAACAGGGGCTACGAGCAGATGGAAGTGTCCTGCAACCCCAACGTGCGCGACAAGAACACACTCTGGAATGTCGAGGACAACCACTATCCCCACCGTAAGTGCACGCGCTCCTTGTTTAGACTCGCAAAGTCAGATTGGTGTAATCCACGTAGTGCGAGAGATGTTGCTTTTGTTTTCTTGTTACCGATCTAGTGCCAAACGTCAGCTTCGAAGCCTACGCCCCGGGTTTTCTCAAAATGTTCCTGGAATCTCATGCCGTCATGCTTCAGGTAAGGGCTCTCGAGCCGTACGCGCTTCGGCGTTTCGGTTGCTCGCAGTTTGGGTGCAAAGTTACAGGTTTAGCCACACATCCCCAATGAACTTCTTTCGGTAACGCAAGTGCGAAACGAGCTCGACAGCAAAGAGAACAGGGTTTCTTTACTGCTTGCTGTTTGAAAAGAGAAATGTGATTAACAGTTGCTCCGACCCCAACTTCGAGGATTTACTTGAGCTTTCGAATGTAAACAATTGTTACCGTAACAAAATGTGACGACTGTTACATGTGCTCTTATGACATTTCCTGATAAATCTAGGTTTGCAATACTTGTAAAGAGGTGTCTGACTTCTCTTTATTCAATTTCACTTTGACATTGTCCAGTAAAGTTTTTGAAACAAACAGTATAAAAACTGCTGCCTACCCTGTATCACCAAATCACAAACACAATTGGTGTTTGAAATGACCTCCGACTACCTTGCAGGGAAATGCAGGGTTGAAGCCAAAGGAGGGGGAAGTGACATCGCGACCTTGGCAGTGGCCGATCAACTACAAGGTACTCTTAATTCTGACACATTCCATGATAGTACCTAAATATTTGATATGTGGAGCGTATTAATCCTAATTTTCTGCACGGGTGCCAAAAAATATGGACAAAAGTATAGGTCAGACATTATTTTGAGATTTGGGGGTAAAGAAGGTATGTACTAAAAGTTTTTACAGAAAAAGTTTGTGTTTTTCAGGAAAACAATTTCTTCCCTACATCAGTGTCATCTCAGCTACACCATTTTGCCTCGGACGTTCATACAAGCATTAAAGCACATTTCTTTGCCTCATTAAAGTTGTAAGTTTGCATTGTCAGCCTTTAATACAGGAAGGTCCTACTGTAATAGTAGTTTTATTGATTTTTTAAGCACAAAAATTTGGACAAGGAAGAACAGAAAAATCAAAACACCTTAATTGCCAAGCGTGGCAGGGGCAAGTGCATCAGCATTGCCTTAATAGACCTTTTTGGAAAATCCCAGGAGACCCTGCAATGAGGATAATTGTGGGGCTGTTCGGATGTATGCTCGGTGGCAGTTCAAACGTTTCATATCTCCCGATACTAATAGTGGCGTGACTATTTCTTTCTAGAGTAATCTTTTGAAGCAAATCGAATCAAATAGGAAAGGTTATGAATCGAATTGAATATTTTCAGGTACCAATAGTTTCAAATATGAATAATGTTGAATACAAATATTTTCTATTTGATGTGCATTAAACGAGAATACTATATCAAAATACAACTGAATTTGTTTTTCAACAAACGTAACTGCGAAAAGGTTATGATGATAGTAGTAATTTTCATTTGCATGGGAAGATAGATTGCACAAAACTACACAAGGTCGGCAAGCCATAACACAGTCAGAGATTGTGTCGCGGACGAACGCAATCACGTGAACGTAAACGGGAGCACACAAGCGGAGGCAGGTCGGCAGGCCGCAACAGAGTCGGAGATCTTGAACAATCTCTCTCCATGCGCAATAGTTCTGCCGAGAGAGGGCGCCACAAAGCTATAAATTAAGTTTCAACTGAGGGAAAATAACACGAGCGGCTAGATCCATCACGGCAACTCCGGCTTTTGCGGCGTCGTTTGTTGCCACTTTGGGACCACTTTGGATGCGCGGGCGGAATAGGACGCTAAGCGCACCGGTGGGAGACGCGTTCCGTAGAGTGGACGCCTTTCCCTTCACGGTCCGCCCGTCACCGCAGGGCCAGTTCTTCTCGGGCGTCCAGTACCGCATCTACCTGCTGGGCAACCCGGTCATCTGGTGGGGGAACCTTGTCTGCATGGCGCTGTACTTCGCCATGCAGACCTGCCTGCTCATCCGGCAGAAGAGGGGGTACCTCGGCAGTCCCAGCACCAGAGGTGAGCGTGACAACAGGGGGGATATTTCAGCCCAGTCTAAGCCCCAGTTCAACAAATTTGAAGTTTATGAAAATTGGAGGGTCTCTGTTAGGTTTGGACAGACCAGCAATGCAGAAAGTTGCCTGCTTGCAGAGCGGGATGCCAAGATGTCCCGTGCCGCAGTCTGGCTCATCATCGGCTGGGCCCTGCACTACATCCCCTTCTATGGCATGGGCCGGGTGCTCTACTTCCACCACTACTTCCCTGCCCTCATCTTCAGCTCCATGTTGTCTGGTGAGCATGCTCGGATAATCAACAGGCCAGAGCTCAAACATACCTAATTACCGTAATATTCCAAAAGATAGCCCACCTTAAATCGAGAGCAAATTGGGTGAAAATAGGGAGTGAACTAACTTTCGGTGTACAATCAAAGAAACTTGAAAAAAACTCTGTTTTTAGATAAAGTTTTCCTGCAGAACTTGTTATTGTGGCGAGGGACAATCAACCAAAGATGACTCTACCTTCCAGTCGGCAATGTTCGCTTATATCCCGCCATAGCTAACTAGCGGCATTTACGCCGATGCCATCATTGATCCGAAACACTATGATTGTTAGGAGTGGGCTATCTTTCGGTGTTTAAAACAAAATAGCAAATCAAGCCAGAAATAGGGGTGCGGCGTTCCTCTGGACATTACGGTAGGTTAGTTACTCAAGCTGAAATGTGATTTAGATTACAATGACATGAACAATGGCATCTTTGGTAAGTAGTAACATTCGAGTCGTAGCTCTAAAACATTCTGCAGCTGTTGGCTCTGTTCTGATTCAGCACTCTGCAGCGATGACGTGCAGCACTGATGTCAAGATTAGGATCATTAATAATTAATAATACTGTATTCGAATAACAAATTACAAAGATAATAGTGCTCACCTACAAAAGCAGTCTCCTGCTTGTATGCTGTCAACATAATTTCGAGAATTTTGGAATCAAGCTAATTGACCATTTGCTCCAAAAAGGTAACTACAGTTAGGTACTGAAATTTCAATTAGGCTTTGGAAATATTTCGTTATCCAGATTAAGAACTAATGACCCTAACTAGAGCCCCGCAAAAATAACTGTCCGATCATCTGCAACCGATACCCATCTGTGGACTTTGTACCCGTGCCCAAACTGCATCTGCGGCATTTTAAAATTATTCTAGTATCCACATTCGACCCGCATCAGCATACTTTGTATTCGCATCTAGACAGCTACCTGCACATTCATTTTACATAATAAAATCAAGCTTGATTGAAAAAAAATCAGCACCTTATAAGCCGTTTGCTTATTTTTGTACAAAGAACTCTTAAGGCCCGTTCAGACACTTCTGACTTCTTAAGACCGAGTGCCTTGGAACCTCTTGAAATCTCTTACGACGAGAGGGCACACTGGTGCCATCTACAGGGTAGCAGTGGCAGGGTAGCATATTTTCTATTTCTCTCGCACATCATCCTTTCTTTCTTGGCTTGAAAAACTTTTGTCAATGTTATAGACAAGCCTTTCTTATAGGTGTTACGCACATTTGACCTCGGAAATCCCGCAAAACCTTCACTCTTGTGAGTGCAGTTCCAGGGTCACCACATAGATGGCGCCAGCGTGCCAGTGTGTTCTCTCGTCCCAAGAAATATTAAGAGGTTTCAAGGCACTTGATTTTAAGGAGTCATAAGTGTGTGAACGAGCCTTTAGATTCAGAATATGATAAAAATTAATTTTAATGTATTCTGTTCTATCTTATTTATATTATGGCAATCATCCTTTTAGGCGCACTTTGCGTCGCTAAAAAGATATCAATTGCAGATCGCCCTGGGAATCTGCGACACTGCCTAGAAAAAAAAAGCTTTAAAGTTTTTTTTTTTTTTTTTTTGTAAACGCACTTTAAGTTGACGCATATTTTCTAAACATGAAAATTAACGAGGGACAGACTAATAACATTCCATCATTTCGTTTAGGTCAAATAATAAGAAGTGGGTGGAAAGGCGGTCACTCACGCAGCAATGTACTCATACATGCATGGTGGGAAAATATCACCATATTCAAAAATGGCAACACCTATCGGTTTTAGTTTTCAACATGAGCCCGCAATTGCGTGTTCCTAACCACATACTTTGCAGCAACTCGCCAACTGTAGAAACAGTGCAAAAATGTAGATCCAAACTTGTGGATATCCACTTCCGCAGCCCCGTGTATCTGCGTCAGATCCGCAATCTGCCAAATCTTGTTCATTTTTATCCGTATCCGCCAGTTGACTGCGGATGTCTGTGGGTAATTCTCGGATATGTAGGGCTCTAACTATAACTTTGATTACCATATTTTCCGGACTATAATCCGCACCCGATGCATAGTCCACAGAATCAAATTTGGGGTCAAAAACAAAAGTTTTTGCTTGGATAGTCCGCACCCGGTGCATAGTTTACACTTAGTGCCCAGTCCAAACGTAAAAAGTAATATACACAACACACCTTGACAAATGCCTGCTATATTAGCTCACAAAAAGCTTGTATCAAACATAAATCAAAATTAATATACTTCATTATTCATGAAATCCTTTACGTCTTGTCATAGTGAATGATCCAGAAAAAGCAAGCACTTATAGATAGTCTGCATCGGTTAAACTTTCAACTTTCAAAAATGTATAGTCGTGAAGATACGGTAGTTACTCTACAGCTTTGGGACTCTAGAAATTCAGTACGAGCACTGCACCCAGGTGGTCGGCAACTTACCTTATTCACATTTAATATTTTAACTTCTCAACACTGCACTCCATAGTTGTCTTTGCCAATTTTTCTCTTGTTTGTTAGTTTGCTTGCAATTGTTCAATGTCCGACGGCCTGGATGAGATGTGTAGGCATAGAAAGGCTCAATTCGGCGTAGGCGCTCCAGCCAGTAATCGCCACCTGGCCGTGAACTCGTCACATTGAGCTAGCCCTGCACACCGTGCTGTCGGCGGTTCCAGCCGAGATTCGCCGAATTGTTCTGTTTGAAGGTGTCGTCTTGGACTACCTGCTCCAAGTTATCCCAACGTACCTGCCTGCAAAGGTCAAACAGTCTGCTTACCACTGGATTCTCGGATCATACCTTGCTGTCATCACATACAGGTAAATGTCAGCCTATTTAAAAGTGACTGCTGCACTTCTTGCCAGTTAAGCTTGTTTATAGTGTTGCGCAAATATTCGAATTTTATGATAGTAGTTTCGAGTAATATGCTATTCAATATTTGCTTCGAGGCGAACTGCAATTATTCATACTTTTCGAAGTGTCGATTGCGAGAGCTCCGCGAGTTTGGCTTTCCCACAGTGCTCAGGTGCTCAGTGGGAAGAGCACTCAACAGGACATTCCCCGTTGCGGTTATACAAGTTAGCAATGTATTAAAAGCACACATTTATCATTCATGCTTTTATTTTTCCAGATTTGAGATATAAGGATTGGCATATCGCGAGCAAATTCATAAATCGCCTCGATTTGAATAGCTGTAACAGATCTTGTTTACATGCCACAGTTCATATAGTTACCTATGTTAAAATTATCTGAGCTTAGAAGTGGACAAGTGAAAGGTTGGGAACAACCTTCACGAGTTCAGCTGAATTTTAGTTTAAGCATCGTGCACAGGGGTGGAAGACTGAGAAACTATTAGATTCGAAAATATTCGGCCAAAACCACATTCGCACATGGCTACTTGTTTACGAAATAAATAATCCTGATCTTTTAACACAATATCCCTTAAGGCCAGCTTCTAATCTAGGGCGGTAATGATAGGTTGCAACGAGAAACATAACACGGGCAGTCATCTTTGCAAAAATCACTTTGTCCCTTGGCAGAATCAAACCAACAAACTCTCGCTGATTAGTCCAACGTTCCACCTGTTAGCTACCGCTAGCGGGTCAGCTTTAAGAAGTTATTTCGGCCGCTCTATATGTACTTGTGTGGATGCAAAACATGGCCCCTAGGAAGAAGAGGGATTACAAACAGCTCAAAGCTTACCAGAAGCGTAGGAAAGAAAAAAACGATTGCGACTTGCCTCGATACTTTGTGTGAAGCCGACTGGCATCACGCAGTGTGTTCACGTCGCCTTCACCAACAGATCACCCCAAAAGCCTAACGGGTAAAACAGGTGTAACATATTCAAACAGGCCAACGCAAACACGCGACACATGCTGCGTCAGTCAGCTTTATGCGAAGTATCGAGGAGAGTTGTCATTCTACACCGAAGCTGTTTATGGCTAGGGTTCCGTGGATTTTTCGTGCGCAGCGCTAAAAACTCTACGCTACTTCCATTACTTCATTCCCACCATAGTACAGCAGCTTCGCTGGTCTTCCCACTTCACCAAAGTGGAAAGGCTGAAAGTTTTTACAGCGGAGCTGTTAAGGGCTAGGTTCCCCAGGATCGTGTCCACCAGCAAAGAAATGATGACACCGAACTCTCGAAAGTTCCACTGCGTCGAGTGCTTCGGATTCCCTTGCAGAAGAGCAGATCGCTCGCCTGGAAAGCCACCGCCAAGAACAGAAGCTACAGCTCCGCTGCTCTTCCTTCTTCACCAGAGTAGAAAATTTGGAAGTTTTTATCAAACTTTCTGGTAACTAGTGGGACATCCTGCGAATGCACTCGCTCCTTTCGCAGCAAAGGCAAAACCTCGAGGTATTGCACATTTCAGAGATGGTATCCGCTTGCTCGATATATCAGAGTCTTTTGACAGCTGCGCACGTTTTTTTGCGGACAGATGCACGAATCAACTGTCACTATTTTTTTTTTCTTCCCAGCTTCTACCTGTTCTCGCCTTTGGCCTACGGAATGGACGGTTCCATATCCATCCACGAAAACAGCACAATGCATGGACTGAGATGGCTGGACACGTGGGAGTTTTAAAAAAAAAAAAACATGCTTGTGTAAGCCGACAATAAACTAATATTTTTTTACCAAACGTCGTTGCCGTCAAAACGATTAACGTCTCAAGGGCTTCGTACAACCTGGATTTGACACAGAAAAACAGTGGTCAGCGTTTTCCCAAAACAAACATCTGGCAATATTCCTTTATTTCACCCACAGAAACATCACAGTATATTTTTTTTTTCTTCTCCGAAGTCAGCGGAACAGGCTATGTTCACTATCATAAATAATTATACTAGCGAAGCAGCAAACATTCCACTAATTTGACGACACTCTTGCCTGCTCTTTGCCGGCAAACACGCATGCACGCACCCACACACGCAAGTAAAATGTTGAAGAAACTCTCGAAAACAGGCATGCGACAAAAAGCAACCAAAAAAAAAAGACCCCAACAAAGTACAAACAAAAAGCACACAACTCTCGCAAAAAAAAAAAAAAATCCCCACAGTTTGCCTTTTTTTTTTCCTGCAGGTATATGTACTTAGGTAGGTGTACAATAGAAGCTCTTTTTTGTATTTTCTTTATAATGTGTATATATAATATATATACCTATATATGGGTCAAGTGTTCGATATATATACACACTTCCTACATTCTCTTTTACTTTTTGCTTTATTCATTATGACTGGAGTTCGCGGCTTTTTTTTTAAAACCTATTAAGGATATTAACCGTAAACTTCCCCAGGCACTTAACAACCAGTGATGGCATCAATATTCCATGTCAAGACACACACAAAAAAAAAAAAAAAAAAAAGGAAGCATACTTTCCCGCAACGTCTACCATTCAGGCAAACCGCCTCCGATATAAAGTGCACCGGCCAGAAAATATTCCCCTCCCACGTTACGATGCATGCACCCGGCCCAGTCTTCAGACTAATGTAACATGACTAACTCTTCCACAGAGCCTCCTCTAATCGCTACCGATCACTACAGACGCACCGAGCAGTGCAGAGACGGTAAGTGGCCATGCGAAAATTTGGGCGACTCTTCGCCTAAAGATCTCTGAATTCATTAGACTAAAGATTGCGCCAGTCACTGCATTGCCGTTGTCACGTCCCCCCCAACTTTCAAGTGCAACTGCCCAAAGATGCCTATTACAGCTACGCGTGCGAAGCAAAAATCGCACTTCGACTCTTCACCATTCTCTATTCACACCGGAGAGGGCCAAGCGCAACTTAAAACCGGTGACACCAAAAAAAAGAATGGGCCATAAAAGAAAAAAAAAAAAATTCTCTTCGTCGGCAAATTTCAAAATGCCGACGCCAGCCAAGCCAAACTGAGCGTTGCGACGACAAAGCCCGTCTGACATTTCTACGCAACGAGGCATCAGTCGCGTGGAGGCACGCAAGAGGCAAGTTTTTTCTTTAGTGCAGGACAGGTCAGGGAAGAAAATACAAACTCAAAGGCACACGACGAAGAGAGGAAAGGAAAGAAAATACGAAGGATACGCAAAGCTCCTGTCGTCTCTCCTGCTGGTGTCCGTGGCAAGAAGCATCGTCGGTTGACGCGTCCGCAAGTCGGCGCCCGTGGCTTGTGCCTTGCACTCTACCTCGCCAACTTCGAACACACGCACACACACACTCACTGCAAAAAGACTTCCGTTCGGGTCCCTCTGGATAAACGAGACGAGTCGGCAAAAGCGCGTCCACTCACGTGCGCGCAATGCAGCACCGAAAGTAAGAGTTCGCTCCGAAAAGAAAAACAGAAGTTAACTCAAAACGTGTGGTCGGCAAAGAATGAACTGGTTCCTCGAACAATGCACGGCTCTCGATGCCTTCCGTAAAGATCAGGCTCGTCTTGTGGCACACGCTTTTTTTTAACCCCCGGAGGCATATTGGTTGGAAAGCGAGCGAGGAAGGCGCCGTGTGCCCTTTTGCAAAGTGTTCTACGTGAAAACTAGCGCCCACCCACTTCCGTCGCCCCCGGAATAAAAAAAATTAAGCCGGGGCGGGCGGAGGTCTTGAACGAGCGCCCTCGTCACGACCGCGTTCGCCAGAAGCGTCCCGCTGGAACGAAGGTGACCTACAAAAGGTCGTCGAAAGTGCACCTTCTCCGCTTTTTGCGGAAGAAAAATCGCCCCAAAACGAGGACCTCCGTCCACGAAAAAGACCGTCGCGGAGGTTCGAGTCGGGCACGAATTCGCCGCAAAGGCCTTCGCAGCATCCGACTTTCACCGCCGAGATCTCGGTCGGATCGATCCGTATTCGCAATTCGCCGGAACGTCCTTCGAACCGGCTCACTGCAAACAAACGCGCCGCGGACATGCCCGTCGGAAGCGGTTCCTGCGGCGCACGCCTTCCGACTGGTTCGCCACCCTCGCCGGAAGTGGCATCTGCCACGCACATTTTCGGCACTGGTACCTCTCTCCGTGTTCAGTCTTTCAAACAGGGGTCCCTGGTGGGCGCTCTTGCCCCGCGTCTTTGAAAAAAGGAGTCCTCGCGGCCGAAAAAAAGGAGTCCCGGGCGGGCGCCCACGGCACGACTGCCCTCCTGAGCGGCGCTTCAGTTGAGGTGGAAGCCCTTCTCACGGGTGGCGGCGAGCAGGCGTTCCCTGAGCAGTGCCTCGCTGGAGTAGTCCGGCAGCTTGAGGTAGTGGGCGCACGTGTTCACCGAGGGGAAGGAGCCGTCCGAGGCGTCCACCTTGCGCACCACGGTGAGGCGCGGGTGCAGGTTGGCCAGGCCCCCCGGCGGCAGGGACGAGCAGCCCGTGGTGAACTGCAGGAAGGCCTTGCGCTCCGCCCCCGTCATGTCCACCAGCACGTTGACGAAACGCTGGAACCCGGGGCTGGACAGAGAGGGGAGCGGGAGACGGTGGGAGGACGTCGAGGCGCTCGTCGCGCCACTGCGACGAAGGGCGAGCGGGCCGCGCGGCTCCGTTGCCCAACGTGCGTGTTCGTTCGTGCGACTGCTGCCACCATTTTAAATGCGTGGCATTTACAGGGCTTTCGTGTCTGTGAGATGAAGCCTCGATGGCGACGTCGCACCGACGACGCCACTTCTTCGCGCGACGTCGCCAAGATATTGAGAAGCTCCCCGAAGGTTAGTGCAAGAACACCGTAACAATGTCACGGTGTTCACGTGACATCATCGGCGTGACGGTCGTCATGGGACACCATGACGTCATGGAACGTCATAATGTCGCATGACACGTCTTGCGACATCAGTTGACACCGTGACATTGCAGAGGTCCTTTAAATGCTACGCATTTAGAATTTTACAGTTAACAAATGCTCGCTTGCGTTGGTGGGAGTGGCAGCGGAGAACAGTGTTGGCAACAAAGAAGACGATGCCAGTAAAACGGAAATCTACGGAACTTGTTTGCTTAACCTCGTTTAAGGGCATGCTTTGACGCTATTCGCAACGACGAATACCCGTCGGTGTTGCCAGAAAAAGGTCTCGAAATAAACCTGGCCCCGTACCTGTCGCGCGTGTAGCCCAGCTTGGGCTCCGTGTAGTTGATGACGTCCTCTCGGCTCCACGTGGGGTTCTGCTCTCCGCACAGCATGAGCCTCACTTCCTCCGGGTTGAAGGCCCCGAGCTTCTCCATGGGGAACACCTTGCAGAAACCGGCTGCCGCAGAGAACGAGATGCCAATTAAGTCCGAGTGGTACACCGCACGAAACATACTAACAGACTAATCAATCGGCGTTCCGGGTGAAGCGACAAAAAGTTGCGTACAAAGATGCAAGCAACGCCGCAAGCCACTGCGAGCAACAGGAAGCGAGAGTAACCTTCGTATTTTGTTTTGCTGCACGTCTGTGAGGGGGAGAAGGGAGGGGGCAAGGCAAGGGGGCAAGGTGGGTGGCACGTGGCGTGTCGGATCAGTGAAACCAGACGTCCGAGGGATGTGCGCGACCGGTGAACACGACGGGCCGCTGGCTGCTGCGGTTTCGGCTGTTTTCGTGCACTAAAAGCTTTCTGAAACAAGCAGCACTGCGGTGCTACGGCGACTCGATAGCTCCATGCGCTCGGTAGGGTCTCGAAATTTAGACACGGATGTAGGTTGAAATTTTCTGGTCACGATTATAGCGGAATCTGCGCGTCACTACGCCCAACTGGAAGGTCAAGTGGGACGCTCGGAGCTATGAATTTTCTCCGGTTGCTCGTCCGTCGCGTTACGTCGCAAGGCGAAACGCAGGCTGGGGGACGAGCGCGTGGCGAAACAGCTTCGGCTTTGTAGGTCGGACGCACCCCTGAAGGCCTCCATCTGCCTGCGGATGCCCGTGTGGAGGCAGAAGTCTGCGAGCAGCTCCGTGTACTCCTCGATGTTCTCCAGGGTCACCTCCTCCTGCTCCCCTCCACTCCTCAGCTCCACTGCCTCGAACCCATACACCTTGGACGACGGGCAGAACTGGAACGTCAGCCTGAAAGGGAAGTCGGCAGTGCGCAACTGTCAGTGTCGCCGTTCCACGAAGATGTGTCTGGTTAAAAGACATACGGGCTGCGGAGTTCTCTGGGTTAAGATGTGGGTTTTTCTCTGGGAATTTAGGACCTTAAAGAGACACTGAACCTAGGAAAAAATTAATTTGTTTTAGAGCGCAGCCCCTAGGGCACTCAATCTCGTGTTCCGCGGCATCGGCGTAACTGCACACTTTGCATTATGGGACATCACAGACCTATACACCAATTCAATTCCCCGCTAAATTTAGCGAAGAAACTGAACTGGTGAGTAGGTCTGTGACGTCCCATAATGCAACACTGAGCATTCAGTTTCCCCGCTAAATTTAGCGATAAAACTGACCTCGACACCAATTCAGTTTTCCCATAAATTTAGCGGAGAACCAAATTCGTGTTGAAGTTACGCAACGTCAATTTTCCAGCTAAAACTTTGAGAGGAGGGGAGGGTGTTAAGGAGGAGGAGGGGAGAGGAGGATCCTCCATACCCTCTCCTCCTCCTCTCCTCCCCTCCTCCTTATATAAATAATATTACAAGTAATTTATATATATATATATATATATATATATATATATATATATATATATATATATATATAAAACTGAGAAGAAAAAAACCCTTAGTGAAAAACAGCAACAACGGACGATTTAATCTTCGACGTTTCGGCCGGAGTCCGGCCGGAGTCCGGCCTTTGTCAGGATGTATATATATATACATAATTTACATTATGTACGCAGGAGTACGAGGTCCATATTTCTACATATAGATATTTCTTCCCCAAATTCTTTAGCGCGGTATATAGCCAAATCAAAATACCTGAAGAGCTGCTCTCTAATTTCACATTACAGAGATTAGTAAACGTCTAAATTTTTTCTACCTGGTTAGGACAGGCACATTAAAAATTACGAATTGTCAAAAAAAAATTTGTTTGCCCAATATTGATGCTACATTATGAATTTTTCAATTTGCAAGCAAAACCAAAATTGTACCCCTGTGGGTAATGATGATATGATGACAACGTTTGTACCCGACCAGTGCGCTCGAAGTTCGCTGGACCTTAGAGCACACACGATAACTTGGCAAACTGTGGAGGCTACGGTCCCCGCGACCCAACAAGAGCGCCGGAGCGAGGCACGTGACACCATGTCATGGGAGCGTTTGTGTCACTGCGCCGAATGCGAGGCCTGGAGAAACCGGCTGTCGTCTGTTGACCAAGAGTCGTCCGCTGCAAAACCAACCAACTTCGAATGAACGTCCACCACCGGAACATTGCCTTTCGCTAGAGTAACGAGCTCTTCGGGAACAATCCATGACACAACCATACGCTCAATTTACCCCCGAATCTGTGGCAGGTGCTAATGCCAGGACAACGTTTTGAGCGGAATTGGCCAATTACAGGGCTGTGATTGTTCAAACGTCGTTCAAAAGCCACATGGTTATCGGAAAAGGCTTGATCTGAATCAAGTATCGTTGAAAAGTAACATGTCTTCCTTTTTCTTCCGTGTCGTGTAGCGTAGTGTCGATAGAGATGCAATCGCGCGACTTCGATTGCCGTTAAAATAAAAAGATGCCTACAACTGCTTTTTGTTGCAGACGGAGTGGTGCTGTGACGGTAACGAGGCCTCCGCGGCCTCGACCGTGGAGTGGTGTCATGTGCCTTGCTCCGACACCCTTACTGAGTCGTGGATGCTGCATCCTCCACAGTTATCATGAAACGGAGTATAGTTGGGTACAAACGCTATGATCATCATACCACAGGGGTACAATTTCGGTTTCGCCCGCATACCTGAAAACTCGTTTTGTAACATAAAAAAATGTTATTTTTATTAGGTTTAGTGATTTTTTTAAAAAGCCCGAAAGAGCCAAGATAGAGCCATACTTGACCTTTGGCCACAGCCTGGGTACCTAGGCCCTAATTCGCTAGACAAGTGCCAAAGTCAGGCTTCACTGCCGACAGTTTGGCCGTCATCTAGCACCTTTGGGCCTAAGTCTCCAAAACAAGTGCCAGAGTTAGGCTTCCCATCCGGCTGTCCAGTTTTTAAATTGCAACTTTGGGCCTAAATTGCCCAAAAAAAAGTGCCAGGTTCAGGCTTCACTGCTGGCCCTTCAGTTTGTACGTGGCATCTTTGGCTCGAGTCTGGCACTTAAGTGGCAAACCAGAGAAAAAAAACTTAGAAACGCCAGAGCCGACACGCAAACGGGTGGAACTCTCTCGACGTGGGCGCGCCGCCCCTTCCCGCCAGAGGCTCACCCAAGGTCCTCGATGCGGGCGGGCACCCCCGTGCCGTCGTGGGTGGGGAAGGCAAGGTTGTGCAGCTGCCGCACCCGGTCCTCGTGGCTCAACGAGTTGTCCCCGATGATGCGCTGCTTCTGGGCGGAGAGCTCCCGCAGCTGCTGTAGGAAGCGCGCCTGGTGCGGGTTCACCTGGAGCAGGGGAAAGGGTCTAGAGTCAGCCAAGATCGAGAAACTCCCGGTTAAAAGGGGTGAGACGGGAGTTACGACATTACTGCGATGAGCAAAATTTATCTCCTCTATCCCACGTAGTCTGAATTGCGCAGAATGAAAACTGGAAGGTCTGTTATGGCGTGACATACAATATTTTTGCCCCTCAACTTGGTGAATGGCAACACTAACCCCGTGAACACATACCGCGACGACGCGACACCACGGTGTCGCGTGGCACTGATGTCGAGTTACGCCGTTGCACGACGCTGCTATGTCGGGTCACGTGACACTGTGACACCGTGTTACGGGGTATCATAACTGTGACTGCCAAATTAGGAGGTCATACAGTCTAAATTGGTTTTAACAGACCTTGATAATGACCAAGACTTCAGTCTGTTGTAAAAGGAGCATGCTGTTTGCAGATATGAAGTTGAACCAAAGTACAGATAGGAAAACTAACCGAACTTCAGAAAGCAGCATGGTATATCCAAATGTCTGAGAGACCACTTCTTAGGACAAGATAAACAAACACCTATGCTACGTACGCCTACGGAATGTTTACACCTATGCATGGCGGTAAACATAGCACAGGCAGCCTAGGTGTCTCCAATGGCAACTCGAGCGAGCAAGTTCCATGCGGGATTCCCGTACCAAGCTGTCGCTCTAAAACTTGCCTCCATGAAGTCGTCGTGGGTGAGGATCCCGCTGAACCAGGCCGGCTGGCCCAGCAGGGACACTCCCCTGCGAGGCACCTGCAAGCCCGAGGGCGGGGCGTCCTCCTGCTGGCAGGGATGCAGGCCGAGGTCCTCGCGGGTCATTGACGAGTTCACCTGGTTGATCGACTGCTCCCTGCAAGTGCGAGCGGGAGAAAAAAAATTCTTTCGTAGAAAACGACTCGTAAAACACGTTCTGCGTTAAAAGCTTCCCATCGCTGTCCCCTCCCTCGTCAGACCCGAGTCGCGGTGGAGGGGGGCGTTTGGACATCTGCGTACCGTGCGGTGGCCGAGTTGGAGGCCGCCTGCCCCAGGGGCTGTGCCGCCGAGGCCTGTGGGCCCGGACAGAGGAGCCTGAGGAAGGGCCGGGACAGAGGCAGGTCCACCAGGCGGCCGTCCTGCAGGGCCTTGGCCAGGAAGATGCCCAGGAAGTGGAACCAGGCGCTCACCCGGCTGCACACCCCGGACCCCTGGGGCAGGGGCGCCGGGAACAGGCCGTACGCCGTGTGGATGTAGTAGCCGGGGGGCTTCGAGCTCTCCCCGCCCCACGGGGGACGCTGGTCTGGGCCGGACACCGAGGAGGCCGCCGTCGGCTGCGCAACAGCACCCGCACGTCTCGTTTCAAAACAATTGTGAACAAGTTAATTTCCGCTAATTTTCGTAATACACAAGTTCCTGTGATCTCGTGACGAGAGAACACGCCGGCACGGTGGTGCCATCTATGAGGCGACCCTGGAACTGCATTTCGCTAGAGCGAAGGTTTTGCGGTATTTGCGAGATCATATGTATGTGCCATTTATGAAAAATGGTCCTTTATGACATTGTCAAAAGAATGATGCACAAAACATAAAGGAAATATACTGAGATGCCAAGTGTTCCAACGCTACCTGACAGGCGGCACCAAGTGTTCTCTCACTGTTGGAGATCCCAAGGGGTGTTAAGGTACTCGGTTGTAAGCAGTCGGAAGTGTGTGCACGAGCTTTAAAGCCCAACGACTGTACTGAGGCTAAAACGGAGGGGGTGTCCCACCTTTTTGTCGTTGGTGGTCGGGATGTCCTCGCAGAGCCACATGCCCAGGTCCCTCCTCTGGAGCTCCTCCGCCACCAGGGCGTAGAACTCCAACGTCGGGCCCAGGCCAGTGCCTTCTTCGTTTTGGAACTCCACCTGGCGACACACAAATCACATTTCGGCTCCAATCATGTTTCGGATCCAATCAAGTTTCGGCTCCAATCATATTTCTGCTCAAATCACATATTGGCTCGAATCACTACTCGGCTCAAATCACAATCCGGCTCATTCCCATATCGGCTGGAATCCCATTTTGGCTCAAATCCCATTTCGGCTCAAATCCCATTTCGGCTCGAAGCACATTTCAGCTAAAATCACCTTCTCGACTTGAGTGACTGTAACCCAAGTCACTTTTTGGTGGTGAGTGTCCCCCGTCCCTACCCACCTCGAGGACAGTCTTGCGTGGGGCATGCAGGCGCATGACCTGGGTGGCCCAGTCAAGCAGCTTGTCCCCCCGGGGCACCTTGACCCGCTCGTGCTTCAGTCGCCCCACCCGGAACTCGTGGGGGTCGTCCCGCCGGGGGGAGGGTCCCCGGTGACGCTCCGCACTGGCGTCACGCTGGTTTTGCAGCCACACTATCGACCTGCACGGCACCCCACAAACACACACGGGCATTTTGAAGTGAAGTCTCACCCGTACAGGGTGTATGTACGAAAACAGACTTCAGTAAGACAGGCTACTAGCTCTGCGACTGTAAACCAGAAAGCGATATGCCCATTCACTCCCCTCCTGCGTAAGTGTGAGGTGAAACGGTGCTTTCGATGAGCCGTCAAAGTGAGCGCTCAATACAGTTTAAATCGCTGTTGCTAGCAGATGTGTCGTTTGATTAAGTTGTTTCTGGTATCAACTAAAAGTTGAATACACTTACACTCCACGATAGGTGCTAACATACGACTTGTGACAATATCGTGTTACTAATTCCGCGTCAAAGTTGAAACTAAGCCTAAATTTGACCGTCGAGGCCTCTGTTTAACTTCCTGTTGTATAGATATCACTGAAATGTCGGGCATACATAAACCTCATTGAGTCAAACATGATGGTGAAAGGATCATTGAGATATCTCTCTCCGTTGAAGAGCTATGCACCGAACAGAATGATCATAATACATCTGACGCTGACATGACGTAATTCACGCTGCCATCTTGTGACACACCTCGTATGTCCACAGCATTTCGTTTCGCTAGACTCGGTACACAGATGTCACGCCTAAAACTTGTGGCCGTGTCATATACATAACCTACCCGTTTTTTTTTTTTCTGGCATGTTTGCAACAAAACATAGTCTGTCTTCGTAAAAATTCTCCCACCGATCCAGCAACTAAGTCTGTCTGCTAAAATTCTCTCGCTGATTCGGCACCATTTTTAAATCCGATTTGGCACCAAGTGGATGCAGGCCTTTGCTCCCTATTATCGGAGACTCGCTCTACACCATTTCTCTTGTCGTCCCGAATAAAGGAACAGACGGTTCGTAAATGAATGGGTATAATTTATGCCAATGGTAAAACTCACAACTAACAATGCAAATGGATTTAAATTATTTTCAGCACAGTGTGATGTATGGTGGAACTGCAAACTTTCAGACTATGGATGCTGACAGAGGTTCGTCAAAATGCTGTGGTAAAAGAGACTCTAAAAGTTAATTGTTTAAGAAAAAAATTCAGACATCAGGGCCACAGATGCCTGTATCAGTCTTGAAAGCTTACATCAAGTCTGCTATACTACCCCCATATCTTTGCTACATGAGTCTTAACTACAACCAGGTAACATAATTGGCAAAGTGTGTAACTAAAAGCACCGCTGTGGTCCCCCTTCCACGAATGATTAAAAGCTCGCCATAAAGTCTCCATGCGGTTAATACCACTTTCGTCAACGCAAATAAGAGTGATGTCAGACCGCCAACACTGAAAGATTTAGTTGAAGAATACAATGACTCCACTCTTCCACCATTCTTTTTGCACACACCATCAAACTTGTCGTTCGGAAGTGATCATCCCAGCCTCGGCGTCACAGGTAGCAACTATAAAAAGGCACCGCCGAAACGTCTGGTCATCAAACAGTTTGCTCGACCGAAAAAAGAATTCGTACCACTCCACTTTTGGATTCTGCGGGTCCTTCCACGAAACCTGAAACCATGCTGTGTCTTGTGCCAGTGTATGGCGTCGTTTAAAGCGTACGAGTGAGGCAGCCACCACAACCGATGATGCGACCAACAGTTGCACACTGCGAGACAAGTTGCAAACGGAGGCAAAACCCACCTGGAGGCTCCGAAGGCCGTGCAGGAGAAGTAGAGCTGCCGGGTCTCAAAAGGGAACAGCATGGGGCAGGAGTAGGTCAGGTGTTCGCACCAGTCCGGCTGGGAGCCAGACGACAGCACCAGGGGGTCCTGCAAGGACGACGACGGTCGTGCGTTTACGGGTGCGAGGGTGTGCCGATCATGAGAAGAAGAAACGGCTTAGTGGCGCAACGTGCAACAAATGCTACGGTGTGCCAGGGGCCCTGTATCACGCTGCATGCATTATAAACAGCGTGCAATTCCCAGCTTCAAAACTGCACTTCTCTTCGCAAACACTGACGCACCATGGGAAAGCCAAGCGGCTCCTGGATAAAAATTTCTTAGTTATCGTAAATGCCGGAAGAGAGCTCACCCTAAGTTCATTAAAACTGGGTTTATCTAGACATAGGTGCCTGTCATCCAATCGGGCACTTAATATATAATTTACAGAGTTCCCAAGTTAGGGAAATGTTAATAGTGGGCGCTTGAATGAAGTGAGCGCTTCTGCGGTATTTTACAGTATATGCACTTACACTAAAACAGCGCTACCAATAAAGCAATTTGCCAAATGGGTCGCACCTCTCATTGAACCCTTTTTAATTTGACAACTGGGGCCATTTAACAATTGCTATAGATACTAACGCAATTAAACATGTCAGCACACGTCGGTACAACTGGTAAAACTACTAAAATTGGTTACGGGTCCTGAACAAATTTCGCAGTTATAGCAGCACGCTTACCTGGATCTGTTGTACCAGCTTGTTGGTAATCTTCTTACTGAGGAAGTCCTCCAGGGTTACTGTGCTCAGAATATCTTCGATTCCTGAATGCCAAAAAAAAAAAATAAAAGAAGCTCCAGTTATATAGTAGTTTCAAGTGCAGACTAAGCAAGGTGAAAGTACGGTCACACCAACAAATAAATGCAATCCTAAGATTTGCAGTCACGCATCGGTGACGTGTCACAGAGCAACATGTCACAGTCGCGTATCACCGAGTCACGTGTCAAAGTGACATGTCACAGTCGCAAAGTAACATGCCACAGAGTCACGTGTCAGAGTGGCATGTAAGTCACGTGTCAGCAACGTGTCATGTCACAGAGTAACATGTAAGAGTTACATGTCACAAGCAGACATGTACATGTTATGCCCAAAAAAGTAACTAAATACCGTTACTCGCTCAAAAAGTAACTGAATGCATTACTCGTTACCGATTCTCAAAAGGAATGCGTTCTTTATCTCAAAAGTAGCGAGTTACTTTTCTCGTTACTTTGACGACCCAAAACCGCTTTTGTTTTATGCTTCAAGGTTTTCTTTTCAGTAATTGTTGCACTTCAGCAGTACAAAAGTATAGCAACGTGTTCAGCGATACACGTTACTATACTTTCATACTGTTTAGTTGTTTTTCGGAATACCCATCGCAATAAACGCATACTCGGGTTAGAATTAAAATGAGGCTGTCTAGACAGTGTACGTGTTACTCCCCAAAAGTAATGAAATACCGTTACTTGGCCTTAAAAGTAAGTATGTAACTCATCCCTTTTCTAAAATCGTTACTGAAAAAAGTAACTAGGTAGAAATAACTCATTACTAGTAATGCATTATGTAAAGCCACGTGGTGGAGCCTCAAGTTTTCATGAGGGCCCCCATCTTTCTGCCCTCTTGTCCGTGGGGCGGTTAATTAGCCGCCCCAGACGCAATGAATAGTCTCATCTCCTCAGAGGCAGAGCCCCACCCCCGTTTCCCTTTCTAGCCAAGAGATGGCGCTTTGCAGCCTCCTGGCAGGGCGAGAGATTCCCCTCGCCTATCAGTTATAAAAGGGGACGGATGAGGAGGAAATGATTTCTCTTTCCCAGGTCACGAACAACAAAGGCAAGTGATTCAGGGCACCGATTACGAGAGGCCAGGAGCATGGCCATGTTGGTGTAGGCCTAGCGTTGTATTATAGTGATGTTCTGTATTGTATGTATAGTTTTGGTAGTGTATGCAGTTTTGAAGTGTGTGTTTTGTAGTGTACCGTGTTCTTGAAAATAAACGGGAGTGGAAGCCTGCTCCCTGGAACGAAGCAACGTCTGTGTCTTTGCCTGGTCAACGAATGAATGAGTAACCACGTGGGGCATGCTTGCCGGTGGAGGCACTCGAATTCTCACGCGTCATGAAGTCGCATGTCACAGTCACGTGTTGCAGTCACGTGTTACAGGGTAACCTGTTACAGTCATGTGTCACTGCGTAACCCGTTACAGTCACGTGCCACAGAGTAACATGGCACAAAGTCAAGCGTTGCAGGGTCACTTGTCGGAGTGACATTTCAGTCACATGTCCGAGTGACGAGTCACAGAATCGTATCTCACGAACTTATGCAACCTCTAACACATTCTGTGGTAAAAAAAGAGAGAGAGGAGGAAGGAAGGGTCGCACCAATGGAGCTGGTGCGGCTGCGGTGGGTGCTGAGCAGACGCAGCAGCTGCAGCACGTCATCCACGCTGCAGCCGCCCTGGGCCTCCAACCCCGAGTATCCCAGTGCGCTGCTCAGGGACAGGGCACCCTCTCGAACCCCGCCCTTGCCGCTCGTCGAGGGACGTGCCACCGGCACCTGGCGGGATGCCTCCTGCGAAACGCCGGCACACGCCAGTTGCAACGCTCGTTCTGATGCAGATTTTTTTTTTTTTTTTTTTGCTGGTTTAAATTAATGTCAGATTTGTTAAAACACACCGTAGGTGAAGGGTCCTCAATCTTTTCTATCTCAAGAAATACCCATCTCTCTTGACTAACAGCCAAGGAGCGCCCCTCCTCGATGCAGTAAAGCAGTACAGAAGCCTGCAAACCTTGAAAACAATAACGGACATGCCAGGGAATGTTTGGCACATAGTCGTACAACAACGGATGGCTCAGTTTTACTACGACAGTGCTTAACCTGGAAAAACACTTTACTTGGGGGCAGGGACGGTTGAGGAAATTTGGGAGCTCGGGGAGCCCAAGAGGGCGCTCTGAGGAAGCCCCGGGCTCCTAAGAACCCAGTTTGAGAACCCACGCCGTAGATTAATCTTTTGAAGAACCAGCTCCAACTAAATATAGAAGGCAACATAGCAAATTATCCGAGCCACATTGGGGTCGGCTCAATTCAGTCAAAATGAAACGCAATGTCAAGGGTATTACGTCCCATCCAAGGTTGTTTTAGTGTCGAGCCCCGTAACTCCTTAGCCCGTTCAACGCCCATACATTCCCACGAGGCATGACGTCGACAACTCGAAAGTCTAACCAAAATTGAGACTGGCGTGTAACTTTGAACGAGAAAAAAACGAGAAACGGCAAAAGGTTCTAGGTTTGACGGTGGAACGTTCAACAAGTAGACGGCCGAGACGAACTGCCGTTCTCCGCGCCTACAGCGCCCGGAACGCGACTCGGACTGGCGCGTTGACCGCGTCCTGAAAAGTGGTTCCTCGACTTCCGCCCGACAACGTCGTCGAAGTGTCGTGCCGTCGCTGGCTGCGATCCTGGAGGTGTCGCGGCGCGGTGGTGGACGTGCCAGACGCCCGTCCAGCTGAGAGTTGGACGGACGTTCGGCAGCCGAGAGTTGGGACGCCGTGACGGGACGCCAAACACGCCAGTCCAAGACACATTCCAGGCACCGCACCTATGTGGCAGCTCCAGTCTAGTACACGTTACTCGGAAAAAGTAATCAAATACAATTACAATCACTATTTGTTAAAATTATTCACAGTAATTAGCTTACTTAATTTAATTACTTGAGAAGAAAAGTAACTGGCCGTTATTTGATAAAGTAACTGACTTTCCGGATTACTTTGATCACAGTCGCCGACCGATTTTAAGGATGCCGATAATTCGGACTTGTTTGATACTTTGGACCAGACGGAGGAACCGTGACCTACCCGATAGAAATAGTGCATATTCATAACCGACGTTTCAGACCGCTTGAAGTCCGAAAGTGTGATATTTTGAAAAAAAAACAACGTCGCAAGCAATCAATGAGAAACGCTACCGCGACTCTACCATTTTAGATTTTGCATTGGCTGCACATGCATTGGCTTGGTTTGGCAGCGCTACTTGAGTACTGATGCTAAGTCCTGCCGCTAGGTGACACATGCTGACTTTTATTTTTCTTCTCTGGCTGCATGTCATTATCATCATCACTACCATTTTGCCTTGTTCAATCGCCATTCTGCAGTGGTCTTGCGTTTCTCATCTCGTCTCGGTGAATCGTGTTTCGAAGACTACGCTGGCTTGCAAAGTTTCGCTAAGAAGCACGGAAAGTACTTGACCGTAACGCTAGAAAAGAAGGTGGCAATTCTTAAGTGGTTGAACGCAAGTGGAGGCATAGCTTGAAACAAGGCACTGCTGATGGCTTTTTGAAGCCCAGTTAGACATAACAAAGGCAAGTGTTTTAATCTTCCAATTTTTAGAACAGCTTTGTTATCCGGCCATTTTTTTCGATTCCTGCGAAGTCCAAAAGATTGGTCGGCGACTGTGGTTGTAACAAGTACTGTACAAGTCTCGGAAGCTCGCAGTCGCATCAGTCGTACCCGCCCAGCGATGCTTAGCAATGTCGGCAGATCTTACGACGTTAGGCCCGCCACAGATCGACCTACCTCTCTCGAGTACGAGCTGTCCTCCTTGGCTGCCTTGTAGATGATTCTGTACAGAGAGAAAAAAAGAAACGTCAATATGTCACGATAAGTCTCAAGTAGGTGAGACAGAGGCGCAACTTTAATGGGAAAAGCTTGTTGGCAGACAGAAACAAAACAGAGACACTTACAAATCTCTGTAACGCGAAATTACAGAGCAGCTCTTCAGGAGGAGGAGGGGAGGGTATGCCCCTCCCCCTCCTCCATATCCTTTCCTTTTGCATACCCTCCCATCCTCCCCCTCCTTCTAATTTCTCCACTAAATTTAGCTGAAAAATGGGCGCCACGTGACCTCAACACCAATTCAGTTTCCCCGCTAGGGAAAATGACGTCACGACTTGGTGTCACGTCAGCTACAAAGAAATTCAGCTTCTCCGCTAGATTTAGGGGGAAATTTGACATCAAGTGACCTCAACAGCAATTCAATTCCCCGCTAAATTTAGCGGAGAATTGCATTGGTGTTGATGTCATGCGACGTCAATTTTCCCGCTAAATCTAGCGGAGAAACTGAATTTCTTCATAGGTGACGTGACACCAAGTCATGACATCATTTTCCCTGCTAAATTTAGCAAGAAAACTGAATTGGTGTTGAGGTCATGTGACATCAATTTTGGCGGGGAGATGAGCGCTGCATCGGCATTTGGCTGGGAGTCAGCCCGTCGACTCGCGTTACTGGCACTTAACCGGATGTGGTTGGGTGCCGACGCACATTCCGTGTCAAAAGCGTGTTGGCAAGCCGGGTGACCATTCATCTTGAAAACTAGAGAACACATTTTCTTTTCCATGAGCACTCACATGTACATGGGCTCCCAGATACGCCTTATCTTGTCCTGCCTGGATCCCATCTCAGAGGTCTGGATCAGGTGCTGAACCGCGCGGAAGATGGTCCACTCAGGATCCACGAGGTCCACTTCCAGGTCCGGAACCTGTCGTTGGGCCATCCACAAAAAAAAAAAAAGAACAAGACAGAGAAAAGCTTTGTCAGTTCCAAAGCCTTAGAAAGCCCCTGAGATCGAGACAACGAACAACCGGAACGACAAAGGCGGGGGCTCCAATGTAGCATCGGTAAAAGCGCGTGATACATGGATGTTCGTGGAACAGCGCTCACCCCTGGGAGGTTGGGACCCTTCAACGTCAGGTGAAGCCTCGGCTGAGGCGTCGATTCTCGCACTTCCTCGGCATTTGATTCGTCCGAGCCTGTGGAAGGGGAGGGGCCACCGAGCCGCATCGTCATCGAAAATATCCAGTTTAACTTTTGCACGATAACCGACACCTTTAAACAAATACTGATCCCTGTTCCACGCTTCGTAAATGCAAGTTGCTTATTCTGAGCATTGGATAGCTAAAGAAAAGAATTTCCTCGTGCTTGTGTGGTGCAAGATATTTTCACACATCACGTCGTAATATGGGGTATCTTAAAATAAGAGCATTCAGGCCTCTTCACAGGGTGCAAGTTTTTGCAAGCAGGTGATATTAAAACAGCACAGGCACCATCGCTATCACTAGAAAAGAAGTGACCACCCGACGTGCGCCACCACACATTTCTTTCAGAGGAAAGCTTTACACTACTGTTTGACACGGGCGATAAGTGAACTTTTCATCACCAGTTTGAACCACTTGGCACTGAAGATCTGCATCGCAACACACTGTCATAATAAATGTAGTAATAACATGATGTTAGTAAACCCCTAGTAATCGATGCCTTACCCAGTCAGGCAGTCAGCAATTCATGAAACAGCCGAAGAGAAAACCACACAAACTGTTAAACCCGGTCGTACACAAAGTTGGAGGAAGACTCTCAACGCACAGGAGACAGTGAGTGCAGGTAAAATGATGCGATGAAATTGTGTGGCTCGACTAGGTTTTCTATTAGGCCACATGCCACCACCACCCAATCCCACCAGAAAACAATTGCCACGGGCCCCCTTGTTGAAACGCAAGACTATTTGCTGGCAAAAGACCCTGGTGTTAGCATCAAAGTAAACTGCATAAAGACCAAAAACCGAGTGTAGCCCCCAAGACTGTTCCCAGTGTTCAGAGAATTGAAACTGAGAGCAAATTTTATATCTGAACCCCCCCCCCCCCCCCCCCCCACCGCAAAAGAAATAAAAATAGAAACCTTCCAGTCAAATGGTGTTCAAGAGAAATAACTAAGTCTCAAAACAGAAGAACAGACCCAACAGAACTGAATCAATTTTGGAATGTATGCGGACAAACTTAAAAAAAGAATAAATGCCCCTGTGGAGAAACCTATAATCCCCGACAAACAGGCAACACTGCACATTACAAAAGAACCTCAAAAACAAGTTAAAGAGCCTCAAGAATGAGAAAGCGACCTTCAGGATCAATGGACGACCCAGAATAAGAATAAAGAGCAGCTAGAACGAATCGTGACCTTGAGAATGAACACACGACCCCGAGAGGGAACATATGGCCCCGATAATGGGCACAAGACCTTGAGGATCAGCAAATGACCTTGAGAATGAACAAATGACCTTGAGAATAAACACCCGGACCACGACCGCACGACCTTAAGAACTAACACCCGACGTCCGAGACGAACGTACAGCCTCGACGACCAAAACCACGAGCCCGGAATATCAATTGTCGCCCGACTCCACGCTCCTGTCAGGCTCCCGCTAACTCCCAGAGCCTAAAGCCAGCAACCCGCCGCGCCAAGAAAAACCGGTCGTCGGGCGATCGGCGCCTCCCACTTACTCACGCCGCCGCCACCAGTCTCATCGGGCCACCATGGTACCTAAGATGCATCTCCGACTGCCGCGTTTACCGCGTCCAAAAAAGTGGTCCCTCGACCTCTGCCCGACGACATTATGGCAGCATCGCGTTGTAGCCGGCCGTAACCTTGGAGCGATTAACCGCCAGGGTTGTGACAACCAACACTCCGGCCTCCGCTACGTCATTCGTTGCCACTTTGGGACCACTTTCGGCGAATGGGACGCTAAACACGCGGGTCGTCGAGAGAAGCGTTCTAGGTGCCATACAGCCGCCGCCGCCACCAGTCTCACCACGCCACCGCAGGCCGTGCCACGTCGTAGAACCACGTTCCGGGGAGCACCGTCCCGCCGTGAGGGACGGGTCACGTCGTCGTTGCCAAACTACACCTACCGCGTGGGCGCTGTGGCAGCCGCTGCTGCGGCGACGACAGGTGGTTCGGGCGGGTGGCGGGGCGTGCTCGCCTGCGCTGCTGGAGGGGAGAGGAGGAGGAGGACCGACCTGGGGGAGGGATCTCGAGGTCCGACGTCTGGTTGACGTTGGTGCGCCCGGGCCGGGGGTCGAATGCGGGGATCAGCGCCGAGAACTGCCGCTTCAGCACGAACTCGTCGTCCCAGCTGCGCCGCTTGCCGCTGCGCAGCTCCATGCCGTCTTCCTCCTGACAGACAGCGGAGACGGAAAAAAGGGTACGTCGACAGCTTCGTCAATTTCTGAATAGTAGAACACCTCTAAAGAGTGATACAGAAAAACAGCAATTATAATACAGAGATCCTTTCGTAGCTCGTTTCGCTTCTAAAACAGAAAGTGTGTAACAGTGTATTTTCACGAGGGATCCTTATTTGAGAAGAAAATCGAGTGAGTCGTGGAGCTACAAGAAGGAAAAGACCCGAGAAGGAGGCGGTGTCACAGAAAATCCCAGCGAACATGTGCACAACAGAGTCGCACGTAGTTGAGTTGCAGTCTTCCTTTTCACAAACCTGCTGGAGACCTTCGGGGGCTCATCGAACAAAAGGCAGAAAAAGGATGAAAGAAAGGGGCCCACACCTCAAAGCTGTTGATCATAAATAATCCTTCCCCAAAAGCAGGGGCACAAAGGAGGAAGCCCAGTTGCTCCGACGAGACGACGGATGTTCCGTAGGCCAGTCGCAGATTCTCCTTGGCTCCACATGAGCTCTGGGGTTAGCGAGCATCGTGTTGCGGAGCACGTGACCTCAAAACTCAATGACGTTTAATCCTCTCCTCACGAAGACACTCCATCGTGCGAATGCACCGTAAGGGTGGGGGATCCTCAAAGAGAGTGGGACGGAAACCATTACGAAATGAAACGCATATCAAAGAGGGACAAAATTCGCACCCTAGCAGGGATTAAACCCATACCCCACGATTATGAGTCCGAGACTCCACAACCACAAAAAGGGTTCAGTGGCGAACACAAACGTCAGACGCTGGGGTCGAACAGTAAAGACCACCGTGGTGGTCTCTACTGCACGAGCACGACCACCCCCCTGCCAACAACGAATATGCACAAGACGCAACAAACGTGTACAAAACGCGAGGGATGCGCGAAAAACACGACGGCGCTACGGTTCCACGCAACCAAGCGCAACATCCGACCCACCACGACATCCTCGTAGTCGTCATCGTCCTCGTTGTCGTCGTCGTCCTCGTTGTCGTCGTCGTCCGGCAGGTCGTCGTCGTCTTCCAGGTCGGCCATGAGGGTGGTGGCCCGGCAGGTCTCGAGGAAGTCCTGCTCGCTCTCGCTGGACATGGAGGTCAGGCTGACCGTCAGGCCCCCCGCCCCGCCTCCCGCCGCCGTGGTGGTCGTGCTCGTCAGGCTCGGGTAGCTTTGAGCCGTGCTCAGAAAGCCTCCTGGGGGGATTGGAAAGCCACACCCTCTTAACACTGGGACAAGGTACGCACCGCAACAATGCGTGCACCGCGACGAAGTATGCACCTCAACAAAAGTATGCACCGTGGTAGAAATGTGCCGGGAACGCGTACCATTATTACCCGGTTCTAGCGCCCCCCCCCAACCCAATTCTGACGCGTACCCAGTTTTCAGACCCTAAAATGAGGATTCTAATGTGCACTTGGTTTTCAAGCTCAGTATCTCAGTTGTCACCGGCATTTGGTCGGATCCGAGCTTCTTCACGTAGTCGACCAGGACACCTCCGACGTCGGGAAAACGGCTCGTCAGCTGGCCGTGAAGTCGGGTCAACTTGCTCGCGAAGATTGTCTCTTTACTTTCGCCAGTCACAAACACAAGTTTCGAATTTCGTGACTCCTCAAGTTGCGAAATTCAAGACGTGACTGCAACCCCCATTGTTGGCGACTCAAGTGTTGCGCAGAAAGGCTACGCCGCCATCTTGTAACTGCAATGACAGCGGGACCGTTGGTGGCATGATTTCGGTTTTTGTTTCGGTTTTGTATCCGACTGCAACGCGCAAGCCATTTCTAGCCGCATTTTTCCCGAAAAGATGTGCACGTTAGAATTGGGTAATTACGGTATTTAACCGGCGTGTTTCTCGCCCCATCCCGCCCACGCGTCGAAAGTGGCTCCAAAAGTAGCGAAAGATTCCCACGAAAGCTCGAGTCCTATGCATAGAAAAGTTCAGTTGTTCCGTTGCTAAAGTTTCTAACCCAGAGGCAGTACCGACGCGGTTGCAGTCGCATTATCAAAATGCCGCCCAACGCACGCGCCAGCATTAGAACTTCGACGAATTACAAATCGGCTCCGAAGTCGTGGCCCGTAGCGATCGAGCAAGAGGAAGGGAGTGTGTCGAAGAAGGCGCAGAAAGACGGACGTCTCTTCTCACCGGGTGGGGGGTGGTTGCCGAGCTGCGAAGACGCTTCGTTGCCAACCGTGATGTCGCCCAGCAAGTCGGCGAGGACTTCTGCAAACGACACGAGGCAAGTCACGGGTTACACGGATTCGTTCGTGCCCCTCATTAGGCACTCCCGCAGTCCCCAAAACAAAAAGGATGCTTCAGCTCCCTCCCTCCCCCCAGGGAAAAGGTTTTGCCGTTGTATTTTGAATAACTGATCTCACTGTCGGACGCAGAATAAACTCTTTTTGAAATTCAGTCTGCCATCCTTGATCTTTACGATCGTCTCGGTGTCTGTGCCAAACAAATGGTAGCCTTCTTGACGCTGATGCAGGAAGACGTCGAAGACACTACGAAGAGGAAGATGTACGAGGCCCGTACGTTCGAGATGTCGGTACAACGCGATGCACAAGTTGCTGTGCAAAGCATTTGTTTCAGAGAGTGATCCAATCGACACCTTGGCACGAGTTTGGCTCTAAAACCTTTTGATGGCGGAAATTCAATCAAAGGGCTCATGGGTCGCCGCTTTGCACGTGGTCGATTCTTACGTTCGCACCGTCGAAACGGAAACAAATTGAGGAAAATTACGATGCGATTGACGAACCAATTCTTACTCGCTACTGACGCGCGAAATTGACGAAATGCAGTTTCAAAACCTCCCTTAGTTTGCCGAAAGTGAAACTGGTCTTTGAGCCACGCGATGGCACCAAATTTCTAAAAGGGTCCACGGCGCTCTACCAGGAATGCAGCAGACCCCAACGTTAAGTTCCCGGTACGCGATGTCGTAAGTCTTTTGGTGTCGCCACGTCCTCCTTTTTAGTACCATCTACGTTTTATATGTATGCGACGGTATTTCTTTTCGCAGCAACTGTAGGAAGCTGCGGAATCCCTACACAATGGTGGACAAACGCCCACGCTTGTGTCTTGCACTGTGCGGGGGTTCCACAGCTTCCAACGGAGGGCACACTTTCGAAAGGTCTCTACGATGAAACTGACACGCTCGCTGGAAGTCTTCACAATTCCTCACGAGAGAAAAGACTGGGCCGTGGAGGACGTCACTAAACGGAAGTCGGCCAACACTCTACCCCCTTGCCACACTAGGCTCACCATCGTCGTCACAAGCAATAGGACGACGAAGCTCAACACCGTCGTCCCGAACAATAGAAAAAGCTAGTAGACCATTTTATTTTTTAACCGTCGAAATCTTACATTTGCCTCACGCAACGTCGAGGAAACACTCCACTCAATCTTCGTTAAAACCGCGTTTGAGTGGAGCGACTTTCCGGAAGAGACTGCTTCGATCGACCATAACAACTCAATTCTTTCCTCACCCATCGTAGCATATTTAAAAAAAATAAACTACAATAACGCCCACAAGGCAATGTAGGTACTTCGTAGTTCCATGTTCTACATTCGCCTACTGTTTTTCATCCGCAACAACAGGATCCCTGGCGAGTTAGGTTCAGTGCGAGTGCAATTCTGCGTCGATAGAAAACCACTCACCCGGGAAGTTGGAGGAGAGGGCGAGGCGAACCAGGGAGCTGACGTTGTTGGAGCCCCTGGAGAAGAGGGACGAGCCGCCCGTGCCGCCGCCCGCCGCGGCGTTGGCCAGGGCCGCCCCCACGCCCTGCCCGCCGGCGTTGCTGCCGGCCCGGCGCCGCGTAACCGCCGCAAAGGTTTCCAGCAGGCTGGCGGCCGACTCGTTGGCGTTGGCCAGCCCCAGGGACAAGTTGGGCACGGACACGCTCATGCTGTTGGACGAGCCCGTCCGGCCGGGCTCCGAGGCCTGGCCCCGGGCGTTGCTGGAGCTGCGGGCGCAACGCCGGGGGGCGGAGGTCACTTCAGCGCTGTTTCGGAAACGGCCACGGCGCCAGAGAGGACGCGGAAAAAAAGAGTTACGAAAGACCGATCGTGCCGACAAAGAACAGGGAGCGCGGAATGCGTCCCGCACAAACAACACTCCACCTGGTTTTCGCTAGATTTTTAAATTTTTTTATTCCCCATTTTTAGATTTTTATTATTTATTTTATTCTTACTTTATTCATTTATTCATAACTTACTTAATCTATTCATGCTATTTATTTATTACTTAATATTTACATTCATATTTATTTTATTTATTATCTTTATTTAAAACATGCCGTTCTCGCCAACATGCTTTCGTGCCGGCTGCTTTCGTGCCAGCACCGAACAGCTAGAACAGAAAGCTGCGACAGCAGTTTTGCTTGTCAGCCTTCTCGAGCAGACCAAATATTCGCGGTGCCTGGTGGTCTATGCACGAAGCCACAAAAGAAAGTTAAAAGACATGCAGTAAAATCGCAAAGAGTATCATACTGCCACTGCACCGACCCAAGTTTAAGCCCTGCTGGGGGTCTCTTTCTTACGCTGATCTTACATGGGCCTTTGTGTGCTTCATATATAACCTAAATGTCGTGTAACAATCGTAGCACGATGCTCGTTCGTGACAATTTTCTCGTAAAAAAACAACTCATAAAACACGTCGATAAACAGAAGGAACAATTCCACCCATCTCTTGCACTATCGTGGCAGGAGCGGTGCTAACGCTGTCTTTACTATGCAACTATAACTCCAGTAGGCTCGCGATAATCCAAACTCGGATATTTCATACTTCTGGTTAATTCAAAGAAATTCAAAAATTTTTGGTTGTCCCGTCATGTTTTTAAGGTACAGTATAGACCACTTACAACGTAACCGCTTATAGTGCAGGACCGGGTATAACGCGGTTTTTTTAAACCACCGGTTCACCTCCCATAGAACTCCATGTAATTACATACCGCTTAAAATGCAGGCGCGCGAAGGGAAGTACCGGTTATAGTGCGGTTTCTGGCGCAGCCCGCCGGCCGCGCCGACGACCGGAGCAGCGAGCTCGCTTCCCTGTGCGACACCAGATAACGGCGCTGACGCAAGCTGACGGCGCGAGCCGCAAACTGCACTCGCGGGGCAAGGAGGTTGCTGGAAAACGCGGGAAGAAGCGAAGAGGGAGGCAAGGGAGGCTTCAGTTGCCATAGTGACGGAGGGACGCACGCACGAGTCGTTCACGTGCGTGCGTGCGTGCGTCCCTCCGCTGCGTTGGAAACAAAGAAACAAACAACCGCAACGACAGACCAATCGCAGGTCGAGGAGAAGGGAGAAGTGTTCGCGCGTTGCATCATACATGCCGGTCGTGGGCCGGCCAGGCCGGCCAGGCCGGCTGCTTCTATTCCGCAAACGTGGCGTCGGTTGTGATCGTCGTCGTAGACGGCGTGCATCTCATCGTTCTGCGTAAAAGCGCTATCCTTGACTGTGAATTTTCGTTGTGTGTCGCTATGATAACCCAGCACGTACGAGAAGGGAAGATCCACCTACTCGTGCGGCGATGTCGTGGCGGCGCTCTCAAGACGGCAAAAACGCCCGTGTCGTCGTGGTTGTTTACTTCGACTACAGTGGTGATTTCTAAGCATTTGTGTCCTCGAACATCGCCCGGATTTCTTATTTGGCGCATTTCATGCGTGTGCTAAAGTTCAAGGTATTACTGGCGCGTACTGTATGAAGGATACGAATTTTCACGCGTTTTCATCTCCGGAGAAAAGTGATTAGGGTTAGCAATCCTGAACGCTCGCAACGTCCGTCCGCAACCCGCGACGCCGTTAAAAGGCTGCGCCAGGCAAAAGCCGCTATTTTCTTTTAAAATGTGTGACACTTGAGACATAACTGTACTAGTCTATTGAAATAAAGACTTTCCTCAAGCTAAGCTTATTTTTTCATCTAACATAACATAAATTCTTTCACAAAGGTAAATTGTCTCATGGCATGTATTTTGGCCTGAAAAATTGATGTTTTGGTTATAGTGCGGTACCGCTTATAGTGCGGATTTTCGCGACTCCCGAGACATACGTTATATGCGGTCTACACTATTTACAAGCCGCATAATTCAAGCGGCGTTTTCAGGTAATTCATACCTTCGTTCTCGCGGTCACGTTGAGCGCGATTCCTACCGAGCACCGGTGCAACACCCGTGGAGCTTGCTTCCGCGGGTGTTGCTTTTCCGCAGTGCACAGGTGCTCGGCAAGAATGGGTATAATGGGTATAACAGTCCACAATAAACAACTTTTCTGCCGGACGAACAAACTTAATTTTGTTTTGAGGCGTCACGTGCTGTCTAAACAGTCCACGATAGAAAACATTCTGAGGGATGAATAAACTTATCTCACGCATTTCAGCAATATTTCATGTGTGTCACCTGCTTTTAATTAGTAGGCCTGCATAGAGGAAATCATTAAACATCCACTTTGCATGCACTCGTATAACAAATCAACAAATCACAATTGTATCCCGCATCATATTCAGGTTAATCACAGACAATTCAATTCAAACTTCCGACGATTCAAGCAAAATTCGTAGCTTTCCGAAGTTTGATTTCATGAAAGTCTGCCGCACGCTTATCGTTCCTCGCAAGGTCAGTACACTTCCGCACCGCTTTACCGCATCAATGACAAAATTGGGAGGCAGGCATTCCTCGTCTAACGGTCCAGTAACCAAGTGAACTGGCGAGCTAGTTGGTTAAACATTACGGATACAAACGGCGCCAAGGACGAGGACTAGTAGAAGTAGTGAACAGGACGAGAGGTGGTTGACACTCTAACTCCTTTCTCTTACTGGCGAGCGTTAATACGTCGGTTGTAAAGGCCCGTTCACACTCTTGCGACTGCTTGCGACCTCTTAAACCTGGGTTCCTTAAAACTTCTTAAACCAGAGAACACACTGGCGCCATCTATTGGGAAGCAGTGTAAACTCGGCGGTCCGGCATATTTTTTTTTTATTTCTCGCGCAATATCCTTTCTTTTTTGGCTCGAAAAACTTTTGTCAATGTTATAAACGAGCCTTTCTATGGGTATTACGCACATTTGACCTCGGAAATCCCGCAAAACCTTCGCTTTTGTGAAATGCAGTTCTAAGGTCACCGCATAGATGGCGCCACAATGTCAGTGTGTCCCCTCATTCTAGAAACATTTAAGAAGTTGTAAGAGATCTCGTCTCTCTCAGTCGTACTCGGTCGCAAGAGTGTGAACGGGCCTTAAGTCTGCACTTGTCCCAACCACTTCTTCTACTACTAGTCCTCATCCTTAGCAGCGTTTGTGTCCGTAACATCGGTCCGGGCAGATACGAGTTTCTCGAAAGGTTTGAGAGAACCCTTTGGCCTGGACCGTCGTCGCGAACTCTCGGAGTTTGAAACCCGGACTTGAGCCCTCACCCCAGGATGGTGGCCCCGGTGTCGATGCGGTGCCTGGAGGCCGCCTTGAGGCTGGGGCCAGCCGAGGACGAGGGAGCGGGGGACGGGGCGTCCTCCGTCTCGGGGTCCTCCCTGGTTGGGGACAGGCTGTTCAGCTCCCGCGCCTGCAGCACCCGGGGCTGGACCGCCACGGGCAGCAGGGGCAGCTCCAGGGCCTCCATGCCCGTCGTGGACAGGGCTGCCTCCGCCCGGGCCCGGATCAGCATGTTCTCGGCCACCGCCTCCGCCGCCTGCGCGTCGTGGGGACCCATATGACACCCTTACATCGCGAGGCCACAAAACACTGTGCCGTCGTGAGGCCACGTGACTGCGACATCACGTGACAGCGCGTACGCAGGCAGCACGTGCCCAGCTCGCTCGCAACACATTCTGCGTGTCTCCAAGTTTACCGGATGTGATCGAGGCATTCTTACATCAAATGTATGCACTGGTTTATAATGTTGTCACAATGTCATGAGGGATCCCAAAAGGTTTCGAGGTACCCGGTCGTAAGCGGTCACAAGTGTGTGAACCAGCCTCGAAAGACAGTGATTGGATGACTGGAAGCAAGACTATTAGTAGTATAAGTGAGAGGGTAAATCGGCGAGTCGGCAAGCACGAGTGAGTGAGCAAGTGAATCAAGGTGGCGATGCACGCGTGTTGGTTCGTGCTTACGAATTGCTGGTACGACGCGCAATAAACGAAGAAAGAGGTGGGCAGCAGACGGGACGAGTGCCATTTACTGCCCGTCTCTCTCCTTGTTTATTGCGTGCTGCATCGTTGGTAAAAGCGAGTGAAGGAGTGCCCACCTTGACGGTGGTGAGGTTCTCGGCGGAAACGGCCGTCTGCTGGTCCATGGCCGTCTGCCCCTGGGAGGAGTCCGGCACCAGGCTGGAAGCCGAGGAGCTCTTGCGGCTCGGCAGGCAACAGCCGGCTGCCGGCACGCTGCCGCGCGCCGCCACACTGTCCGTCGTTACCTGGGAGACCTTATGTGTCAAGGACTGTCTGACCTCCCACCACCGCTATGCCTTTTTTGACAATGTTATAATTGACCTTTTCTCATAGAGAGTACATACATTTGATCTCGCAATAACCCAAAACCTTCGCTCTAGTGAAATGCGTTTCAGGGTCACCTCGTAGAAGGTGCCAGCGCGTTCTCTCATTGTGAGGGATTGCAAGAACTCAGTCGTAAGCAAATGCAAGTGTGTGGACGGGCTCTCAAACCAGATATCACTACTCTGCGATTCCCGTGTCACACACTGTACGGGGGCAAACGAGAGCACAAACGACTTACTGTTTTTGCGGCTTTGGCAGAGGCTGCCGAAGCAGCCCGCGGGCTAGCCGCGGTATCCGGATCGTAGCCGGGAGCCAGCCTGAGGTCGTACTTTCCCTCGGCGCCCATGCGGTACGAGTTGGAGCCCCCGTGGTCCCAGGTCACGTCGATCCAGCCTGCACGAGGACACGCCACGCACTCTCTTCAGCTCAATCCAAAGTCAAATCCAAGCCCAAATACAAGGCCAAAATGATATCCAAATCCCAAATCAAATCAAGGCCAAATCGGTCCTGGAATGCACGCACTCGAGCGGCGCAGTACGAAGGTGACGAGAGAAGTAGTGTACAAATATATACAGGGGGTGATCAATAGGTTTTGCCTCCTAGGCTGTAACTTTTTTATTCGGTGATGGAATTAAAAAATGTTACGTTCTAATGAAATTTTAGAATCTCCTTTTTCCCAGGAGCACATAACATTTCAACAATCCCCACCGGCAGCGGTGCACTTCCGCTACCGATACATTACTCTCCGCACGTCGTCATGGATGATCAAGGGCGGCTATTGACGACAAAAAAGGCGCACTGCATCGGTAACCTCGCCATCGAACACAAACCGTGTACCCTTCAGATCTTCCTTTATCTTGGGAAACAGCCGAAAGTCTGGTGGCACGAGGTCCGGGCTGTAAGGTGAACGAGGCGAAACATCTTGGAACTGCGGCTCCTCCAGAGTGGTGTTGGTCTCGTCGACAGCCACCCTCAATCATCTATGACGTCGTGCGAAGACTAGCGCACCGGTAGCGGACATGTAGTGCCACCGGTGGGGTATTGAAAAGTTATGTACTCCTGGGAAAGAGGAGATTCCAAACTTTAATTTGAATGTGACCTCTTTCAATTCCATCGCTGAATAAAAAATTTACAGCCTAGGAAGCAAAGCTCACTGACCACCCCTCGTATAAAGCCCGTCCGTGAATGCGGCAACCCCCGAAATATGTGGCTCTGTTCATCCACAAACAAGCGACACAAAATTTTCAAGGCCCCCCAAGAAAGGTGGGTTATTCGTGGGGCTGACTAAAAAATTGGTGGTTTAGTAAAAAGCTGGTTTATCACATTATTGATTACTCATAACCCCACAACATCACTGATCAGCTACAATCTCACTGATTAGCTGCAGCCACTGGCAGCGACAATTGGCAAGCAGGGTGCCTTGTTGACGAGCTACAGCCATCAGCGACGTCATTCAAATTTTATATAAACTCACTGATCGGCTACAACTATCGGCAAGACATTAAACGATATGTCACCTGACCAATTGCCTAGCCACAACCATTAGTGACTGGCATCTTACCACACCAATCAGTTACAACCTATTCCGTCAGCCCTTAATTAGTCGAACCAGTGATCAGACGAGGATCAAATGTTCCCTTTGGCAAAAGTTATGGCTTTGGAATGACGCGAGGACCGCATAAGATGCAAGAGGATCAACCGATCGATCGGTCGATCGGCCGGCCGGCCCCGTGGACCACCCACCGTTGTGGAGCTCCCCGGTGACGGTGCCCTCCCCCGAGGGGTTCCCGTCCTGGTCCCTCCACTTCCAGTCCGGTCCGCGGACCACCCTGGCTCCGCCCACCATCACCTTGAGCATCTGCTTGATCTGCCGCCGCTGGCGACGCACGTTGGCCTCCGCCTCCTTGGCTGCCTTGCCTGGAGGCCGCGGATGCACGCACACATTAAAACTCCATCTTCTCGGGCCACATTCGCATGCAGGTATCGCTTGACACAGACTTCACTATACAAATCGACGAGATGGCCACAAAGCAGGCATAGCTTTGCCAGTGCTCCGAAAAAAAGGCCGGGGGCAAAGAGAAAGAGGAGACACGCTGCACCTAAAGTTGCCACCTTTCCTCGAAGGAAAAAAATTCGTCAAAGACACTTAGGACTGCCACGTGTAGGAATGCAAAAGCATTCCTACACCCAGCGCATTTTTACAAGCAGCGCGCCCCGCCTTCTTATTGCACACGGCACTGCAGCGGTGACATCACGTTCCCCTACTGCGCAGGTGCAGTGAACCTTGCCGGCTTCACGACGGCTTCAGTGACGAAGCATTGTGTTGCTGTGCTTTTCTTTGTTTAAGTAGTCTGTGAACCTCATGCAGACCGACTCACTGTCACTGTCCTTAATGCGGGAGGAAAACTCCTGTCCCTCATTGTCAATCCTAGGGTTAATGCTGTCACTAGCACTGCAGTGTCCTGCTGCTCCATGGCTGGTCGCATGTAAGCGATTTGACGAGCGATGAGAAAACCGACAGCGACCCGCTTCGCTGTTGCTTGGTAAATCGCACAACGAGGCAAACTGCATGAAAGTGACGGGAGCAAGCGACCAAGGCGATAAGCGAAGCGACAGGCGACAGTGAGAAATCTCCGTCACTTGTCGCCGACTCCTATCGCTGTCACCGTCGCTCATCTCGTCATGCAGCTAAATCGCTCGCATGCAGTTCAGTAACAACCAGAACCACAGCGGCGCGGCGCCAAGAATACCGATCACCGACACCGATCATCAACTCCACAAGAGGCGAGAGTGAATAAGCCTGACCAACGCCTGCCCAAGTCTAAAAAAACAAAGGGACCAGCAAACAGGAAACGGATCAGCGAAGACGCATGCCATCTTTGTTTTTGCTGCCGACCCTCTGCCGACGTTCCACCAAACCCCTGCAGACTCCATGCCAAACCCCTCACCGAGGTCGTCGCAGACACCCGTCACAGTGCCGTAGATTTCGAAGCCCGACAGGGACAGGTAGTGGGTCTGCCCCGAGGCGTTCTTGCCCGTCTGCTGCAGCCGCACGTGGCGCCACCCCTGGGCCTCCTCGGCGGTGCCCGGCAGGGCCCAGGAGGCCGTCGAGCCGGGCTCGTTGAGCGAGCAGTCGTCTGTGTGGCTCCACAGCGTGGTCCACGTCACCCCGTCCTTGGACACCTGGAACAGCCAGTTGCGCAGTGCCGACCTGCGCACAGAGGGAGCACGATTCTCAGGATTTTCGTGCCATTTTCACTTCCCCTCCCGATTCCACACCCGTGCCCGATTCATACTCCTCCTCGGCACGCGGCAACTAAAGGTCGTGTTCTTCGGACCTGCCAAAAACTTTCTGAGCTCTGGCCGTACGGCGTGCAAGTTGGTCTGTTAGAACGGTTGCAACGGGGTGTCGACCACGGCCACTGTCAAAGCGAGGATGGCGCCTCTTTCAAACGCTCAATCTTCAACACGCACTCGTTGCTTTTTGACGCGTGCACGCTCGAGGAATTGAGAGTTCTTGCAAGAAACGACAATGCAACTCTTCGAGGAAGTTTCCACTAACAACCGTCTCTGCAAAAACTGTTGGTCTTTCAGGTATGTCCCAAAGGCGCCATAAATGTGCTGCATTTCAGGTTCTCCGAGGTGTCGCCTGTCACGGTGTCAGGCGAGGTCAAGTGACATTCCAGTGTCGTACAACATCGCAGTGTCACCTCACGGTGTCACCCAGACACGTAACGCGTTAATAGTAACAAGTTACTTCTACCTAGTTACTGTTTTCGGTAACAAGTAATGTATTTGGTACTTTTTTTAGAAAAGGAACAAGTAACATACTTAGTTACTTTTGAGGCCAAGTGACTAATAACGGTATTTTGTTCTTTTGAGAAGTAACGTCTACAGCAAAGTTTAAACAGCCTCATTTTAATTCTAACCTGAGTGTGCGTCTATTGCGACAAAGGCAGATGGGCAACTCAAAACACAACTAAACAGTGTGACATTACAGCGACGTTTACTTCTGAAAACGTCAGTCGAACTCTACAGCTGGGAACGTCTTTCCCCCAAAGGACACAATAGGGTTCGTTCGTTGGACCTTCTAGAATAGCGTACAGACAGAATGTAAACCCGGACACTGCCAACGCAGGAAGTTACAGAACCCATTATGAACTTGGAACTTTAGAAGCAGAGAGAACAAAAGAGAGAGGGGAATCCCAGATTAACCGGCACTTCATAAAGCACAACACTGCTGTTCCTTCGAGCGCATCAGAAGAACAACTCTTCAGCATCACCGGAGATGTATTCTCAAGGAAGCGGGGAAACATAACTGATGAAAAATGGGAGAGGCAGCTGCTGCTTAAGTACAACGACTACTGAAAAGAAAACAATAAAGCATGAAACAAAAGCAGTTGACGGTCGTCAAAGTAACAAAGGACCTGAGAGACGGCTTTACAATTGCTCTGCATGTAAAACCTCGACGGTTTGAGTGGGTCACCTTTGTGTACGACATTGTGTACCTTTGGCGCAAGGAGCAGAACTTGTTTGCTGCATTGAGCGTCCCTATGATAAAACTCTAAAGAGGCCGAGTCACTTGCTTTTCAAGCTCTTTTCAAGCAACGCGCCACCTGTCTTAGGGGAAAGTCAACTCGCACAGCAAAACAACGCTCTGCAGGAGAAAGTGCTCCCGCTCGGACGTACTCCGTGCTCTTGGCATAGTTTGGCGCTAATGCGCAAATATAGAAGGCAGCGGCCTCAGCATTTTGGAGTCCGTCGACAGCGTAGAAAAATATCGTTATCGCGGATGCAATGAAGAAAAAATAGCAGAAGATGCAAGACTACTTTATTGCATAATATTTCAGCAGAAAGTGGATTTTTGAGAGTCAAATTCATTAAAACTTTTATATTGAATTACCCGCTACATTGAACTAGTAGACCTTTTTTTCCCCCGAGTTCGAAATAAATGGGTTCGACCTACTCTGGCTTGGATTTCCAGCCAGGTGGCGCAAGCTTCAGACCATTTCATGCTCCCGAACTCAATACACTTGAAATTAACAATTACAGTACTTCTAATACCAAATAAGGGAAAATATAAAACTATAGTTTAAACATATCTTGTGGTATTTGTTGCTTGCACTATTCTAACTATTAGATTCGAAATTATTCAGCCAAAATCACTATTCGCTTCGAATTCGATTTGGACCCAAAATCCTCCATTCGCCCATGCCTAGTAAATAGTGATAACTTTCCAACAAGATGCCTAATGAGTGTCACACAAAAATCAAAGGTGGTTCAAGACAGAGCCTAGCAGAGAGGGAGTTCGGTCATACAATGGCATCTCCGACGAAAAAGAACAACTCACCTCCCGTATCCCCTGGCATGCCTTAGGGTGTAGCAGTTTGGGATGATCCACACACCCAGGTCGATGGAAAACCAGGCGCGCCTGCAAACCACCAAAGCACCACCAGCGTAAATTTCAGCGCTAATCCGCACTCCCATTCTACCACATACTACCGTAAAATACCGAGCAAGTGCCCACTCAAACTTTGAAGGTAATCACGAAAAAATAGGGGATGGGTGCGTGTGAGGTCATAAATATGCACAGTAACATAATATGTTACTCTGCATATTTTTTCAGATGTTTCAAATTTCGGGGTCTCTCGAGGGAGCAATCCAAAGGGACAGCATCGTGGGTATGAGGGAACAAGGGGACAGCATCGTGGGTACGAAGAGTACGAGCAGAAGCTCATTGAGTTCCAGCGGTACGTTACTGGACTTTGCCATAAGCGCCCCTACAAGTTGGGAGAAATTGGAAACGTCGAGACACCCGTGTGGTTCGACACGCCGTCCAATTGCGCCGTTACCGAAAAAGCAGCGAAGTCAAGCTGCTTACAAAGAGGGAATGGACACTCGCTCTTCACGGTACTGCCTGCCTGTACTACTGACAATAGAAAGCTGCCCCCTCTCACCATTTTTAAAGGGAAAAAACCAACCGAAAGAGGACTTCCCTTGTGACGTTTGTGATGCTACAACATTTCACACATGCAACAAAATTGCCTAGCAATTTGTCATACAGTTTTTGTTTTCGGAATCCACTATCGAGCAGACTAGTGTTCAGAGGGAGCCACGGAGGGTGGGCGTGGCTCACTTGTCGTCGTTGGTGTGGCAGTTGAGGGCAGAGGAGTCCCTGCTCAGGACGTCCTCCAGGTGGCCGTAGGGCAGGTTGCGCCCCTCCGAGGAGGACACCACCACCAGCCCCACCTGGGCCGGGTTCACCCACTCCGGAGAGGTCCTGCAAACGGTGGGACACACCCCACGCTCGTCACAAAGGCGGAGAGAGCGGCTCCGGAAGAGTAATCTCGGCTACAACTACAATAGACCCTTTTCAAAAGTGCCCGTCATTGCCTGATTCGGCACAAACTCTGAGCACGTATTCGCTCGGTGGCGCCAGTGCGCAAATAGCCCCCAACCACTTCCAGATCTGAACTAGACGGCGGGTTTTGCAGTATTCGCGAAATCGGACATGCATGCTATCATCTGGAAATGGCCACTTGTAGCACTGTCAGACATGATTCACTCTTATGATAACAGAATGACGAGTAAAAAAATTAGGAAATGTATGTGAACCGGAAGCGTGCCGGAGCTACCCAACAGATGGCACCACCGAGTTGGTGGCCAAACGAAAAAGGCCGAATAGAACAAGAGGGCCGCGTCAATGTTCGGCGTGAACTCGGCTCGGCTCGCGCTAAGAACAGACACCGCGTCGGCAATTGGCGAGAGCTCGGATCCAGTCACGTGCTTCGTGCCCGAGAGAAGGCGACCGCCAATGTTGCCCAAAGGTCTTTTGAAAAGGGTCTATTAGTAAAACTGAAATGTAATTGAGTTACAAAAAACACCCCAAGTTCCCTCCAACCCCCCCTCCAGTTCTATAAATATATAGTTAATCAACCTCTCCAAAGCCCGAGAAACAAAAAGATTGATCTCGAGTTCTCCAGATGTGAAAAGGGCTCGCCCGCACGTTCTCTGAAGTGTCGCAGAAACGGCGACAAATCACGAGCACTTGCCTGCCGTTGGTTCCTATCCAGTAGATGAGTCCGTTTTCGTCAAAGTCCCTGACGTGGTTGCAGACGAGACGGACGCCGGGCTCCTTGAGTTTCTTGACGAACACAAAGGTAGAGCGGTCGTAGTCGTACCACTGCTTCGCCACCTGCCATTGAGTGGAGATTGTCCCCATCGGTTAGCATCCGAGAAAATGTGGAGCGGCGCAAAATCAACAGTTTCTCTGTTCAACGGGTCGCGGCACGGCAGCACTCGCACTTCGCTATTTCATGGACGCTTAACCTCTGCTTGTACGCAGCATGACACCGTTAGTGCGAAAACAATAACGACGCTTTTCTCAATTTTTCTTGGATAAGAGTGTTCCAGGGCAGCAAACTTCACCGCTTAGGTTACTGCCCTGAATAACGACTTCCGGCCACACTAGTGGCTTTAAGAGGAGATGCACCAAGTGAATTTTTTTTTTTTTGCGATAACTGATTGAAGTTTTTACTGTTTATAGTGCATGATTTTCTTTTCGTAAATCTAATGTTAGCTTGGACATAGCTTGTTCTGCATGTTCTAAATGTAACGCACATGCAAAGAAAAAAAAAATCACAATGTTTTTGCGTGCACGTGGGGCCTGGCAAAATAGGCTAATTTGCTCCTTCTAGAGCAAGTGCAATGAACAACAAAAATAACGTGTGCAATAACTTTCTTCTTTTAAAATGTTGTTATTTTTCTTGAAAAGTTGAAGCTACTAGAGATTGTGATGGAGAGGGGATGGCTAGGGCTTACTTCTTAAAATATGTGCGATGGCAGACAACGTCGCATTTTGAAGAACCGCGCACACGAGCATGGCTCATAGTTACCGTATTTACCCGAAAATAGGTCGACCACGAAAATAGGTCGACCCCTATTTATTGAGCCCACCGAGAATAAAAAAAAATAATTCAAATATAGGTCGACCTTTCTTTTTTTTTTTTTTAAGGAACAGGGGAAAGTTAGAGTAAAAGAAACAAACCTTTATTTACAGCACTCTCAGCTAAATCACAGGGCGATGTCAAAAACTTATTCATCGTCAGAACTTCCGGACATATCATCGTCCGAAGCTTCATCAGCTTGGTAGACATCCTCACAAATTGGCAACAATACCTCACTGACACCGTTGTAAAATGACGACAAGAAGAAACAAAAGAAGGTGGAGACGGGCAAGCAACGAAAGACCAAATACAGAGACATGAGCAACGCTGCGAGCCCCGTGAGCAACACGTGACCCGCCGAAAAAAAAAAAACTAAAGTACCTCCGTTCTTTTTTTTTTTTTTGTGTGTGTGTGCGCGTTTGTGAGGGAGAGAGGAATGGAGCGCATAGGAGGGCAAAGTGCATGGCGCATCGCGTTCCTCTCCCTACCCTTCCCCCTTGCCCAGCGAGGGGAACGCTACAGGCATGATGGCGAAACCCGACGCCGAGGGAATGTGCGCGAGAGCCGTAGCCGGCGGCCACGGGCTGTCGGCTGCTGCTGCTGTTCGGTTGTTTTTGTGCATCAAAAGCTTTTTGAAACAAGAAGCGGCGCGGCTCTAGCGCGACGCCGGCCAGGTGATTGATAGCTCCATACCCTCTGTAGGGTTTCAAATTTTGGTCGTGAATTAGGTCGAAATTTTTTGGTCACAATTATAGGTCGACCTTTAATTTTTGACAACATTTCCGAAAAAAAAAAGGTCGACCTATATTCGAATAAATACGGTATGCCTTTCATGGTCACCAAATACTAATTTCGCCAACATATCAAGATAATAAAACCCACACTAGTCAGCTACAGCTTAAAAAAGATAGTGGGAGGGCAAAGAGGGCACACACGAGAAAAGCACGGTAGAAAGGAGGTCGCTCTCTCCCCTTCAGCTTTCCTAGTTTCCGCCCTTTTCCCCCTCACACTATCTTTCTTATGTTGTACCCGACCACAAAACCCGAAATCACATTGTTTGCAAAATATTGTCGTTTTCCGACCCGCATCTCCCCTTAATGGCAGCCATTCAATTTCAAGAGAAAAACGGAACAAACTGGCGACAACTTTGCCGCTCAACCAATGTCGCACTAACAGTGTCACGCTGTGTACAGAACCAATTTGTTTCCTTTTCTGGTGGCTGTATATAAGCCAGTCATCCAATGAGGGACGTCAATGTATCAAATGCGGCGTCAACGCTTCTTCAAATGCAGCGGCACATTTTGAGAGGGAACAGTGGCGCCACCCACCATCTTGACGAGGTACTTCTCGAGCTGCCCGACGGTTGTGAGGGGCTCCATCTTGAGGCCCCTTCCTGTCCGGTCGATGAGGGACGTCTCCCCCGACGCACGCTCCAGCCGGAACCGCAGACGCCGCGTCAGGATCTGTCAAATTTCGGGCTCAAACTTCACACCTCAGACTTCGGGGAAGCGGCGGATCTTTATAGCGGCGAAGGTCCGTTTGCACACTTGCGCTGGCTTGAAGTGTTAATCGAGGCGTTTTAGCCCCGTTGAGTGTGCTTCCCACCGGGCATCGGTGCACTGCAGAGAAGCAACACCTGCCGAAGCGAGCTCTGCAGGTGTTGCTTCTCGAATATCAAATAAAGTATCATTCAAAACTGCTACCGTATTTACTCGCACAATAAACACACTTTTTTTTTTCCGAAAACAGTTGGTTTATTATGCAAGTAAATACGGTATTTGAAAATCTTAATATCTGCACAACCCAATTTGCTATCAAAAAAAGCTTCAAAAAGGCTATGGTAGCATAGCATTCCGGCAGGGACTCTTTTCATCGCCAGCAAGCAAAGACATGCTTCCATCTATGCCTTCCACTTCCAATGTGCCGCAAGTGTTTTAGGATCTCAAAGAGCATGGAGACCAACATACCTGCAGGCCGTATCCGGAGCCAGGTGTGTCGTACAGGTAGACGGGCAGTTTCTCAATAGACTCCAGCACCATGACTAGCTTCCTCAGTAGTGTCACAAACGGGGATCGGCTCCTGTCACCACACGGAAAAAAAAAGACTGTCACAAACGCGTCGTTTTTCCAGACGCACTTTTCTCTCAACCTCCATTTCGGCCTCAAGCGTCACGGATCACGCAATTTCACGAGTCGAGATCAAAAGGCAGCACTTTTGCGCGAGTCGTTCTGCTCTATAAAGTGTCACAGGTGGCAACGTGTCACCAAGCGTATCACAAAATGAGACTGCATTCAGACGTCACATGGGCAAATGTACTCCCGTTGCCACGTAGCAAAAGTGGAATTCCTGGAAATGCGCTTCGATTTTAATGCAAGTTACCCGGCTCCGCTTACCAACTATGACAACAGGCGATGCCCTTAAATGAGCTGAATCATTCCTGTCCCCTTTCAATGATGTGCCACCGGAGCATGTAATACATCTTGAGCACATGGTGTCGGTTTTAGTTAAGACTGTAAACTGGCTAAGAAAATCTAAGAAAAACAAGAGGAAACACACAGAAGCAGCACCATATGTTGCATGGGTATGCCGATACATGATGGCTCGCATTGAATTTTGCATGTTTAATCATATCGCATCACATGGGTTGTATGTCTGTTGTAACCAGGTCTGTTGTAATGAGCTTAGACTGTATATATATTTTTTAATCCCCCTCAAGTAATGCATCCTCCGGACGCCCTTGAGGCCAATAAAATTTAATGTTACGGGCTGCCACAATTCTCATTTACCCCTGTATTTGGATAGCAAGCAAAATCAAGAACGGAGGCAAGGAACTAATGCTCACTCGTTGCCGTAGGGTTTGTCGTGGAAACAGTTCTTGAAGACGTGCACTCTGTCCTTTAGCAGACGGTTGGCCTTCCACATCGTCTGGTTGCTCCCTTCCAAGCCCTGCGCAGATCATAGACATGTCCATAAAAACACGTTGCAACATGCCGAATTATCACAAAACTTACACACTTTTTACAGCGAAGCTGTTTATGGCTAGGGTTCCATGAATCTTTCATGTCCACTCACTAAAAACTCTACGGCCACACCACCGCATGCGCACGCCTTCCCCGTATACAAGATTCTAAGTAAATAACCAAAATAAAGCATTGACGAACGCACGTGCAAAATGCCATTTGTTTTAGGCTTTTGCTTTAGACCAGTTACTGCTGCAGATGCCGGCACGTGCGGTGCGTAGAACACCATTTCCTGCATTCTCCTTGATGCTTGGGGAATTTAGCAATAGGGCTATTCAGTAGATTAGTTATCAATAGGCACCATTTTCAAGATCAGTAGACTCTCAGGTAAATATAAGGTTTTTCAAAGATTTGCCGCTGTGCGACCAGCGTCGGCCATGTCTACGCTCGCACCGCCCTCTCTTTGTCGTCGTTCCAAGCGCTTGCGTGCCTAGTTTCTTTTCCTTCTGCTCTCTCGGGGTAGCGGTCCCGTCGCGCATGTCCAGTTTCTTCCGGCTCCTCGAGGCGCAGCAGTGTCGTGTGCTAAACAGCTTCGCTGGTAATCCACCTTCACAGGGTGGAATGGCTCACGATTTTTTGTTATGTTTTTATAGATATGACAAACAGTATTTCACAGCCCTCCTTGCATGATACCCGGAAATGGGTCTTCAAAGTATATAAATTAATAAGGTTGTGCAAGTATTGAAATAGTAATTTCAAATAGTATGCTATTCGGTATTCGTTTCGAGATGAAACTGCGATATTCATATTTTTCGAAGTAATGATGGCAGCGGGTCATCCCCGTTGAGCGCATTTCTTACCGAGCACCACTGCACTGTGGGGAAGCAACACCCGCAGAACACACTTCCGCGGGTGTGGTTCCTCTGCAAGGCACCAGTGCTCGGTCAGAAGCACAGCCAATGAGGATAACTCGCCGACATCATCCCTTCGAAAAGTACAAATATTGCGCCCGTGTGTTTAGTAGAAACTCTCGTTTCTAAAGTGGGATGGCACACGCGCGTGCATGGTGTATTTAAAGAGAAATGAAAACTTCATGAACATTGACATCTACATTGCAGCATTATTTCCAATTAAGCTGGCATGCACGAGTACATGTTAAGCACAGATGCCCTGACAACCTGCGTTAACCACACGGGATTGAAGAAAATATATTTGCATATAACGAGAATGTTTATAAATTCCCCGGATTAGGAGTAGCCGGGCCCCTCTATGGGTTTAGTTTTATGTGAAATGCGTCGTTTACGTGATATCCCAAACTAGGTATTGGACTTTTGAAGGCCATGGTCAATAAATATGGTTAGATTAAAATGAAATTATCTTAGAAATGGACAAGTGAAAGCTTGGCAACAACCTTCACAAGTTCGGCTTGGTCTTCCCTTAGCGTGTTGCAGTAGTGAAAGCCTAACAAACTATTCGATATTTGATGTGAAAATATTTGGCCGAAACCACAGTTTGCTTCGAATTCGCTTAACTCAAAATCCACTCTTTGTACATGCCCTAAATGAAGTAAGGATGAAACAAGTCGCCAGAAAGCGAGCTAGCGAGGAAGAGAAAAGACGAAGGACACTCACGTTCTTGCCGAGCAGCCTGAGCAGGGCCTGCACAAGCCCACTGGTGTGCAGCTCGTAGGCCGACACGGCCCGGTCATCCTGCAGCAGCTGCACCAGCTCCTGCAGGGCCAGCCGCAGCTGACGACCCCACTCCGGGTGGGGCTGGGAGAGGAAGGGGGGGATCTCAATTGGTACTTCGGCACTGGAGGTTTGTTTCACCTAACACCCGCTCACTACCGGTACAATGCCTGAAACGCGTCTCGAACTGGCGCGTTTACTGCGTCCAAAAAAGTGGTCTCTTGATTTCCACCCAATGTCATTGTAGAGGTGTAAATGCCGTCGAGCGAAGGTTTCACGGCATTTTCGAGCTCATATGTACGTAACATCTGCGAAGAATGGTCTTTTATAACTTTGCCAAAAGTTTTTTAGAGCCAAAAAAAAAAGAATTGTGTGGAAAAAAAAAAATGTAAATATGCGAAAACTGTAAGTGTTTGTGGCTACTTGGTAGATGGTGCAAGTGCATCCTCTTATTGTAAGAGGTCCCGAGGGGTTTTAAGACACACGGCCATAAGCAACGTAACCAGCCTTTAAAAAAAAACGGTTCTGAAAAGTCGGAAACCGTAGGGGACCGCCCACCTCCTGCCAGCAGGAGAGCTGCTTCTGGCAGGCCCTGTCGATCTGGTCCACGATCTTGCAGAGCCGGGTGACCACCACCCGCGGCTGGGCCTGGGCGCTCCGGAAGTGGGCGTTGTAGATCTCCCGCGCCTGGACTCGCACCTGCGTTCGCAACGCGTATCCGTCGGTCAATTTCGCCCAACGACAGAGACCACCCCCGTGGCGACGCTCATGTTCCGCGGCCACTCTTTCCACTGGGACAAAGTGGACCGTGCGGTACACTTGCGCTAATCCAAACTTCGAGGAGCCGGTCGATTCCGTTAAAACCGTCAGAAGTTTGAGTGCAAAAAAACGCCGATGCGAGAGTGACATAAACTAACCGCATTTATTTACGTGTCTAGGTCGTGCCACGAGGTGAGAGGCACCTCCTAATTGTTGGCCTCTCGTCTTCCATTTTGGAATAAAAGACACCCCCCTCCCATTTCCCCGACACATTTAAAACGATTCTATGGTTGCCGACAGAATAAGAACGACAGGAAGTCTCCACCACACGCTCGATGTCTTCCGCAGTGCTTCGACTGTATGCGCACGGACGAGAGGCAGGAAACCGAAACTCCTCCCCAACGCCCTCATCCTGTCGGCGACCACGGCAGCCGAGGGGTCAAAAGAGCGGGCGCTTGCCTTCTGCTTGAGTGCCTCCATCTTGGAGCGGAGGCGGCGCCCCCTGCGGCCGGCCCACCCGGCCGCAAACTCTGGCCCCAGAGAGGTCTCTGCGGTGAAGGAGTGCTTGGTGCCCCGGTTAGACTCGAACACGAAGCCTGGCAGGTCCTCCCTGAGCACCGTGGCCTGCTGCTGCCCGTCCGAGTTGTGGATCGACAGCTCCCCCTCCCGACGGCACGAGAGCGACCAGTTGCCCACCACCAGGCGCGCCGCCCCGGGGGTCGACAGCAGTGGCTGGCTTGGCGTGTGGGGCTTCACCTGCGCGCATGGAATGGCGTTGTGTTTACGAAATCCCTCGACACTTTCTTTTACGAGTGACGACAACCGTTCAGCACAATGAAACACCTCTTCGAGAGAACAAAATGTCATTTTTTGGTTCAATGCTCTGATGCGTGCGGCCATTAGATTTATAAAAGCCTCACCGTCACGCGGTCAGCACTTCAAAGAATGTCGCTGCTTGTAAGAGAAGTGAAGCGTATCTAAACTTTGGCCAAGTCGGATAAAAAGAGATCACGAGGGGCGTACCGTGTTGGGTTGCACTTTACGTTTCTTGCGGCGGATACAGGCCGCTTAGGAGTCGGTAGATACGTCCACTTTCTCGAGATACTCCACCTAGAGTGGGTATAACGGATCTCGAGGTAGCGTTCCATAGGGGGAAAAATGCCTAGCATTCCAGCCGATTCCCCTCAGCAGCTCGCCTTTCGTTTTCTTTCATTCTCGCTCAACACGACCTGCACCAGAAATAACTTTACATGCCGCCCCTAAAGCACACGAAGGCAATTCATTTCACTTACACCTCGAGCCCGATAATCCTCTTTCTGCGTGCAAAACACGGCTCAAATAATCGAAGCGAGGAAAAACTTACTACCTCGTGCAACTCTGTTGAAGCTACTTGCGCAAGCCCGTAACTTTGTTCGGCGTTTGTATCGCTGCTTTGCATGAGTGCACGTGCAAAGTAAAGGATTTTAGTCACCGAGAGAGATACCTATATCACCAGCAAACCTGCTGATGGCACTTGTGCCACCGGTGTGGCAGACTTTCCATGCCTTGCCTGCCGGAACCATGCCTTGGAAGTGCGTCGCACCCACAACTGAACAACTGCTTTGAGCTCATGAATGACTGCAAAGTGATCTCCTCGTATGGCTCTTTTCATGGCCCCAAACCGGTAATATTCACTGGGGGGCCAGGTTGGGCAGCACACATGCACAACCAATCGTATGACAAGCTGAAAAGATGGCCTAATGCAATCAAGCATTGGTCAATCACAACCCCGCATGAATCCACCTAATGCTGTGATTGGCTGGTGCCTGGTTGGATTCGGCATGTTTCCTGCCCTTTGTACAACCTGTCAGATGTTTGGATGCATGCGTACTACCCGACATGGCCCCCAGTGATTACCGCCCGTTTGGAACCATGAAAAAGCCCTCCGAGGATGTCACTTCAAGGCTGTTGATGCGCTGGAGGTGCATTAACAGTCCAGGAGGGGTGAATGAGACGCATTTCCAAAAGAGTGTTTCCGGCAGGGCATGAGTGGAGAGATGTGCTCTCCCCTAAGTCTTAACCCGTCACCGACTCTCGCGCGACCTGCACCGAACGACTGAAGATGTACCTGCGTGCGCGCCCTCTGCAGCTTCTCGAGGAACTCTCCCCGGTTCTCGGAGGAGTCGGAGCCGCCCTCGGGGCTGCCGCTCGAGTACATGGTGGCCAGCTTGCCGTCCAGGATGAAGCGGAACCAGCCATTGGAGCCGTTGGACAGCTCCAGGGCCGCCGCCTCGCTCCACAGGTACAGGCAGTCCCGACCCCGCACTAGGCTCCACTCACGCCAGTGGTACGGGCGCCCCGGCGAGATCTCCTTGGCGTCCTCCTGCACCACTTCCTCCTCCTCCTGGCCCTGCGCCATGTCGGAGCGACAGAAAGAGACGAGAGCACTCTACGACCTTGCCGCATTGCCCGCGAGGGATTCTCAAACCTGTCAAGTCCGACGCCTCCCGCACGCTTACGACCGATCTGCCCCGGGAGGCGTCCTCCATTAAATCGCAAACGGTCTCCACTATTTGACTTGTTCCCTCTTTTAGACCCAGGCTTTCTACGGCCCCCATTGTTTATTCGTAAAAGTGCGGCGGCAAAAGAGAAGCGAGAGATTTTCTGTCAACAGGGCAGCTGTGGAGCGAACTACGGCGGAGTGCTCCGATAGGCCCTTTTCAAAACCCCGTCAAGCTACATTGGCGGCCGCCATTTCTTGGGCACGAGGCGCGCGATTGGATCCGAGCGATCGTCGAACAACGACGAAGCACTCATCTTTTTACACCAAATGCCGATGAAACCCTCGTGTCCAAAAAAAGCTCAGAGCACAAGCCCAAACGACAGCGGACTCAGATAATCAGCGCTGCAGCTACTAGATAGCGCGCAGCACTGAAGAGGGTCTGTCACAGATGGATCGTGGCGATCCCCAGCGCGACGGAGTTGCATCGTCGCTGTTTCGAAATCGAGGGGGCACGACGGAGAGGACATGGCAACACGTGCTCGCTAGCCAGATCTGTGTAAAAAAAAAAGAAACGGAGGGCCACGCACCGCCTCGTCCTTGGGTCTGGCCAGGGAGGGGCCGAGGGGCGCGGGCGGAGCTTCCTCGGGGGCCTCGGCGGAGCCCAGCAGGGCGGAGGAGGGACCCGCCAGGGCCTGCACCTTGCTGAAGACCCCCAGCCGAGCAAAGTGCTCCAGGAACACCCCGGGGCCCTTGCTCATCACCTCCTGCACCATCTGCAGGGACACCAGGAGGCTGTCCTCGTCCTCCTGGAAATGGGCACAAAAACCATGAAGCCGCCATTTGCACAACTTGTGCTCGTTTGAAAAAAAAAAAATGTACCGAAAATCTTTGTTTGAATCCACTGAAACACTCTCTATGCCGACCAATCCTACCAACGACCACCCTCGTAACCTTGTTGGTAATTTTATGTGCGACCGAATGCACTACCGTAATTATAATCCCAGACACTATGAATTTACTGCATTCTGACTGTGTGCATGCTTCGAGTGTCGATCGTTCTGAACCAACTGTTCAAAGCTCAATGTTATTCTCTCCTGCTTGGATGGTAAGAAAACATCAGCGGTATTTCTTAAATATAAAACAAAAAATAAACAAGAACAAATAAAACAAACAATGTTATACACTTTCGAACTGACTACTCTATCCACGATACTAGCCGAGACTCTATACAGAATTCTAGCTACGATTCTATCCAGAACCCCACCCATAAACCCATCCACCCACAGCTCCCTTTTGGCAGAATTTATTCTCCCCGAAATTGCCCAAAACTTATTTCCCTCGAAGAATTTTCGTTGTTGGGCAAAAGAAACAACATGAAACCACAGTTTCCTTTTTTTTGCACCCCCTCGCCATGGCAGAGGACAGATTCCGACGTGGGACGTCTTGTGGATGCTACCCACCTCCGAGTCGAGGACGTTGGCGAGCACCTCCACGACGAGGGAGGCGAAATTGGGCACCCCTTTTTCGGCGCCCCCCATGTCGCACAGCAGGGGTGGCTGGATGTAGTGCAGCATCTTGCGGATCAGGTTCAGGCTAGACTTCCTGCGCCCACCCGAGACAACCACAGAGACGCTCAGAGACCTCTCAAGCCAGGTGTTCCGAAGAGCAAGAAAAACTCACGTACGGTGTGTGTGTTTCAGGAAAACGTTTCCATGCTAAGATGACCCACGAAAGCCAGCAACCCAACATGTCAAGCAGCAGCTTTTCTAAAATACGTCTTTTATTGTTCCAATTTATGACGTAAAATTTTAAATTGCAACTCCCGATTAGAAAGGGAATAGGAAATGAAGAACCGATTTCTCTAATGCCGGAAAAACCTCCTTTGAGAAGGGATCAAAGAATGACCATGTTTGTTAACCTTTTACATAAGATTGTGTCACCAGTGCCGTTTCTGGCCGTCTCAAACTCAAACTGAGAGCCCAATTATGAATACAGTCTAAGCTTGTTATAAAAGACCTTGATTTTGACCAAGATTTCAGTCTGTTGTAAGAGGAGTATGTTGGTATGCAGATATGAAGTTGAGTCAATGGTATGTAGAGGAAAACCAACTGAACTTCACAAATCAGTATGTTATATTCAAATGTCTGTTGTAACCATGTCTGTTATAATGAGCTTAGACTGTAATATCTCCCGCAGAAACACACACATGAATGCATGTTGATGTGTAATGCGCTCGACCTCTGTACAAAATTAACGAACATGCTCATCTTTCTAACTTGTCCTGACAGATGTCACTGCAACACGGACCGCATCAGTTCTTTATTTTCTATTTTCTTTGCACTTGAAGTTGACAATTCAAGTTTTCATGTGCGAATCAGACCAGTAAAAGAGGTATTAAATAAAAGTCGCCGCCTCTGATACATGAAGTTCCCGATATTTGTGGGCAATTTTAGCGCTTTAACTTTTTTTTTTGTGACACTGTACGTACAGTAATCCCTCGTTAGCTCGAACTCGGCTATTTCAAAATATCGGTTAAGTCGAAAGATATCCACGTCATGGAATGAACTCCCACGACAGAATGCATTTACTTATCGTTATCTCAAAGGCATTTACTTATCAAATCTCGAGAAGTTTCCAGGACCGACCTCTGGTATCTCAAAATCTTAACAACAAATATTACAAAAAAAAAGAAAAGGCCACAACAGGCAGGGCACAGCAAGCAATGAACTGGCGGCACAAAACAAAGGTTGGTTGAAGAAATGGCGATCCGATTGCAACCAACAGGGTTCCATTCACACAACCTCACTTACATCAAATTTTTTCCTGTTTTTACGACATCGAGTTATTGAAGGTTTACTGTAAAGGGTTCACAAACTGGGCTCCCAGAACGCAAGGGTTTCCCAGAGAACCTTTATGGGTTCCCTTGAGCTTTCAAATTCCTTTGATCGTCCCTGCCTCAAACTGAAGTTTTCCCCAGTTTGGGCACCATTTTAATAGACCCTTCTGTCGATAAAAAAACGTTCAGCCTTTCCACTCTCGTGAAGAAGGAAGACCAGCGGAGCTGTACTCGATGCACTGCCGCAACGCACACGCTCCCGTTTCCCGCTTCTTCTTGTCCGACACGCGCCAATCGTGGATACGTCTCCGGCGACCCAGAGTCGGTCGCCGAGCATCTCACACAGCGCATCTGACGCCAAACGGGTAATCCACGAACTCCCTCTGGAACCTCGCCGTCGCGCCTGGGAACTGTTCAGCCGGCGTGGAGTGCAGTCGTCGCCGGGCCTCGCGTCGTCGTCCGTGGCGTTGGCCCGCCGGCGCCCTTTACATTGCTGGTTCTGTTCTCGGCGGCGGCTTTCCAGGCAAGCGATATGCTCTTTTTTGGCAAGGGAATCTGAAGCGCTCGACGCAGTGAAAGTCGAGGCGATAGCGGCTTTGCGGCGGTTCCGCAGCCAGTCTTCTTTCCCCGAAAGGGCGTGCGGCTGACCCGTCCTAAGTCCAAACCGAAACTGATAAGAGTGTAGGAAACAGCGCGCAAAACAGACAAGGACGAAGAAACACACGTGACGAGCACTGCGCTCGTTACGTGTGCTTCTTTTTTGTCGTCGTCTGTTTTTCGCGCTGTTTCCTACGATGAATTCTCCACCAACGCGCCGCCCAACTATCCATTCTTCTATGATAGCTGGAAAGGTTCGCGTCATCTTCCAGCGACGGCGGCAACCATACTGGTTGTGTGCTTGCCGCCGTCGCTTATTGGGGAGGAGGACAGACTGTGACGCCCCAAGCGGTTAACTTTACAACTACACGGATGGGGACAACAAATACAATGACTCGTCGCTCGGCCGACATAACCGAAAGCGGCGTCAGCGTTCGGCTCGAGTTCGTGTTCTCCGTTGAGGGGGAGGAGGGGCTCTTTTGTTTCCACTACGGCCTGCATGAACAATGCAGCATGCACGGTCCCAGCTCAGCACAAAAGCCGATTTGGGTCAAGCTAGCATTCTCTCAGGATAGATCTGGCACTTAACGTCGCTTTGTTGATTGTTAGTATTTTTTTACATTAAACTGTGCCCCGCGCTCTATTGTAGAAGATGACATGGACATGCCCATAAGGCCTGTCAGCATGTGCACAGGCCTTGTGTTGAGGGAACACCGAGCGTGGGGAAAACAAATGGGTCAGAGTGCCCCCTATAGTTCGATCTCCTGCCCAATAGATGGCGGTAGCTGTCCAGAGGCGTTTTTGTCGACAAGTGTTTTGTACTGGACACGATCCTCGGGAACCTAGCCCTTAACAGCTCCGCTGTAAAATTGATAAGTGCTCCCTACTGCGTAGGGTATCGTCTACAAGGTTTGTAGGCTTCTGCGTCGCTTTACTGCATCGGTTCCTCAACCGTCAATAAACAGACGGGCATTCCCCGAGACGGAGAAGTTTGAAAGCTCCCGCCGTGTGCCATCGAAGCGCAGGGAGAGAACTGGGCACCCACCTGACAGAGCGTATGAGGGTGTGCTGAAAGGTGAGGCAGAAGACAGGCAGCAGGCGCCGCAGGTACACGGGGGCCATCTCGGGGTCCCCCTTGGGTTCCCCATCCTCCTCGGCACCGGCCTGCTCCGCCGCCGAGGACGCCCCCTTCTTGTCCCCGGGGGCGCCCCCGCACGCCTCCCCGACGGGGCACATCCACTCCCCTGAGAGGGGGGGGAGCCAGAGAACACCGTCGCATTCGCGTCCCCACAAATCCCCACATGATCTCTGGGAGCACTCTACGAAGTAATTTATAGGTACTGAGTCTACAAGTAAGATTGCAGTCACCTCCGCGCACCATGATAAGACAATTAAATCTCGTTCACACGCTTGCGACCGGTCTCGACAGTACCACGAAACCATCGCTCTAGTGACATCCAGTTCCAGGGCCTCCTCATAGATGGTGCCAGGAGGCCAGCACATTCTTTTGTCATAAGAGATCAAAAAGAACTTGGTTGTAAGGAAGTGCAAGTGTGTGAACGGTCCTCGAGAGAAAAATCCGGGTTTCTCTTCACTTGGGGGGGGGGTAAGGGTTTTTACCGGGAGACTGTAGGATCGCGGCGACCTCTCGGTGCCCCTCGTCGTTCCGCTCTCTTGCCTTGTCCAGTGGCGTCTTGCCATCCTCATCCCTTAGGTCCGGATTGGCGCCATGGCGCAGCAGCACCTGGGAGGGGCCGATATCGAGTAGCAACAGTCAGGTGAAGGCGAGACGGAGACGGACTTTACTGGCAATGTTCTTTCTTTTCCCACCACCACCTTTTCTCTCTTACCCCGTTTTCAGCTCCCGCAAAGTGAAAGCTGCATCAGTACCGCACACAATGTCCATCTTAGAACCACCAGCAATAACAAGAGCTGGCTGGATTAATCAATAATTGAGAGCAACCCGTAACTCTTTGGTGTCACGTGACAGCCAACATCACTTTCGTACCAGCAACCTAGCCCTCCCTGGGGCTACGTTGCTCACATGACCTCGACCCATGTGTCGGTCGAACATAGTATGTCACAACCGTCTGCAACGCACCTTGGCCACCCCCGGCCGGCCGAAGCAGGCGGCGTAGTGGAGGGAGGAAGATCGCTGTCCCTTGTTCACGTCCGCGCCCCGGTCGCACAGGAACTCCACCATCTCCTGGGTGCCGAAGGCCGAGGCCCAGTTGAGCAGCGTCTGGCCCACGTCGTCCATGAAGTTCACCTCTATACCTGCACCCAAACAGAACGGCAATGGAACGAAGCTTGACTCCTTTAACGCTGGTCCTGGAGCCTTCTTCCTCATTTTTTGGCCGAACCCAACGAAACAGCGCAGGATTGTTCGGATTTTTGAGCTTACTTCAAATATCTTGCAATATTTTTTAATCGATAAGTTAATTCTCAAGATAATTATAACTCGCCCACCTTTGTTTGCAAGAATAGGTAAAAACCATTTTTAAATTATCACGGTTTAACGTATGGCTAGACGCTACAAAGTGCGAAGAAACAATGCTGGCTTTTTAAATTGAACCATTATTAGTGACTTTACAAAACAATCAGGTCCAGAGTTTAATGTGCAGATATCCAGCAATAAAACAACAGTTCGGTTAAATATGTTCATACACCAATATTGAAGAATCTGCTCTCAATGTTTTACGTTTGCACATTTCGTTACGTGTCGTAATCGAGCAAAATAAGGAACTCGATAGGGCGGAAGAAAAATATTATCAGATTTCAAGATCTCCATTTCCCCAGAAAAAAAAAATTGTGGTGGCTTAGCTCGGCTATGCCAGGATATACGTAACGTGAGCTTATGAGCACAAAATGAGAGGCGCTATCAAGCGGCTCCGGTGCAGCGTCAGACTTGGCTACTGCGCAACGGAGGCGCACAGCTGGGCACGCGGCGGCGCCAGTGCGTCTGCCGCAGCTATGACGTCACTCCTCTGGAATGCGCAGACTGGCGAGGTGGGCGAGGCGGGCGCGGCAGCGGCAGAGCACGCGGCGGCGGCTTTGCGTGGCTCTCATAATGAGCCGCGGAGCGCGCGGCGCCGTGCTCATTATGCGGAGCTCTGCCGCCGCCGCCGCGCTCCGCATAATGAGCACGGCTCGCATAATGAGCACAGCTCATTATGAGGGCCACGTGAAACTGCTCAACCTCGGTCAGTGTAGCTAACACTACAAAACATTTTTGTGGAGATTCTTTGGAGCGGAAGACCCACCGCCGGAGTCGATGGCATCCACGAGGGCGTCGGTGTCCTTGCTGCGGATGCAGTCGATGAGCTGGCGGTGGGTGCGCTCGCCAGCGCTGTCCACCCTGCGCAGGGAGCTGAGCCGCGTGGACACCGAGGCCACTCCGGCCTTGGGCAGGGCCTTGCGCCCCTCGAACAGGAGCACCACCAGCAGGTCCACCAGCCGCATCGTGTCCAGCACGCACCTGCGGACAAACCGCACGCACGTCGCTCGAGTCCCGAAACTCTGGTGCTAGCTCCAGAAGGGACGGCACGAAACAGCTTTCACCTTTTGTCAATTAAAAAAAAAAAGTGAAATATACCCTTTTACGCAGAATGTGTTCGGGACTGGGATTTCATTAAAAAAATTATATATAAAGAAGTTTAACGCAAAAGTGTAACTTGTCGTTTCCGTGTTAAAATTAGCTAGGATTTAGCGGCACTTAGAACCTGAATATAAGTGTAATTATGCGTCAATTCGATCTCCCCGCTAAATTGTGGATTTGGTATATGATAAAATTTGACGAAGAAGAGGCGACGAAAAAGAGGAAAGTACCGTTGCAGTCAACACAGTTTATGAATTTATAAGGTGTTTGAGCTTGAAAATGTAATTCAGTGCTTTCAAACTGTTGCTCACAGTACTTCGTGTCGTACTGTGTGTCTTTTGTGCTTGATATATACGTAACCATTCAGTGTGCTATACTTCGTTTCAGCTTCGGTCCGAGCGCGGCCGATGTTGTGAGCCAAAGGGCCAATCAAACAGCCCAAAAAGCGCAGCGTCATGGCGTGCTCTCTGTGCCTGACAGGACTAGCCGGTGGAGGAGCACGCACAGAGACACGGCGGATATCGGCTGGTCCTATCAGCTGCAGGGAGCACGCCATGACGTTTGCCTGTTTCGCTGTTTGATTGGCCCTTCGGCTCATAACATCGGCCGCGCTCGGACCGAAGCTGAAACGAAGTATAGCGACGTTTACATTGCAAACCATGTTTTTGCATGTTTTATTCATGTTCACCTTTTTTGTTTCTCATTCTTCTCGTGGTCCCCGTTGTGGGGACATATAGTATTGTCAAATAAAAAAATTAAAAAAAAACGGCCGGCGCAGCTCAAAACAGGTTGCACGTCCTTTCGCAATTGATGTTTTCCGTAGAACAAAATAGATTTTAAATTTGTTTTAATAATTTTTTTTTTGCTTTTTTGGTTAGCATACAGTACACAAGAGCAAAAACTTTACATTCGGAACACACAAAAGAGACAGTGTTTGCTTGAGTGAGCTTTTCGCAAATAGTGCTAATACGCCTTCTTAAACCCCGAATCTGGCCCTTCACAAAAGCAAACAAAAGGCTTATATCAAGGCAAAAAATTAACCGCTCAATCGGGCCCGCCAATAACTGAAAATAAACCTCCAAAGTCACCGAGCGGGAAAAAATACACAAAATACTGCAGCCAATAAGCTTTGATTCCCGAGAAGTCAAACGGGAGACCTAGTGTTGCCTCGAAGATGCAACGCGTGCGAAAGAGAAGGATCGTACAGTTCCAGGTTAGGAACCATGAAACAGGAACTGGCAGTTGGGAACCAGACTATCCTTCTCCTCCACGCAAAAGTTCCCCCCCCCCCCATCCTACTCTCTCCACTTCTCTGAAAGTCCTTCAGAGAGCCAGAAAGTCCCTCTGAAAAGGGACTCTATGGCCGGTGGTGTTATGGGGCTCGGCTATAGACCTCCACTCACCGTTCATCTCCATGCAGCGCGGACTCTATTGCATCAGGCAGATCAGACCGGAGGAGGTCCTGCAATAACAGACAAGACTTGTTAGGCCGAGAGGTCATTTTGAGTGACTTTGAATCTGATGACCTATAACTTGTACCCTCTTAAAGGGCAACTCCGCTTCATTTTCGATATTTAGAAAACTATGTAGCCCTCTTCAGTATCATATAGGAAGACCCTATGCAAAATATTACGATCTAATTCCGTTTATATATTTAATAAACTGGCCAGCAAACCTTCAAGCGAGCCAAGTCGCCGAAATCTGCCAACTCTAGTGTGCGGCGCGAGGCGCAATCATCAGCGCAGTCAATGCCACGGAGTTGGAGCGGCCAACGCTGAACCACTACGTCAGAGGCATGTGTACGTCATTCTCACGTTTTGCTTGTTTTTACTTCTCAGAGCGAAATTGAACGACGACGTCATGAGTTTCTCCTCCCGGTGTTGGCTGACCGGGCGTTCACGTGATCACCGTAACACGGATGCGCTAGTTTGCGCTGCCCTGCGCGCGTCTGTTTCCCCGCTCCTCTACTCCTCTTTCGTCTCCTCCCCTCCCCCTCTCCCCCGGCCCATCACCGTCCACGCCATGCAAAACAGCCTGCCCGCGTCAAAAAAAAAAAAAAAAAAAAAAAAAGACCTGTTGGCGTTGCGTGTCCTGTTTCTCGCTCCCTCCCGAACGTCACAAGACCACGTGGTTCGACGTGACGTAATCATGACTGTGACGACCTGAGACCAATGTTGCCTGACGCAACCGAAGTTTCGGTTTCGGTATCTGCTGATGTTTAAATTAGGATTACACAAATAATATTTCACATTTCGCGAATCCGAAGACGTAGAGTTGTTTAGTAGTGCTTTGTGAATGTGAACCACATGGAAGCCTAAATTTTTCGGAATTGAGCGGAGTTGCCCTTTAAAAACGAGAACAATGAACGGTCGTTAATCCAGTAACAAATGGCTCAATCGCAAACAGCCACAGTTACATGGCTGCACTAGTCGTCAGCGAGCCGCAAATGACGACTGAACTCAAGTTTGACCATCTCCCTAGCAGCAAATATTCTGGGAGGGAGCGTCCATAGAAGTGCGAACTGCCGCCGCAACTTTCCCGGCCTGTTGCAGAACGGACAGAACGTCTGTGCTCATGACTGCAGCCATTAAGAATGTCTACAATACTGCAGCTTACGAACACGAAAGAGGGACATAGAATGTAATTTAGACACCAACATGCCCGACTATTCACTACAAGCAGCTTCTCCTGCATATCCCTGGCTCGCATTCTTTTGGAAAATACTGATGCTTCTTTTTACACTCCAGAAAGAAATCAAGATGAGAAAAATATTCTATCAAATGCCGATAAAGGATGCGTGGCTATAATCGGACTACTTTAATATTTATGTATAGGTCGCTTTTACACTGGCAACTCCCGACAGTTGTCGACGTAACAATTACGCGACGTCACATTCGATTTCGCTTTGGCCTCGACTAGGAGCAAAATAGCCATGTAGCACCACGTTAGCTCGGTCGAGTGTAATTATGGTTGCGTGCCGCTAAACACCGCTGGCCTAATAACAGTTGCAATGGCCCGAAAAAAGGTTCACACGCCATTCGCCGTACGTAAGATGCCCGGAACGTGCGTCCAATTGGCGCGCCTACCGCATTGTCATTCGAGGTCCCTCGATTTCCGTCCGACGACACCTCGCTTTCGTCGCGCAGCCGCCTGCCACAATCGCAACCGAGACGACCGGAAGAACCATGACTGGCGACTGCCTCGTGAAACTACCTCTCGCGCCGCTCGCCGCTCTGCGTGCGACAAATGCCTGTCCCGGCAACTTCGCCATTGCTGTCGTTCCGGCTGCCGCGAACGCAACCGACACGCACGTGTGGACTGGCCTCGACAGTCCACGAAAACTTAGGGAGGCAACCCTTGCACCCACTTGCCTTCTTCAGCATTTGTGCAATGACTGCCAAGATCGCGGCGTCCGGCGGCAAGACGCCCCAGCTCCTGTGACCGAATCTGTTGCCACCTTGCAAGCACGTGTAACGCGAGTGGTACGAGAAGCTATGCGGTCAAAGACTCGTTCGGGGCACCCTACCCAGACGGAATGATTGTTGGCCCACTTACGTGCGTGATGGAGGGTGATCCCCGGCAGAGCGTCGACAGCAGGCTGATGATGGTGGACACCGTCGGTGACGACTTGGGCTCCGTCGGAGGCGGCGCCGGGGTGGTGCCGCCTCCGCCCCCCTGGGTGCCGCCCGCGCCGCCGGAGGAGGGCGCCAAGAGCGAGGACGACGGTGCCGCGGCGTGCGCCATGCGCCCCAGAAGCTGCTGCACCAGGCCGTGCTCCGCCAGCGGCGCAGGGTCCAGGCCCCGCCGGGTGAAACGGTCGGCGAGGGACGCGAAGCAACGCAGAGCTCCGTCCGACACCTGCGGAAAGAGAACAAGGGCCGTCCGTCCCGTTTGACTTGCTCTTCGTTTGTTTCTTTGTTCATACTTATCACCTCTTTATTTTTGTGCCCACAATACATAATTACATATATGCAATAATACAACATATACAATACATATATACATGGGGCACTTTCATCATCTCGTGCAGACTACAAAGAGGAAACATTAAAAGGCAGTGTCTATTACAACGTCCACTGTCAAAATGTTTAAAAAAATTATTTCGACGTCCGTGACTTTCACAAAACTTTAGAATAGTGGCTTTATTATTTCAATGTCCCCTACCCAATGTAGGCTGTCACAGTGGTAGCCGTTTTGTCAGTTTATTCTGTTTAGTTTCTGATGGTGTAGTCGGTGTTGCGTTGACGTGTTGACAGAGTCCCGTGTTGCATGCCTAAGAAGTTTCGGTCTTAGTTGGCAGTGGAAATGTCTTATTCAATGTGCGTGTGGGACTGGCTCGACAGTTGATCCTTTCAGACATGACATGTCCAGTGGCGATATTCTGAGCTCTCACACGTAACTTCCCCAGGCGTCTCACTTAAAATGTTGAATCCCCAACAAAGGCGAGCTGGATATCCCTGTCTTGCCTGCACGTAACAAATGCAAGTGCGGACACTAAGTAACACTGAGAAATTTGGCATACTTTTTGTGCCTCCGTATCGTGTGAGCACGTCTTCGTAGCGGTCTCACTTTGCATCTGGCTACCGCCGTTATTAACCGGGTTTCGCAAAAGGTTCTAAATGCAAACATTGCTCCTTGATGTTCTTGACCGGTATGAACAAACAAAGGTTCAGGCACATACATTTTCCAATCAACTGGAAATTTTATGACACGACATTCAGCATATAAAACATGTGAAATAAATAATTAAAAGCAATGGAGTCACATCCTGTGATGCTGGGCACAACCAAACAAAACATGTGTGGCCTGATAGCTGATGTACTTTGGGAAGTTTTTTTAAATCCACATCAATTAAAAGATCATAAAAACTGCAGTCGACTGCACATTTGTTTTCGGAAAATGCGTGTTGAACCGCGACACCGACCACAAACAAAATCAGGTTGTTGGACCGTCACTTTCGATCACTTTCCAGTTCGAACCCTGAAGCTCCAAAGTTCGAAGTTTGAAGTGTCAAAAAAGACAGAAACAAATATTTTGATGGGAGATGCCAAAAAATTTTTAAGATATTTTTGCGTCTTTAGGAAGTGGCATCACAGACGTCAAAAGAATATTTAAAACTATTTTTAATGTGGACGTCGAAATAGTTACTACCATATTCAAAAGCATGCAGGTGATTAAACCGCACTTGATCAAATGGAACAAAGGTTAAGAAGCTACCGAAAGACAAGACCGCGCAGGGATTCAAACTCCAGGTCTCCCAATATCCGGTCAGATGCGCTACAAGTAGAGTGGTTAGTTAGCGTGCCCGACCAGATGTTAGGAGCCCCAGAGTTCGAACCCTTGCGTCGCCTAAGATTTTGCCTTTCGGCAGCTTTGTAACTTTAGTTCCCTTCGATCCATTACGGTTCATTTGCCCGCACATTTTCTAATATGTGCATCCGATATATCCAAACACAACTCACGTGGCTGTCCTCGTGCCTGAGCAGCTGCGAGAGGGCCTCCACGCAGCTGGGCAGGCAGGGGTCCATGGCGTCCACCTTGCCGCACAAGCGGGACACCACCGCCATGGCGGAGTGAAGGGTGTCCTTGTGCACCAGGGACCCCTTGTCCCGGATGAAGGACAGGACGCACTGCAGGCCGCCCGCTTCAAACACTGCCCCGGCTTCCCGCGTGCAGATCAGCTCCAGCACCTGCCAGACGCACCAGATGCAGTCAGACCGAGATGTCCGTGACAAAAAGCAGACGGGCACAGATGGAACAAAGCTCCTTTGGCTTCTTCGTCCCATCCAGAAAAATATTCCCCGCAGAACTAACATTTTGAGAATGATGTAAACCATTTTATTTTTCGCGGGCTCAACATTTTACAAACTGTGTAATCTGAGTTCCGAGAATATTTCGCAAGCACAAGATTTTTTGCTATTTCAAGCGATGTGCTATGCATTCGTTACCATAGGTTGATATATTTGTGTAATCAATCTTTTGCAATAATAATATTAAAGTTGCTAAATTTGCTAAAATTAAGTCGTTATGGTACTTTTTTTTCCTTCTTACTGCGCATCAGTGGAAATGCTGACCCAAACCATTTGTGAATACACTCTCACACGCATTGTTCTCCTCCAGACTTATGAACTCTTCCTCCCCCTCCTCCTCCCACTCCTCCCCCTCCCCCCCCCACACACACACATACAAACACAAAAAGAAAATATTTTAGGAGAATATTTACGTTATGAGAATCATTTTGAGAGAGGAGTGAATCCAGAGTTTATTTTGTGGCCCATGTGTAATTTCGAGGCTCTTAAAAAAAAATAAGAAAAAATTAGTTTTGGGGTAGTTCGGTGTCTTTTTTTCGGTGTCTTTTTAAAGGGGGGGTGCAATAATTTCCGGACTTCAGTCAAAAATTTGTGGAAGTTGCCCTCTTACACTTCTGAAGTAAAGAACAGAAAACTTATTTTGCCTGCGTGTCCAAGTTGTGTAAAAAAAAAATATTGGCATTTCTGGCACCCCCCAACTCACTCCCAGCCTTCAGGGTCACACCTGGTCCCCCTCCTAGTGACGTAATTCGGGGTGCCGTGTAGATTCCCGTCTGCTCTTTCGGAGGACGCTTCCTCTCCCTCTCTCTGCTGACATTAGCGGGCGTTATGCTGCAGCTTAGGGCCGAGCGAGGTCATGTAAGTTTTTCGCCGTAGTTCCTTCGGCTGCCATTCGCGGCTGCAGGTGGGGGAAAAAGCTCGACTTTTGCTTTGCAATTATGCAGCGGAATCGCAACATCTTTTAATTAAGGAGATGTTTTCTCTATCCTCCGGGACACGATAAACAACGTAAAAATGACGAGATGCAAATTCTTTTTATCTCAAAATTAATGCCCCCCCCCCCCCCCTTTTAAGAGCAACTTTTTCACCTCTGGCTCAGAGAGCGACACAGTCGGCGCAAACAGGCGGTCAGTGGTTTCTCCCGTTTCTTACCTCACAACCGAGAGGCTTTCATCAAAATTACTACAGTGTGGTGGAACGGGTTCATCCTGGGCCTTCGGCAGTAAAGTATGAAATTAGTCAATAAACTCTATGAGCAAAACGGGACAGAATTTGATAAGCAACACTAAATGCTGCAAAACACTGTTTATCTTCCGGAGCAAAGTCCTCTTCTGCCTTTCCTGCGGGCGTTTGACGGCTCATCTCGGTCGACTCTCAACTGTCGGTGTTGCATGGTTGGACGGTTTGCAGAGATTGTATTGGGTGTCATAGACACCTTTAAAGACTGTAGTGGCACTTCAAAACGATTTCATAAAGATGATGCAACCCTAAAAGAAACATCGAGCAGGTGTGAGCAAAAAAGACTGCATAGTATCAAAACAAAACAAAAAAAAAGAAAAAAAGCCAACTACATCTAATTATTTTTTACTCGACGAGGCACCTTCTTACAACCTAGCTCACAAGCACCTGGTGCAAGTGCCTCGCGTGCATGTCAAACCTACTCATCCGGCCCCTGCAGCGAGCGACCTTGCACCGTTTTGGACAGGATCCACGGCCTCTAATTTTGGCGGCACGGGAGCTTTCTCCCGCAACAATCCACACCCCAGACGAGTCTTCGCGCACTGCAGCCAACCGGCTATTCGGGGCAACTTGCGGTCACACTCACGTCATTCGGATCGTCCAAAAAAATGCGCGTTGCGCAACCAAGTGGTCGCACTGGCAGGCAACAGGTGCACAGAAACGACCACCCGGACGACTGCGGCGATGCAAACGCGGCGCCGTGGCGTCTCGAGACCGCGACCGGATCGCGAGACAGCCATCAAACGGTTGTGCCCCGGACGGTTGGCACAACGGCAATGAGTCCAATCTCACGAGTCACGTGCGACACTTCCAAAAATGCAGAAATCCTCGGTACGAGGGTGAGCGTGCAACTGCCGGGCCTCGCGGATCAAGAGTGCAAATGCCGGGCCTTGCGGATCAAGAGGGCAGTAAAGTGTCGTTGCTAGTGGATCCACGCCATGCTGCCTAGCTTGCAACGTTAGGCAAGCTAGGCAGCATGCCTAACGTTGGCCGGACACATCTCCAATTTGGCGGTGACATTAATTGACTTTGGCGTGTTGGCCACGCTACGACGCAAACTACAACGCAATGCGCGGGCCTTCTCTTGTAGGTGGTGTTAAAATGGCGCGCTCGAACATGACGTCCAGTGAATAACCGCCCCACCCGCCCCTCCCCTCTCTCCCCTCCCTTTATCCCCCCTCCGGCGTCCACCGTGTCATGGCCCGTCCCACCGTCGATACCCGGAGCAGCGCCCGAGAGGGGCACGCACCTTGACGCACTGCTCGGCCAGGTCCTTGCTGGTGCGGGAGGACACGTCGGCCACCACCAGGCGGCTGCACATGGCCTTGACGGCCCCCTCCACGGCCACGATGCGCCGGGTGCACTCTGCCGACACGTCCAGGTAGTATGTGATGGCCCGTGCGGTCACCTCCAGCACGTTGTCCGGGGCCCCCTCGTCCAGGAAGATGCGGCACAAAGCCGGCAGGAACGTCCGGGGGGGACAGCTGTGGATGCGGACAAAGGCAGAAAAGGCAACTTGAGCATTCGGCCAGTTTGGAGAGTTACTTACGGCGGAACACCGCTGACACAGTTTCGGTTTTTACGTTTTCTCATATTTTACGTTCAGAAGCGCCAATCAAAACCAGACTCCCGTAGGAATGCGGGTAATAATGTGCCACTTAGTGTGTTTGCTTCCACGGTTCATACGTTCAAAAAGCCGCTGACGTGGCGCCGACGGCGCTGTGTCGGCGATTTTCTGTGACGCCCACCGCTTCGACAAAAAATAAAGATGTTTTTGTTATTATTATTATTCCTTCACCAAGCGCTATTTTCCGCACCATCTCACATATCCTCATGCACCAATATGAACTAAAAGTTAAAATCCGCCATCGCGTCACATCTACTTCTAATGCTCCTAAACCTCCATTGATTGGAATTGTCTTTACCGCAGTCACGGTTACAATTACTGACACAACTTAATTTAGAATTGCAATTACTAATTTGTTTAATTAGGTTTCATTGTTATTTTATAGTTTTGATTTTTCATTGTTTTGCAGTGCCCCCCCCTCCTCTTTGTAATGCCATTGAGCCTGGAGAAAACAAATTAAATAAAAATTTAATTAGACTACTTAGTACTACTATGGTCCTACTTGTCGCTTTTTCGCTCACACACAGAGTGAGACAAACTACAGTAAATGCAGTTAGCTTCATCTCTACACAATTGTAAATAAGCAATGCCTAGATTAGGAGCTTCCCTGAACAAAATGCAGAACATGTGACAGGAAACAACAGGGGTAGCAACCTTTTTCCTTTCTTTTTTTTTCAAGAAGAATGCTTCAAGCCCTAAAATATTCAAACACAACAAAAGCTTTCAATCACAGTCACCATTTTCACACAAGGAGAGCAAGAAAAAGTGGATTGCTGCCAAGTTCCATCTGCCAACGAATTAGCGAACTTGGACGCACAGTCAGACCCGAAGTAGAGAGAGCTGGCAGGCAGGCTGAGATTTGCAAGCCTGCCCACCATTTACACGTTACGTTACGCAACTGCCAAATGGATTCCTCATCCTTTTTGTACAGGATTCTTTTCACGCTATAAATATTTAAAAACAAGGGAGGGCATGAATGTTATGGGGTAACTAGTGAACTAAGTATTTGCCTGAAATTCTACTTATTATATTTAAAATATTCATCTCAGCTGGAACATTCCAATCATGAGATTAGGCAAATGGTCAAGATAAATCACAGCAGTTCACAGATTTAAGAAAGCTAAGTTCCGGTTCAAATATTTATTCAGTAGCAAATTTAGGTTGTCTAGAGCTTGCCATACCACTAAATCAAAAAGTACTTTTAAGTGGATTTTAGGTAATTAGTTTGTCAGCTATCGTGCCACATTTGTGCCCTGCTATTTGTTGTGGTCAATAATGCAATCCCCAAAAATCCTTTTTTTTTTTTTTCTTGTTCAATGCCTTTTCATTAAAAAGTTTCTGAGTCTACAAAAAAAAAATTTGTCAAGGTAACATGGTCTCCATTTGTTTGTGTTGGACATGTCTCGAGAATGCTTTCAAGGCCGTCCTGGAATAAGAGGTGTTGACAGTATTTGTTACCCTGAGGCGAACAAAGATAACGTCACCTTCCCTAAATTTTTTTTTTCTCTCTTTTTTTACAGTTTAAGTTTTAACTTACACAACATAAGCTCTTTTACATTCTAAAAAGAAAAAAAAGATAAGATGAGGTTAACTGTGACAGCATCGCCCCCATTTTCTGTCCGCTCAGACGCCTTTCTTGCCGCAATCCTGGGCAATACGCTGATAAACTCTTATGCCCCTCACTTCTCGTTTGTGGAACTGCTTACTTATGGAAAGTTGGCACTCACATATGAGCCAGACAAAGATATATCCACCTTCCTAAGCAAATAAGGCATTCTATGCAAAGCCAGCTGATACATAACTAAGGTTCATATTTTTAAGTAAGATGAAAAGCCCCACATTTCTCACCAGATGTTGACCGCTTTTACGATATATTACGGGGATTCCGTACAATACTGAAGCATGATTTTATTTTGCTTGTTTAAGCGTGGTTTTTTATATTTCCCTCGTGTACCCTGTGCATAATGCTCAACGGCACAGCAGGTATATGTGTCAATAAATAGATAAAAAGTAAGGCTCCACTCAAAGGTAATCATTGTCCTTCACTTTCGTGCTGTTCATTTCTAAATTAAATTCCCCGTCCTTTGTTGAAAGATGCACACGTCTACATCATTTTCTGAACTACGATGCAATTATAACACCAAATTGACGAGACACCTTTCGAGATGACACAACCTCCTACAACGCCTTTGTGACAGCGGCATCCATTTGAACCACAGAGAACAGCTCCCACCGTAACGAAACGATCGTTAAAGTGAACAGGCACCTATCAAGCGGTGGCAATCAATTCATCAAACGACGTTTCATTGACGGGTTATTTCATCGGCACGCAATGTTTCATCGACAAATCGTTTCGACAGCTCCGAATAGCTTTTTTCTGTAATAAGCTGCATGAGACTGTAGCCGCAAAGCGGCGTGTATGGGTTGGTTAGGTGAGTTACATTTCTGTAATGAGCCACTGCAGACTGTCACCGCGAAGTGGCTTGAACGAAGGCGAAGGGGGAGGGGGGTTAACATGCATTCTAGTGATAAACCCGTGACGAAATTGTCCCTCCAGCGTGCGATTCGCGTAACGAATGTCAATGAACAGCCGCCAGAAGCCCTCCGGCTTCTGGCGGCTATTCACGGTAGCAGATAGCGCTGACAATTTTGTTGATTTCGGATAGATGGCGCCACTTATACTCTGTGTAATAAAAGTTTTGTCGATGATACCAGGTTTTTGACACATTTATATTTATGTTGGGACGACAAGTTTTATAGAAAAATTACCTTTAATCGAGCAAGTATCTGCACAACTTGCTGTCTTTTTACATGTCCCCCATTGATGTCATGACGCGTGGGTCTCATGGCCGCCGCTCGCGGCTGCAGGTCGGGAAATATTCTAATTTTTGCCTCGCGATTACGCGACGGAATCGCAACATTTCGATGAAAGGAGGTGTGTTTTCCGTCATTTGTGACAAGGTGAATAATGTCAAAAGTAGAAGATGCCAATTCTTTCAATGTTAAAATCGTTGCACAGCTCCTTTAAATAACTGAATATTCAATAACGCGCGGGTTATGAGTTCATTTCAACCGGAAGATCCGCAAGAGTTAGTCACCCAAAAACAATAAACTCGACCAAAAAAAAAAAGATGATGGAAAAAAAAAAATGCGTGCGGTTTCCTTCGAACGGGCAGCGAAGCGCTCAGACGCCCGCGAACTCGCGCCAGCGACGCAGTCACCCAGAGCACAAGCACGCGAGGACAGGCCACGAGTGCGTTATGGTCCGCGGAGGCCAACACTGTCGTAAACAGGTTTGCCAACAACCAACGCGCAGACGCACAAAGCAAACGCGTCGGAGAACAATAAGCCCCAAGGCAGGCCAGACAAAAGCGCGACAAAACAAAGATAGCGGCAAAGCAGGCGGCAAAAACATACATGTATAAAGACCGTGCAACAGCAAACGACTGCGACGATGTTATCTCTCGAGCGACCTCCGACGCCACCTCTGCTCTGCGATACCCATTCTCCGAGCCGAGGAAGAAGAATTAAACCTCTCGTTCTTTCTTCCGCAAAAGGTCGCGTGGATTTTATCTCCGCAGCAATTTGTTTTCTTCGCCGCCTTATCGAAGCGACCCGCAGCGATTTCTGGCGTCAACGACCGGACAGTGAAGCGGCCGGAACATGGCGGAGGCCATTTTGGCCCGTACTCGAACTCGAAAACGCATCCGACACAGGCGGCAGAGCAAAAATGGCGGATAGGCTTAGGATTCCCCTAGGTTTGCTAGCGGAAGACGCGGTTGTGGTGATGGGGCGAAACTCCGGAGGTTCGGTTTCGGACTGTTTCGGAATATTCCGAAAATTTATGGACGAAATTTCAGTTCTTTACGAGGGTTTTCGGCAGCTTCGTCGCTGTCTAGACAACAGGTTGCCGCGGTGTGTGCGTGTGTGTGTGTGCGTGCGCTCTGGATGCAGTCCGTAGGCCTCCCGAACATTTCGGTCACGAATCACGTACGGTTGACTAAGCAGTAACTTCAATTTCACTCTTTAAACACGCTTGACGCCAGTTTCAGCGGAGCATTCTGTTTGAAAGGCGCCTGTGACGCGCGAGCAATAAACGTCTTCGGGTAAGCAATGGATTAGTATCTTTCCGAAAGACTATATAGTTACATAGCCACTGCAGGAGACATTGACGGGAAATTAAGCAGACCTCGGTAATCTATAGTGTGCAAATAATTATTGCGTTGCGAAGCGTTGCAGCCGCCATTTGTTTTGCGGCCTGTGCTGTTGTGAAAAATAGTCACTCCGTGCGTCCCCTTGGAAACGTAAGTAAGTGTGTCCGCGGTGATGGTTCAAGTTCGTTGGAACCAACTGTACCTCGATCTACAATGGTTATTTCTTATAAAAATAATACGCTTAGTGCAGGTTTCGGTCAGCACGAGCGCATATTATCGACTGCATGACACGGATGTCGGAGATCTTACGACACAGTCACTTCCACATTACACCGGTGTTGTGTCAAGGTAAACCGCAGCAACCTTCCCGGCGTTTGGAACGAACATCACAAACGTCGTCGAGCTATTGATGCGATGAAAATGAAAGTTGCGATTTGTGATACTAATCGATTTCCCCATACCCGAGCGCTTTGTTTCGGACACGTGAGAACGTGAATGGAAGTTGCGAAATCGAAACCATTTTGACCAACAACACAAAGCCTCAATATTTAGTGTCGTGTTGTTCGTTATTTAATTTTTCCGTATCTTAGACTTTATTTGAACAAGCTTATTGTGCCAAATGAAGTATTTGTATTTAAATTTTTAATTATTTAATGGGGCTATAAGATTGTTTTGTTAAACAAGTTGCAACGCTCACAAATGT